TGCTCGGTCAATGGCCAGGGTCAACGGCGGCGTGGTGTATTCCGCAAATATGCCCGACTGTGAGGGCGGGCACAAGCCGGCGTGAGTAGGTTAAACGTTGAGTTTTATAAGGGCACCACAGGGTGACCAGCCCCTCCCCACCCAGCCCCCCACCCAGCCCCTCCCCACCCTCCCCTCCCTCCCCACGCAGCCCCTCCCTGCACGACGGACACAATAATCCCCTGTGGACTGGTGTAACCAGGAGGTTCCTACCAGTATTAAAGTACTATCTGAAATGAGCAGCCAAACTTAAGGAACTGCCCCAGGGTGAGGCGGTGTTGGGCTGTGTGCGATGACCTGGACCAGAAGTTGGCAATCTGCGGCTATTTCAGGACTGCTGCTTCATGACGTCGTTTATGAAGGAGGACCACCATCTTATATTCACACGCATTGCGGCTCCTGAAATATTGGGATGGGTTTTTTTTCTTCTACCGAATTCGAAACAAAAGTACTCTTCTTGTTATTTTGATTGCCCACTCCTGGCTTAGACTTCTACAGTCTGCACTGTAAGGTTCGCCTTTGGACGACGTGCTCTGAAGGAGATCGGTTCTTCACCTGCTGATGATCAACACTTTGGAATTTCTGAAGTTGTAAATATTATTCAGTCCAGTCATGCGATTTCCTATGTGCTTACAAGATGGTGCATGGCTGCTCTTGCATAAACAGCATTCTCCTCCTCAAACAGTTATGTCAGTATGTTGAACTTCTTTCGCACCGTACGTAGCCAACCGTGCTAATCGGAGATGCGGGGGAAGGACAACAGACGAAACACAACAACAAGCAGTTCTAAAGAAATGAAAACAGAAATTGCGGCAGCTCGATACCTCCTCAGGCCTCATCCCACACTTCCCACCCCTCTCTCCCACCCATAACACCACCGTGGCACTCACACGGGTTGTTTTCAAATAATTCACAGCCCTTTGTCAATGGAATGCTACGTGAAGGCCTCCCAACATCATCTTTTACGCCGCGTGGCTTTTTTTGGCCATATGTCCCCACGCTGGCCTGCGTGGCTCGGTGAAGAAGGCCCGGCCACCTGGGTCAGATTTCGCCCTAGCTGGGAATTCAATTGAGATCATTGAGTTCATGACGCAGTGTTGCTAACTGCACCACCACTACCGCCCCCCATCATTACACTGCAAAATAACTTAGCCTAATCTTTTCAGCACACTTCGGTGTAAAAAAAAAAACACACTAACTTCATGGATAATTTATATGCAGCATTTCCAACATCAGGCTGCAGATCCTGAATGATGCTGGTCCTTACGTTGCGCCGTCAATGTGATTTAATCATCATCATCAGCCGTGATCCTTCCCACTGCTGGGAAAAAAAGATCTCCCCGAGGTGTCACCATCCCTCGCGGCACCAGCACACGAGCCCCTCTCGTCCCGTGGTTTGTCTGCCGCTCGCTCGCTAGTGACTCTCTCGTGACGTGTCCTGTCCGAACGAGGTCAGCTTACTCCCCCCCCCCCCCCCACGGTCAACGCGATGTCTAACATATTCCTGCGGAGGGAGCTGGTAGGAACGTTGGGTTGCTCGGTCAATGGCCAGAGTCAACGGCGGTGTGGTGTATTCCGCAAATATGGCCGACTGTGAGGGCGGGCACAAGCCGGCGTGAGTAGGTTCAACGTTGAGTTTTATAAGGGCACCACGGAGTGACCAGCCCCTCCCCACCCAGCCCAACCCCTCCCACCCCCCACCCAGCCCCACCCTCCTCACCCAGCCCCACCAAGCCCCTCCCCACCCTCCCCACCCAGCCCCTTCCTCCCCACGCAGCCCCTCCCTGCACGACGGACGGACGGACACAATAATCCCCTGTGGGCTGGTGTAACCAGGAGGTTCCTACCAGTATCCCATGGTGTATGAAGAGAAGTACTGTAAATATAAATGCCTTCCCCGGCCTGTTTTGCAAACCCTTACATAGTTTTCTCGTGGCACATTGGCTCACGCTCGGTTCGTTTTCATGCTTTTTTTTGCTTCAGCTACAAATAATCTCAGGGATGACAAATTTACTCCCCTGTGCGATGCAATGCAAGCAAAGCTCTTGCCTGCAGCCCTTCACTTGGACGCTTCTTGGCAATGGGAATGTGACCGCTGGTTGGGGCGCATCCATGTAAAACCAGGAAACTCGCCAGCTCTACACTCACCCGAATGGAAACCTCCTTTCCCCAATAGGCATTCATCACATGAGCAAAACATATATCACCGGCCAGAGGTTTATTTTTTTTATTAAGAAGCAAAAATTGTGGCTTGTATTTAGCTTACAACACGTGATTAATTTATGGGACTGTACGGCTTTATTTTCAGCATTAAAGTATCTCACAAAAACAATACCATTCTTCACTAGTTTCTGTTGTAAATCTGGATGCTTGCAATAGTTTAATACAATGGTGGATATATGTGCATCAGGAAACAAAGAACCACGTACATTTTGACTTAAAACTTTCGTAACTGCAGGAATTCATATTTTTGGTTCTTTGGGTAAAGTCACGGAGATAGAAAATAAAACGAAAATAAAAATTCAAAAAAATAGATTTTTTATTTTATTTATGAAATTTTATAAATACTTTGTTTACAAATCTCATTTTATTTTATTTTCTATCTACGTGACTTTACCGAAAGAACCAAGAATATAAAAGAACCACATCTTTCGACTTGTCCTTTTCAGTGTAAATTCTATTTGTCGTGCACACATAGAACCAACACTTCTATAGAAACCTGCATGGGCATCAAAGGAAAGAAGCACATCTTTGAACACAGCCACATGCACGCCAGTAACTGAGATCATGTTTTATCGAAGTCAAATGTGAGTTCTGCATGCCTCGTATACATTTACATCTGTGACCAAGTGGCAAAGACAAACGATCCCCCGTATAGCCTTCACAGACTCTTGGGAAAAGTGTTGTTAGCGAGCACCTCCGAATTCCGGAAAGGCACACGAGAGGGTGGGTGGCCAACACCACGCCCGGCCGCCTTTGTCTCCCGAGTGGCGATGTTTACACACCGCTCCAGGTACTCATTTGAGGCTGATTTCCCAGGACCGGTTCAAATAATCGTCACTGGTGTTGGCCGGGCTCGTGGTGAAGCGCACGAACTGTGACAGCACCACTCCCCAGCGTGGGAGACCACATTCGCTTTGATCTGCTCACTCCTTTTGGCCCGAATGCTGCGTTATCAGCTTGACCGTGAGCTCCACGTTTATTGTGTTTCTGCAGCAGCTGGGAAACAAGATGGTTTGACTTTCAACGCAAACGTGATTTGTAACGTTGAAATGTACCCGTGTATCGATTGTTAAATTGTAATGTGCAATGTAATTGAGGGAGTGTTGGCTTGGTGTGGTCTTAGACTGTTGTTGTTGTTGTTGTTTTGCTGCCTTGCCCCAAGCTTGCATTTGGTGTTGACATATCGGCGGGAATTGATGTACGTTGTCAAATTTGTACAACTATACTTGATTTATATTCATTCATTAAAATAAATTCCGACGTTACCTTTTCTCTATCTTGCGAGTGCAGATATTACTGTAAGGGAAGTACACGTGTTTTTTTCAAGCAAAGGGAACGGAGATAACAGAATGCGCCAATCCCTCCCAGGAATGCCACACTCTCAAGAGGGCAAACCAAGGTAGACATTCCTTGCAAAGTTTCATTCACTTTGGAGTGGGTTGTGCTGCTGGGTGGCACCCTGAAAACAGTGTAAAATTCCAACCACTTCCAATTACCTCTCCCCACTTGGCTGTCAATTCAAATGCGGAATGTGGAACATGATTTGCAGGTGTAATTGCGCCTCTCTCTTGACGTTTCCCCGGCTGAGCCCTCGTCCCACCCACCTTAGATCTCATTCCACGGTGTGGAATGCAAGCGGAGACAGAATGCATTCCACATATGGCAGAAGGCGTTTGGGCGAATCCTGTGGTGGAAAACTGTTGCACAGCTACTTTCTTGCAATTGCAGATATTCCGTTTACCAATATTCACTATTCACGTCCAAATGAAGGAACTAAACACGACGTACTTTTTTTTACCACGGTTGCCAAATAGAAGGGCCTATCAACCGCGGCACAAGGCAGGAGGAGGGCACACACGACGACAACACAGCCGATAAGAATGTTTATTCAGAGGAAGTGGAGGAAAGTAGTTCCAACATCCATCAATTCGAGGACAGCAGGGAAGGGATATTTTGCTCCCTACAAATATGGTAGTTGAACACAGTACTGTACGAGCAAGACGAAACGGCCAAAAGGGATGCTGGTATAGCATAGTCAAATCACTCAGTTTCAGGAAAGACAAATGTTGCAGCTTACAATGAGGTGCAATAGTTAAACACAGTACGGACCAGAGGAAACAGTCAAAGTGAGTCCTTCACGTAGAGTTCATTTGACGATGACTGGTGGTCGAAGCGATAAGAGTGATACATTACTGAATGAGAATGAGAGGAATTGTAGTGGATCAGCGAGCACAGCATCAACCCATCAACCGATACGGTGCCGCCCGCGATGGCAAGATGTTAACTCCCTCGTCCTGGTATGCAAGGCAGGGCCTGGGTTCGGATCCTGACCCTGATGCCTGCTGTATATTTGGAGTTTTTCACGTCTCTTTCCCCGTGGTCGCGTGGATTTTTTATATACGGGTTTTCCCTCCACCATTTAGAATCAACGTGCGTTTAGAGTATTGGGCTGTTATACATTTCCACACTACGATAAACCACTTCGTTGAGCTATCATTTGCTATCGCCAGGTCGCTTCTGAAGAAAGATCGATTGAGCTCAGTGGGCCTTACCTGGTAAAATAATAAGCAGCAGTAAGTCCTTGATAATTACCTTCCTATTTTCCTAGCATAAGATTTCATCCTCATCCAGTGTTCTTGTGGCACTGTTACCATATTTTCATCTTTGTAGCATAATCTATCCTCGTTCTCATCGTTGTATTTCACCTTTTTCCCTCCCAGGTCTCTACACAACATCCCAAGACGTTTCAGCTTTTTTTTTACAGACTTTATTCGCCTTCGATCTTTTTTGCATGAAGCAAAATGACATGTTCGGGAAAAACACATCAACAATTATTGTACACGTGCACATCAGGCACATAATGCAGAGTTAAAATATGCACGCGTGGTATACACATCTCTTTATTTCAACTCATTGAAACAGCATGCAGTTACACAACCCTGTGTCAAAAAAAAATCACATAAGTAGGAAATTGTAACATGATTATATATTTATAGAAATGGTTTTAATATTAACAAAAGAAAAAAATATCCATTGTGACTTGCACAATGCAATAAAAAATTGCACTTTTATCTTTTTAAAAATTCTAAATATGTAATACGAGAAAAAAAACCCGGACAAAAAGGCATTAACAGAATCGGTTACTTGAAAAGACATATTCTGAAAGGCAGACAGTTTATCTTATTCCGATAACACGAGATTACTGTTAAGTTCTCCACTTAATTCATGTGACAGTCATACAAACAACTCTCCTGCAAACTCCGAGAAGACTTATTTACAACTTGCCTAGGTTCTGACCACAAAACCACAACTGGCAATGTCTCACGATACCAGGACGACAAGCGCACTTGGCAACGACTTCCGCGTGGATTTTTTCGGATTGTACCGCGTGTTATTCCGCGTGATGTCCGACGTTTCGCTCCACAGTGCCGGGAACTTATCCAAGAAGTGAAATATTACATTTTCATAAAAATAGAGAGAAGAACTGAATGGAGCTCCCCTCCCGAACAAGCTTAGAGGCACGTGGAAAAAATATGCCAGGCGTCTTGCTCAACGGCAGGCGGTACAATTTTACAAACGCGTTGGAGAGCTATAACGCACAAACGCCGTGGTATAGTGTTTGCAAGTGCCCACTCAAATTCAAGAACTGATGTAACAGTGACAGCATTTGTAACAACACACCAGGTGGGGTTACTTTAAATACAATCACCATGGCCACAAGAGGCTTACTGATGGATCTAATGGTATAGCAATGTGTTAGTTGGGGGGTGGGGGGGGGAAAGAACCTAAACTGGATAGGTCTTTAATATAAACCGTATTTTTTCTAACCTAATGAACAAATCTGAATAGTCTTCCTTGTGAGTACCACCAAGGGCCCAGGGCAGCGACATCCAATGAGTTGACGACATCCGTTACACGTCTACTCTTACTCCCGATAGGAACGCACGTTTTAACTAATGAGATTATTCTGCTGCTATAAATGTCCAACTGACAAGGCCACCTCGTTCAGCTATCATTTGTGGACAGGTCTACTTTTGAAAAGTAAGTTAATACCTCGTTGGGCTTTATCTGGTAGGATAGGGATAGTTTAGTGTTGTGTTTGTATGTGTTTGGGTGATTTTTTCCCTTTCTTGTATTTTCCACGCCTATCATGTTTTGTATTGGTGTTGTGACGTTCTTACCTGCCCCCACTAGATATCAGTATGAATACATTCTGATTTGACTCTGAATATAAATTGGATGTGTGTGTCTGTGTAAATGCCCACAATGCAAGGGCCACATCTCCACTCGAGTTCGAATGGCGATTCGATGGCGTCAAATGTCCTAAAATAGGGATGGCGCAAGTCCCAATTGAGCGTTAAGACGTCCCTCATGCGATGATATAAAACATTGTTGTTGGTCTTAGCCAGGGCTGAACATTCCCAGGGAATATTTTCCAGGGCGCCAGATTATCCCCCCCCCCCCCCCCCACAATAGGCAGCCAAATAGTCAAAATAACGAGTCAAGGAATGGCTCACGCAGCTTGTACCACTGTAACTTGCTGAATATCTTCACTGCAACCCCCCCCCCCCCCAATTGCATCCAGAAAAATACGAATCGAAATATTTAACTGCGCTCATGATAGTATAACACTCTCGTGCTCAGGGCGCAATAAAAGCCACCAACCTATGTTGCCTTGTAGGCAATAACTTGAGAATGGGAGAACTTGTTTCAAAATCTGCAAGCGTGCAAGCAATGCATCACAGAGCGGGCTTAACGGGGAAATAATGTACACAGGACAAGCATTGGACAAAAGGGTACAGTATACCGAGAAAAGGGGTCCCACTTCAAATCCCATTGCACACACTCCGACTGCAGCATCTGCAATAGTAAAGCCACCGTGTTCGCTCATCCTAGCAGCAGGCATGCACACAGCGTTGTACTACTACTACACGTAATGTAAATATACAATTGTATGAATCATACAGAACTGTACAGTACAGTAATGTTTGTAATAAACTGTACAATGGCCTGTATCAAAGAACAGTAATACTGTATACAGTAAACCACAATGCATAGATTTGTTTACTTAATTAAACAAACTTGGAGCCCTCCTCCACCATCCCACTGCTGGCCAACTCACATGGACTCCCCACGGACACATCAGTCGTGATGGTTGTTCGACCATACTTCACCACGGTCGTCAGTGTGAATCGGTGAAGGAGTAGACGGACCCAGGACTGGTTCAGATATTACTCGCCAAATGTTCGCCACATTCCAGAACGTTTTCTGCCAATATACTCGTTGAACCTGTTAACGACACGTCCCAAACTATCGCATTCTCACAACAGAGTGTTGGGTCCTTCGTCACTTTGCTAAAACCTTCCAAACCACCGTAACAAAAACGTGTTAACTCCATTACACGTTGACCGACATTTAGTTTCGATTATTAGCCGCTCTGTGTCTTGCCCTCACTGCCAGCCTGCTGGGATGGGTGGCATTTCCACAACAGAAATGGGGGTTCAGGATGGCAATGAAATCCGGTGGCGACCTCAAAGAGCGGACCCCACGAGGGCTTTCTGTTCACACACACACACATAGCAATTGTGCAAAATGCAGATGATGGTGTAGCCGCTTTGCGAAGGGGGGCCGATTGGGAGCCGTTGCCAAACGTGATGATGCACGAACAATCACAAGCAGGCCAAGGAGAGGGGCAGGGTGGGGGGGGAGACCACGGAGAGCTTGAGCCAATGTACGGCGAGAACCACTTTAGGGGGCAAGCAAGTTCATTTGGAAAGGTGCCGAAAGCACCAACAGGAGCTTCTTGGCCACCGACAATATTTTCGTGACGTCTTGAATGTTGTTCCCTTGTTTGATTATTCCACCCCATATTTACTGCATTCCTTATTATTTACAATTACAAGCAAACTCGTATTTGGCCAATCATCAAAAACCATGACTCCTGAGCCAGGTGCATCGGTGAGGCTTTCTCAGAGTAATGAATCGCTGCCGCTCTCATAACAGTAGAGGTGTGCATCGAGTTCGAGCTTACACCTTCCAAGAAGGACCCCGACAGGACCTGGGGGGCTTGATCAGCCATACAAAGCTTACCTTCTGCGACTGCCAAACACACACCGAGACTTCCGTTTCCAAAAGCTCGTACAATAACGACGCGGGCTGCGTGACACGCCTGGCTGAGAGACGACAGCTCCTCGCTGATGGACCCACGCAGCACAGTCAATACATTTTTTTCCTTCCGCAAAAAACCCTGGTTCCCTGACGGTCAGCCAGCCGTCACGCGATCCCCGGCACCCTCGCGCACAGCAATCCTCTGTAACCACGAAGACGACGGCAAGTTGGCTGCCAAGGTCACATTCACTTCCACCTCCACAACAGCACAGCGATGTTCAACAAGACGGCTCATTGGGGGGGGGGGCACGGGGGGGGCACGGGGGGGGGGGGGCTTGGGGGGGGGGGCTACGGTGAGCCCCACTGCCCCATCTTTGACAACGCCAAGCAATGAATGTTGAAACCACCGGCTGATACCGACCTTGAGCTGGGCCCCGGAGGTCATCGAGGAGACGTGCACAAGTGCGCGGCACATTTCTATGCCGTGCATGATGAACTCAACACGCTCGTCACAAAAGAGACCGCTTCGGACACTGCGAGGGGAAGAAGGACGATGCATGGACATATTTTCCAGCGGAGACTTGAGGGCGTTGCTGGGGGTACGGGGCTCACCGAGCAATCCCTGTGGGAAGAATGCGCTCAGCCACCAGCTGGAAGGACATCGGAGCAATCGGCAGGAATTGGGTTACCTGCCAGCCAACCTCAGCTGCCATGTCTGCTTGCCTGGGCTGCTGACCTGCCTGTCTGCCTGCCTGCCTGTCTGTCTGTCTATCTGCCTGCCTGTCCTGCCTGCCTGCTTGGTTGCCTGCCTGCTTGCCTGTCTGTCTATCTGCCTGCCTGTCTGCCTGCCTGCTTGGTTGCCTGCCTGCTTGCCTGTCTGTCTATCTGCCTGCCTGCTTGGTTGCCTGTGCTCTCCGCGTGCCTATCTGGGCTGCTCGCCTGACTGTTTGTCTGCCGCAGCTGCCCCGCCTGCCTGCGTGCCCGAGCTGCTGGCCAGCCGACCTGCTTGCTTGCTTAAGGTGGAATTGTTCATCAGCGACAAAGACCAAACTCTCTATTGTTGTGAACTCTTGTCAATGCTCGCTGTCAAGCATTATAGAATTATGGTTCTTGGCGAGTTCAATGTGCATATTGACGTGGACGGAGATCCCCTTGGAAAGGATTTCATGAGTTTTTTTTTAAGCACTGTTGGTTTTGTTGAACACGTATCAAGCCCCCGATACACATTCACGGTCGCCCACTTGATCTAATTATCACCCGTGGTCTTGACACCCAGAATTTGTCTTATCAGCGATTCTTGCAACCATAGTCTATTTTGTTATTACTTTCGAATAATACCTCCCCTAAATACACCCCCAAGACTATTGTATGAAAACACAAGTCCCAATTCTTCCACTGCTGGGAAATTCTTGGAAGCTTTCTCCACTTCAGTTCCTATTTAATGTAGTGTACTCGCAGACATTTCAACAGCTCCACCCTAAGTACTATTTTGGATATCGAGGCACCCCTTACAAGAACAAAACATAAATTCAAAAGGTCATCCCGGTGGTTTCATGATACAGCTCGGGAGCTTAACCGTGCGGGGGCTGTAAGCTCGAACGTGAATGGGGGAAAATGACTCAATTACAGTTCTTATATCTCACCTGAAAAAAAAATCTGATTAAATATAAAGCTGCTCTGTCTTCAGATAGATCATCAACTATTGTATAAACAAATAAGAATCATCCTTGTGTTCTATTTAAAACGATCGCTAAACTAATAAGCTGAAGTTCTACATAAATACACAATTACAAGCAGGTTGTGATGACTTTATATTCATATTAGAAATCATATCAGATAATAGACTCTACCTAGATGATAAGTTCTGTAATAGCCATAAAGCTACTCAGGCCACGTAAAAGCAGATCATGTCTTTTAAGCTTTTGCTTCTATTAGCCAGCTTGATCCGATCTATTTAGTTGTTGGGACAAAATTAACTACATGTGCTTCATACCGTTCCCACTAAACTGTGTCAAGACGTATTTTCTACGTGAGATTTTTCTATGCTTTCTTTCCATGGAATATGCAGAGAGCTTGACGCCTTCATAACATCCAATGCTTGCTTATAGCAATGCTTTGTTTTCTGGTATTCACGAAAATGTGCGAAACTCAACTGCGGCTTGTGAAAAACTCCACTCCTGGGGTTTTAACAGGAAGACATGATTACATCACGCCGGTATTGGCAGCCCGAAGTTTGCTTCCTGTGAGATTTAGGATAGATTTTCAGGTCACACTTATTACCTAGCATTAAACGGCTTGGCCCCTTCATATGTAAATATTTTAACTCCGTATATATACCAACGCGACCAGGATGCAGGATTGCTCACTTACCCTAAGGGTTTAAAAAAACACAAAAGTGGTGGTGCATTTAGCTATTCGCCCCCCCCCCCCCCCCAAATGATGAACTCTGCTGCTGCCTGTTTCCGTATGGGAGTTGCCAAAGGTTTCGGTTTTTAAAGCTCGATTAAGACACTTACGCGAGCTATCGTTCACTTGTTTTACACTCTACAGCATTGCATTTTAATTGATCTCTGTGATGAATGTTTTCATCACTTATTACTGCCGCATAGTTATCGACGGAATTTGATTGCCGTTATGCTGTGGGTTTTTGTTCGTGAAGTGCGCTATACTGAATTAAAACATGTCTTGATTGTGTAAGAGCAAAGAAGGCATCAATGTAGTAATAGTGTGGCCGCTAACGGCGATCTAAAGGTGTTTAGTACAGCAACAAAGATATATGACGAGGCTCAGGTTATATAAGGCTTTAGAACGTGTTTTAAAAGTCATATTTTTGTAACTGTCATCAGCTATTTTGGTTTATCAGTGAAAAAACTTGCAGTTTTACAACAAGATGCCAAAGTTACCCGCATGAGAACACGCAGAGTTGGTGTGTTGTCTCTGTGTTACCCTGGCAACGAGACTGCACATTGCCAGGGGCGAACACGGAGCCCCCTTTAAATCTGAAGCGTCTTAGGAATTACATGGAATCGTCACTTTAATGGGTGGGTGGGAGTATGTGTGGAGTCACGTGCACTAGACGAGTATTAAAATAAGTACAGCACAGCATGTTGAGAGAGGAAAAAAAAATTATAACTCGTATGCACATTCCGTTATAATATTTCAGTATCTGAGAGTTTGTATTTTCAATCTACTGCGAACACTCAAGTCATTTGAAATTCATTGCCTGTAAGTGGGCGGAGGGGGGGGGGGTCGATATTTGAACATCGCAGACTCCACCGTGACGCAGGCCAGCTCGAACGCACACCGTGTATTCCTCACCTCTTCTTTCCAAGGAAAAGCCGAGGAGGGGGTCAAAGACTGCAAACGTCCCGTGACACGCGGAGCGATTAAAATCGCCTCCCTCTTACATTCTTTGCGGTCACCGTGACCTGAGCAACACAGGCGGACCGAAGAAGCAGCCTCGACTTGTGCTAAGACATTACTTTCATTTTTTTTAAAAGGCGCAAAACGGCTGCAATTTTCCACATTGACTGAAAACTCTGAAATACCGTAACATGTTCCCTGGGTCATCTGCTGTTTGAGGAGGGTGGGTGGAGGGACAGCTTAGTATGCAACAGCTGACTTATCCTTCTACAAAGAGCCATTTCACAAATACGTCTGCGTATTTCATAACCCGTGATAAATGTACGATGCGACACTAAATATGGCATTAAATACTTCCATAATACATGCTTTTGCTTAACTGTTTCATGCATCATTCGTCACTCGCAACAGGGGTCAGGAAACCCTAACTACATGCTTGATTTCTACTACTTCATTGATTTTTCTTTCTGGCTTTAATCTTCCGTTGGCAAACAACAGCTTTGAAAATCTCGCCTACGAAACACTCAACTCGAAGGCTTTCAGGTCCTACAATAGGCACAAAAGTACGTGTCGGTGCGTGTCCACGTTTAAACCTGTTTTCAGGACACCTTGTCCACAAAGGCACCGCAGAAAATTCGAAACGGAAGTCCGCAGCGTTCGTCACAAACCTCCACTGTGAGCAGGGTCCTCGCGCCAACAATGCTCCGTCACAGATTTTTGTACTTCTGTAAGGAATCATCCAGGCGACCGGCGATGGCCTGGTAGAACGCAATCTGTTGCTGGAGGTAGAGCTGCATGATCTGCCCAAAGTCCTTCACGCGCGTGCAGTGAAAGTGGTTGAACTCCGCAAGGGTCGCGTGCGACACCGTGTTGGTCCGCGTTTGAACCTCCGTCAGCTGACCGGCGTCCATCTTGCCCTCGTCGGCTGCCCGCTGGCTCTCCTTGACCTTAGCCACAGCACCTGTTGGCCACACGGACAAACGATTGCGGCGCTGAATTATAAAATATCTTTAATTATTATCCATTTCACATGTTGATATTTTTAAGTGAAAAGGACATTGTTTTTTGTCAAATGTCATCCGGTTGCTGTGGTTATGATGAACTGCAATGTTAACTTTTTTGTAGTTTTAGCATTTAGTGACTAAAACGCCCTTGTTGAGTCGTGAGCTACGTATGTTATAGGTGCTTTAAGAGGGTCAGATAACTTTTACAACAAATGTGTGGTACAGTGCACCTTTCATGTCAATAAATCATTAAATAGTCATGCCTTGTTTTAAAATCATAAAGTGAACGAAAAAAACAATAAAAATATGTAAAATGTTGCTATATAGAATACATTTGGAATTTTCTACCACTGGCTAGAACTTATATAATGGGCTTCAAGGAGAGGAAACTAAACTGTAGTCCAGTGTTTATTAATTGTAGGCCTCTTGCAAGTTGCACCATCGGGGGCATGATGCAACTTCCGCCAATGCTGTGAGGTTCCTGCAGTGTGCAGTGGCATCATTTGCATGTGAATATAAATAATTGGTATTCACAGACGAGTAGCCAGTGAGGGATAAACGAGGACTGGAGTGGAGAAATACTGCTCAAGCTGGTAGAAATCTCAACTATGATGTGCTGTTATGCCTGACGAAATATATTATAACTCCTAAAATGGTGTTTATAAAATACTTTCGTTTATACATATTTAGGCAAGATTTTCATTGTAACTATTACAATATAGTTATTTGAGTTAGGCCTCACATGAAGTTTAAGATTCAAACTATATAGGCAAATGTAGTCCCTTTGTTCCAAGTGTCTGCCTAGCAATAGCACATGGTAGATTAGACGACAGTTCTCACATTACACGTGACAATGACGAACACTGCTATACTGGGACAACGCAGTACCAATTTGACAGGGTTCTAAAATTAATGGCACCTAAACAATAGAAAAATATCACAGCAGCATTTCAGGTTATTCTCTTCACGCCAACGCCAGCTACTGTATATGAAAAGATTTGACGTAAACAATCTACACCTTTTTGTATGTGAATGATGTCTGGGAAATTGGCGAGCAGTCCTTGGTAGAGGCACGTCACGTCCATCAGGGGCTGGAGGTCCTGCTGTGGCTGTTGTGCAAATAGCTCCCCGATTGCCACGTAGGTGTTGCCTGTGTGGGCGATTGCTTTGGTGAGGTTGTCCGAATAGTGCTGATCATCCTGCTCAAACGACTGTCCCAGATTCTCGAACACCTGGCCCATCTTCTGAAAGTCGCGCTTGTAGTCAATGCAATGTTTGCGTGCCATCTCCCCAGCCGTGCCATTGAGCAGGACCACACTTTCATCCATTCTTTTGGAGAAGCTTCTGAAAGATTCGGTCCGTGCCTCGACGTCCTGCAGGTCCAGCTGTGACGTTGGCGGTGCACTGATGGTCAGGTAGAACTTGGCTCCCACGGCATCATCTTTCTCAGCCCTTCGCTTGCCCTGCTTCCACGCTTTCTCGTCGGTGCACGTGAGAAAGTGCTGGAAGGCGTCGCACTGCGCGAGCACCGGATGGCCCGTCATATGATTCATCCAGAGGATGAGGCCCCGCCTGCGCTTCTGAACAAAGTCCTCCACAAAGCGCCCGGTCGCCTGCTTCTCGGGCAGGTGGGGCACCGACACCACGGGAAACTTCTGCACGAGGCGACCATACAACCAGTCGAAGTGCTTATAACGACGGCTCACCGCCCTCCCCGTAAACGTGGGCGTCAGGCGGTAGGAGATGAAGCTCTTCATGCCTTTGAACTTGGTCTGCTTGGTGGGGTCCTCGATGGAGCAGGTGAATGGGAACGGGTTGTCGGGCCACGCCGGCCCGCGCTCTGCGATGTCGACGCGGACGCGGTCACCCACGTTGACGGTGCAGCCCGTCACGTCGCCCGAGATGAACGCCTCGCCGCCGGCCTTCACGTAGCGAGACAGCGACGAGACGCCCAGGGCGGAGGTGACCGTGCCGTTGGCCCCGAACTGGCCGTGGGTGCTGCTGCTGTCCACGGTGGACGAGTTGTCGTCCCAGTCTGCATCCCAGTCGTCCTGGTCCTGCTCTGCGGGCTGCTGGGGCCACGTGCCTGCTGGAGTTTGTTGCTGATGATATGCACAACAGCACGGCGATGGCGGTTTGGATACGTCATCTACTTTTACGGTCGAAAAACTTTAAACATGTTGCCATCATAACATTAATGAATACCACGAAATGTGTGTTTATGATTAAAATATCAGCTGTTCTCTTCAAAGTAAAATCCACAAATTTAATGTCTAAAATATGTTATTTTTGTACAAGTCTACCAATCTCGTGACCCTCTAAATTTTGCTAATGAAAATGTGTCAATGGCATCTCATCTGGTTGCAGTGCAAAGACATTACATTGAGTATCTTTAACAAGGTTCCCTCCATGTTAAAACCAATTTCATTACAGTACCCCAACTAGAAATTGCCCATGAAATGTCACGAGTGAATTCCCCTCCCCCCTCATATAGCAACATTCTGTGGTAGTGAAACTCCCAGCCCTCACACACAGACCAAAATCACAAATATCCCCCACGTGGCCTTTAACAAACTTTCGGGGCAGGTCCTGATATCGCCAGCGCCACTCACGGCCACCTTTGTATCCCCAATGCTGAGCAATTTTTTTATACACCAGGGACTCAATTCAAGTTACAATGATTGACGATACTGAATGGGCAGTGGTGCACGAGCACAAATAACAAAAAAAATTCAACACGTTCGTAAATAACCCTGCCTCAAAAGAACATATAAAGTTTTGCGCCATTAGCCCTCTTTTCACAGCACGTTATTTAACGCTGAGTCGACCTATAGGAGGAAAATAAATGGTATAGACACACGGCACTTTCGCATCGGCGGTGCGCAAACCACAGCACCACCACTCCCAAAACCACTGCACCACCACTCCCCAAACCACTGCACCACCACTCCCCAAACCACAGCACCACCACTCCCCAAACCACAGCAACACCACTCCCCAAACCACTGCACCACCACTCCCCAAACCACTGCACCACCACTCCCCAAACCACTGCACCACCACTCCCCGAACCACTGCACCACCACTCCCCGAACCACTGCACCATCACTCCCCGAACCACAGCACCACCACTCCCCAAACCACTGCACCACCACTCCCCAAACCACTGCACCACCACTCCCCAAACCACAGCACCACCACTCCCCAAGCCACTGCACCACCACTCCCCAAACCACTGCACCATCACTCCCCAAATCACTGCACCACCACTCCCCAAACCACAGCACCACCACTCCCCAAACCACTGCACCACCACTCCCCAAACCACAGCACCACCACTCCCCAAACCACAGCACCACCACTCCCAAAACCACTGCACCACCACTCCCCAAACCACTGCACCACCACTCCCCAAACCACTGCACCACCACTCCCCAAACCACTGCACCACCACTCCGCAAACCACTGCACCACCACTCCCCAAACCACTGCACCACCACTCCCCAAACCACTGCACCACCACTCCGCAAACCACTGCACCACCACTCCCCAAACCACTGCACCACCACTCCCCAAACCACTGCACCACCACTCCGCAAACCACTGCACCACCACTCCCCGCACAGAGACAACAAAGACAACGGTACCTCTGAAGCCTAGCGTTGTTTTTGGGGCATACAGTATTCTGCGAGATGGAAACAGTTAAGTCAGCACACACACACAAAGACACTGAAACACAAACATTTTAGACTAAAACAAACGTATGGATTAAGTTTTACTGCATCCAGATTTTTTTTAAACGCTTCCCAGCAGCTTCTCAACTCAAAAGACGGGGTAGAGAGGGTTCTTGAAAGAGTTTCAGACATTTAAAAAATATATATCCAGTTAAGATCAGCACGGTGAGAATATTCGTTCACGGCTTTACCGATGACAACTCTCGGTCATAAATGCCGGAGTTAGTTACACAACTCCGTTAGTGACTCAACTCCGTTAGTGACTCAACTCCGTTAGTGACTCAACTCCGTTAGTGACTCAACTCCGTTAGTGACTCAACTCCGTTAGTTACTCAACTCGGGACGCCGTGAGACGATGGGTGCACAACGCGAATGGCGAAGATCCTTACACTGCACGTACACAGTCCTGTTTAAGTACTGCCATGATGTAGGCACCGTGGTGCTGGTGCTTGCCGCCTTATCTGCCGACGAACACTTTACCCGGACAGTGCCCGGGTGTTGTAAGAATCTAAGCAGGGTTTTCAGCCTGGATATTCCTTTTTAGATTTGCAATCACCACGTTCGTAAACACGCAGAGCTGCGATAGGCGTTGTGGACAGAAGAGGACGCGGCTAACAGCCATCGCTATGCACCAAACCTTCACAAATCCACACTGACCAGTTTGGTGAAGTATGGTCCAGGCCCACACCCGGCAGTGTATTGACAAAACTGCCGGCGTGTGCACTTGACTGCCCCACGTGTTTGCGTGTTCTAACCCATTGCATGGCAACACCATTGAGCCGGTGTCTATCCACTGCTGGGTTGAAGATCTTCGCCACTGAACTCAGCGCTGCTGCTGCTGCTGCCACCGCCAATCTCATCAATTCAAACATCGGAGTTGATCATTTAAACAAACAAAAAAAGACCCGAAAGAAAAAAAATCCACATCCAACGTCGCAAATCCCAAACACATTATTATCATTATCTCTCGGTATCTCTCTGTATCTCACCTGGTTGTAAAAAGTCTTGAAATTGTGCGACTGCTGCTGGTTGCTGGCGCTCCAGGCTGCAGCGGTGGCGGTCTGCGCCAGGCTCCCATCGCGAGCAGCTGACGCCACTCGCTGGCTCCCGGCCACATCCCTGACACCGCCACCACCACCGTCACCTTCGTCGTTCTCGTCGGGCAAAAACTCCACGTACGTGGCCGGGAAGAGACCTCTCTCGCCTCGCATGTTGGTGCCCTCGAACCATCCGTCGCCGACGCCCTCGTTGAAAACGGTGAGGATCTCTCGCTCCCTGATGGAGATCTCGCCCTCGTTCTCGCTCTGGAAGTCGTACAAGGCGCGGGCCCGGCGCGACACCATGGTTCAACGGCGGTGCAGGACGATGAAGACGATGGTGATGATGGTGGTGGTTGAATAAGGATGGAGGGGAGGAAGAACCACCGTTTTTGTTTCTGAAGCCGAGCAACGGTGGAGTTTGGTGTGTGAGCGAGAAGGCGGGGCGTGTGGAGCGTGATGGGTCCGGTCTGTGTGTGTGTGCGGGAGAGAGGAGGGAAGAGAGAGAGCGAGAGTAGCACGCCCTCTCTGTCGCGGCGACGTCACTAATGCTAATACACAAACAACAACAAGAAGAAGAAGAAGCAAAAGAGAGGAAAATCCCACGAATAGCCTCTAACCACGCCAGGCTGTTTGGGGCTAATGCCGTTTGCGAAAGTGTTGTGAGCCCGGCTGCCTTTGTCTCCCCAGTGGCGATGTTTGCGCACAGCAACAGGTACTGGTCATCCAAAGGCTGAGCAAACTATACCGTGGCTTTTTGTTTGTACATCTTGAGAATAATAGCAGGGAAACGAACAACGCGAGCGTGGAGATGGAGCCATGGAATCGTTCGTCTGGTGTGCTTTTGGCGGATGATCGCATTGCAGGATTGCGAGTGGCCTTCATCCAGCAGTGGAATGACAATGGCTGATGATGATGATGATGCTTCAGTACAGATTGGGAGGAGAGGGAGAGCCAGTGTTTGGGAATCAAAGTCAAAAGAGTTGTGTCCGATTGTGTCCGCAAACCGCTCCCCATAAAACTGGTGTTCGATATTAGAAAGCCACTGGTAGCTATGCACTTTGAAATCTAAATTTTTTTTAAATGAATTTCTTTAGAACTGCTTTTGTGTGTTTAGTTGTGACCCTCCCCCACACCCTCCGATCAGCCACGGTTGGGTACGTACGGTGCGAAAGAAGTCCAGCGAATTTGCTGTACCCCGTGCGAACCTTTGACAATGTGTTAAGAATGTCAATGTGTTCAGTAAAAGATACAAGATGGCTTGAAGCAACCACAATTGACAATGATTAACTGTACAATGGTACAGGGAGAAAGTTAAAGGTGCAGCCCTGAAATTGCTTCCTCGGGCTACTGCTGGCGGAAGGGCCTCCGCCATCGAGGGGAGCTCGCCTTTCATATCCCCTTTCATGGGGCTTTTGGCCTACTCTTCCACGCTCGAAGTGGATCGACATCCAGCGGCGGATCAAGCATGTTCGCACGGGACGTGTCCCTGTGTTGCAACGCATTTCACACAGTGACTATCTCCTGCTGGATGAATGGCCTTCCAACCACAGTCCATCGGAATTGATCTCTCATCCATGCACATCCTGGCGGTATCGATGAAGTCCTCACACTGCGTCGACCACGAGGAACTTTTGCATTTACTACAATGTGCCGTACGACAGAAGAAGAAGAACTGATCGCATCGTCCCATCTCCGCTGATGGTCGTTCCCACAAATCGTCGCCAAGTTACTCAGCGTCGCCCATTGCGCGTTAAAGCCTCGCGAAGAGTTAACGGACGCACACAGCAAAAGACGCGGCGTGGATTTGCGGATCGGAGGATCGGGATTGTGTTTGGCAAAGCAATCGCCGCTCCGTGATCCGCAACTCCGCTCCGAGATCCGTGATTCCGCGGTTTCACGCGAGCCCTGGAGCGGAAGCGCCGCCGCTGATGAGCTGGCGTCTCAGACTGCTCCAGAACAGACAAAGGATCGAGATTTGAAGCTTTCGTGACTGCAAGGATTCATACTCTTAGGTTTTTTCGGTAAAGTCACGTAGGTAAAATAATAAAAATAATAGAAATAATAATAGAAATAAATAATTATTTTATCATTATTTAATAGAAATAAAATTAATATTTGATACTTATTTTATTTCTATTATTATTTTTATTATTTGTATTATATTTTTTTTACCTACGTGACTTTACCGAAAAAACCTAAGAGTATAGACAAAGGATCCCCTCCTACGGGTGTAGCGTACACAGGCCGATGGGGCAAGTGCTGTTAACGAGGCACCTATCATTAGAATGTATATTTGTGTACTGGAGGAATCCGATGCGCTATTAGGCAATTTTTTTCACAGATGCCCAGTAGGGGCGGGTCAGAACGTTAAAACGATAAACAATATTTTAAAAAACACACGGCAGGACTGCAAAGTACAGGAAAGACAAACAGATCACTCAAAACAATGTACAAGTAAAACTAAACCAGTGTTTCTATATTACCAGGTAAAGCCCACTGAGGTACTAACTTATTTTTCAGAAGCGATTTGGCCACAAATGACAGCTGAACAAAGTCACTTATTGTATATGGAGAGGTGTAGCAGCAAAACAATCTAAATGTACGCTTCTGGTGGTTACGTAACGAGGTGATTGGTGTGTTCAGAACTCCACCCGGCCGCATCTGTCTCTCTCCACGACTATTATTTTAGACACCGTGCCGACTACTCATTTAAGACTGAGTCAACCTAGGGGAGGACCCATGACGGACCAGTCTCGATTACAATATCACTCGCTGCCACACCGATGTTATCCGTTGGAACTCAGGTGGGTCGGTTCTAATCACTGCGCCACCGCTCCCCAACCACGAACAACGCGGGCGTTCTGAATAAAAAAAACACCTCATTTAGAACCCAAACATCACAAATTGACATTCCTCCTCAAATACACTGATCTATGTATGTATGCTGCACTTCTTTAGCACTGTACGTAGCCAACCGTGCTAATCGGAGGTGCGGGGGAAGGACGACACACTGAAACACTAAAAGCAGTATTAAAGACAGATCACTCAGTTCTAAAGAGATGCGTTTTCAAGCTAGATGAGTTCAAAGTGCATAACCCGTAGTGGCTTCCATATATGTCGGAAGAAGAGCGTTCCAGACGGCCAACATCAACACCTCGATGCGGACATCTTAAACGGAAGATTAAATTTCGATTTAAAGCTTTCGTGACTGCAGGGATTCATCTTGTTGTTTTTTTCCGGTAAAGTCACGTAGAATGGAAATAATACAATAATAAAAAATTAAACATTATAAAATAATTCTCACGACGTTTCGGCCACAACGCAAGCAGCCGTCCTCAGGTGAAGAACAGGTATGTCAAGGAGACAGAGTCTGAATTAAAGACAAGCTACAGTAGTGCGATTGTGGCCTCTGCAACCCAAACTATGGACCGTTTAACAAACCACTGTAGTATAGCCTGCGCTCCGTCAACAGAGGTGGAGGAATAGCAAAACTCCACGAACTCTCCCGCCCCGAAGCCCCTTTCGTCGTGGCCAGCAGCAGACCTCGACAGTAGCTCCTGCACACATTGCCATGGGCAAGGGGGTGGAACCAGTGTGTCGGCACAAGGGGACACTGTTGGGTTTGTGTGAACAATTCAGGAATCTCCTCCCTTTCACTGCCGGTCACCAGGGTGGTCGATCCACTGCTGGATTAGGGCCTCCCTGCATGCCCTGTGCGTTTTTTGGCCATGCCAAGCCACGCCGGCCAATGCCGGTTTGGTGCAGGCGGGAGGAGGGAAGTCAACAAGTCCCGTGCACTGAGCACAGTGGATTTTGCTGCACTGCCATCTGCCGATGGCGGGAGCTCAGTGGCAGTCGATAACGACCTGCTGCTACTGTTAATCGTGGTGGTCGTCCATCCGAGCACACTCCCTACCAACATCGCTTCGGGCAATTTTGCCGATTTTGCCCGCTAGATTTAGTGACTTTATAGCAACAGCGCAGCAGTACTTGTCAAAGCAATCACAAATAAATACATCTCAGAATATATTGGGCCGAGGGCGTTGTACAGAAGTAGGAGTGGTCCCAGGTCTACATTTAAAGGGTCATGTAACTGTTTACCGAGTTAAAGTTTAAGTGTCCTACGTAATTTACTAATTTTCAAATACGAAAACGCCCAACACCGTCGCACGACCGATTGGGCCTCATGACATTGGCTGGCTAAGAATAACGCGATGATGTCATTCAACCAAGATCGCATGGCTGTAAGATGACTAAACGAGTTGGCGGTTTCCGAGATAGCGCCCCGTCCATCTGGTTTGGTTTTATGATGACCTCCCATTCCTGACCCACATCCTCAACGGAGATCAAAGTGGCTTTTACTGGCTGCTCCTGACTGACGTGGCCATCAATCCCCAACCATTCAGAAACAATTATCAAGCAAAAAAGATGGGATGAAAGAAAAAGAAACCGACGAAAAACGTCGTTTACAACAAGTATAAACATTTCAGTGGGTGCGGTGTTCGTGCAGCAGTGGATTGACTGAGTGTTGTAAAACGACGCGAGCAGCACTTTCTGCAGTGTTGCTAGAAATGCGCATGCCCTCCATCAGAGGGTGTTTTCACGGGAAGACGCTGACTTTGATATATTAAATATCGCACATTATTTATGGAAAGTCCATCCGACCTTGTTTAGATGTTATAACATATCTAATTTTATAACTTGACTTTACACGTAGGTGACACGCGAAATGTTAACCATTTCCCTGCATTTTGGAATTCCCAGTCGTTATAGTGTTTCAAGACACGACGCAAATTAATGTACGGTCCGCAGGTGATGTATAAGTCACCAATGCCAGCTGTCCTCACAGCACCGAAATAGGACGGTTTCCCTGGCATTAATAGCTATCTATTGTTCCGTTACAATGCAGTGCGAATGACATAAGATGATGGAACATATGAAAGGTACAGCCCTGCAATTCCATGTTTACACCACTGCTGACAGAAAACCATCTGCTAGGAGACGTTCTAGAGAGCCCCTCTACAGAGTATTTGGCCTACTTTTCCATCCTGGCCCATACGTCTTGGAAGACCTGGGAGTGGACCAACACTTTACACCACCACACGTAACCTGCCGACAAACCTGTGTAGCACGCATTTAGACGGCCGGGTGGACGGTACCAAAAGGGTATTTCTGCGCGCATTTCCACCACGTTTGGCTACGGAACTTGTTTGACCTTTAGCAGGAATTACCAACAACAACAAAAAATGCTTGAGGTTGCAAAGAAATATGCTGACCGATCTCTGTTTGTGCGGTAGCCTCACTCCTCGCCGAGCTGAACGCTGCAGCTTGATCAGCACTTGTCTCGCAGCGGGGGTTAAAACAACACACGTGTTTACAACTATGGACCATCGATTCACTTGCTTCTAGCATGGACGGCCGCCATGCCGATCACCGGCGTGGCTTGTTTTGTAGGATGTTGGGAGGCGTGCTGCATTATTAAAGCCACGGTGGAAACATTTCAGGTCGCCGTTTCTCCTTGGCTTGTGCGTGTCCGATTCCGTTATTTTCCACGAGGGTGTTGTTACCTTTTCAGGAAACGTGCACAGAACAATTGGAACCTGGCACCATTGTATAAAGAGCTAAAGTAAAAGTAATATTTACGGTGCATATATAAAAACGATCATGAAGCAAAACATAGGCAGATATATCTACAGTACAAACTAAGTAAAATATTAAATATAATAAGCAGTTACTGTACATTGAATGGTGACCTGGTTGGTCTAACATTTTCAAATCATATATTTTTTTAAATATTCATGTGTATTTTTATATATCTATAACGCCTCTTATCTCGAATTTGTTGAGACCGGGATGCATTTATTGTGCGCCTCCTCTTTCGTGCGAACAAAACTATCACAACAGGATGCCACTTACAGTTTTATCCGTCCGTGTTTATGTTCTGCTCGGTTAACACACGCCGGGCAATGCACAAGAACACCAGCAAAGTGCACACGCGCAGTGCACGTGCCCAGCATTTTCCAGGAATCGCCTGACATTGCGCGCCCACTGAAATACAAAGCTCGGCAATTTGTTCCGATTTCCAAAAACGGTTGTAAAACGACACCGAGCCGTGCCGATCTGGCCCGGGCACGAACCCCATTCCTTGTCCCGTCTCTCCAGGTAGCTGCGCGGCTCCACAAGGATCGGCTCCTTCCCTTCCAGGACTTTACTGCATCAAGAAAGGGAGAAATAACAAAAACTAACAGAGCTACGTCTGGCAGAAAATCACAGAGTAAAACACAAAAACACAGTAATTACAAATATTAAACGGCAAATAAATACGTGACAAAAATAGTTGCTTCAAGAAATTACAAATGCCAAACCGAACTAAAACAGCAAAACAATTAACGCAGTACCATTTTATTTAATACTGCAATTAAATGCAACCGCATTTCATGACGCCGTATAGAAATTTGGTGTATTCATAGAGTGCGCGAATTGGAGTAGAGTGAGACGAGAGGGGAGAGTTAGGAGAGTGCGTGGGGGGGGGGGGTAGGAGAGTGTGTGAAGGGATGGAGTGAGATGATAGTGATAGCAGGAGAGTGCGTGGTGGGAGTAAGTGAGATGATAGGGGAGAGTTGGAAGTGCGTGGGGGGGAGGGTAGAGTGATGATGAAGGGAGAGGCAGGAGAGTGCGGTGGGGGGTGGGGGGTGAGATGAAGGGGAGGGTTTGGACGTGTGTGGGGGGGGGGTAGAGTGCAATGAGAGGGGAGAGGTATGAGAGTGCGTGGGGGGGGGTGAGAGGGGAGAGATTGGAGAGTGCGTGGGGTGAGTGGAGTGAGATGAGAGGGGAGAGGCAGGAGAGAGTGTGTGGGGGGAGGGGGGTAGAGTGCCATGAGAGGGGGAAGTTGGGCAGTCGTGGCTGCCACCTTGAAATCGACCCGGGACCGGGTTGGGAGCAAGCCGAGCAATCGCGAAACTGCGGTCACGTGGTCTCGTTTATCCACGGACGCTTTGAATCTGCAGCAGTCGGCAGCACGGCGCGTGCCAAACGCTGACCTCTGCTACGCGTGTCAACGTATGTCGCTGAGCTCACATGCACACGAAGCTAGACAACCAAATACACATATATATCGGCAGGGCATGTCTGCGTGGCGGGGTGCGCTGTCACGAGACGCATCTCCCGTGCTACAACAGCAGTGACACCGGCCAAACGGGAGCATCAGCGTGGCGAATTAAACATAAACGTACCGCTTGGGGTATGCCCCTAGAAGCGGGTTGTATGTCATCCCGTTTGCGAAATACAATGACAACTTTAACGTCAAAACCTTTCGATGCCGTCGACTCTTCAACCATCGGCCACTGGGTGGCGCCCTCGCATCGTGCACCGCTCTTCGCGTACTACATCCAATTTTGACTTAAAACTTTTCGTGACTGCAGGAATTCATACTCTTTGGTTCTTTCGGTAAAGTCACGTAGATAGAAAATAATAATTTTAATTTAATTAAAATTAATTAATTAAAATTAAATTAAAATAAAAGCAAAAAACCCACGACGTTTCGATCGCAACACAAGCGGTCTTCTCCGCCTGATAATTTTATTTTCATTTTATTTTAATTTTCTACCTACGTGACTTTAGCGAAAGAACCAACGAATATGACGTCCATCAAACGCTGCTTTCATTTCCCAAAAAATAAACTGCTCGTCTCCGTCATGGAGACACTGCCCTGAACGCTCCGAAGAAGGCCCATTGCTTAGAACATTATTTTTACCCTTTGGTTCTTTGGGTAAAGTCACGTACGTAGAATTTTTTTTTTATATATAAATGTAAAGTGACGTAGGTAGAAAAATTAAATAAAACAAAAAATACTTTTTTTATTTTAAAACCTACGTGACTTTACCGAAAGAACCAAAGAGTATGGATCCCTGCAGTCACGAAAGCTTCACATCAAGATTGACATTACCTTTGCATTCTAAGGAGGGGATGTGGTACGTTGTTTCATACTCTGGAAATATAATTCCATAGCTGTCAACCCTTTATCAGTGCCTACCATGATACAGAACAATTCAGACCTTATTGATCACCCCGTGCCCCTTATCAGTCTCAACGTTAATCCTACAAAGCCACATCACGAGAGAGAAACACAAACACTTTTTTGTGCCCGTATTGAAACGGCTGTACGCCGTATGGACCAGAAAACTCGCTTGACAAGATTGCGGGGTAACCCGTAATGGGTTGACACGACATGTGATTTCCCTGCTTTGGGAACGAAATGTGGGTTTCAAATTGTGGACGACGACGAATACCACAACGATAGCGTAGACACGTGGTGTCGCCCTTCTCCTGTCCTCCTTCCACTCCACCGGCGTCTCGTCTCCTGACATCGCTGTCTTTTCAAACACCGACTCTCGTCTTTAAATCGCTCCATGGCCTTGCCCCAAATCAGTGTGACAATCTCGTCTCCTTCTATGCCTTGTCTTGCCGTCTTCATTCCCAACCCTCTCTCTCTCTGTGTGTGTCTCTCTCCTCTCTCTCTGTCACTGTTTCATTGCTTTCATGGCTTTATTTTCGTGATTTCGAAAAGTGTATTGGTTTAGCCATGTTTGTTTGTTGTAGTACAGAGTTAGACTGATGGCCTTAATCTAAGTTGTCTTGTGGTTGTTGTTGTTTGACTTGCATCCCACTGGGATTTGTGCACACAGCGTTGGTGTACGGTGATTTTTTTTCTGCAATATTTTGCTGTCTTTTCTTGGATTTTCTGTTAGCACTTAGTCACATAGTCACTTTAAGATGTTTTTTGTTCGTGTTTTAGTTTTTTGTTTGTTTCGGTTGCACCCGATTCAAGAGCCGAATGGCTCACAGGGCTATACCTAATAAATGAACTTGAACTGTCTCTTCTTCTGCGTGTGCTCAATCTCGTCTCCAGTCCTCCCTCCTTGCACCCCTCCACTGGAATGAACTTGTAATGGGTGGTCCAGATGTCTTGCGACCCCCTCCCCCCCCCCCCCAATTGATTTAACCCGAACATGTTTTTCTTTTGCATATTCACTTCTGTTTTATATAAACCTTACTTCTAAACAAATGACGTTTTAGATAATTAAATGGGGGTCACAAGACCTCGTTCCGCCCCTCTCTTAAAGCCTCCACCTCTTCTCTATCGGCCATTCTCTACCTCTTCTCTCTTCCCGCCCCTCCATTTCTCCTCTCCCCTCACCCCCACGCACCCCTCTATCGTGACCACCCATTCCCTCATCCCATGCACGGCCCTGCCATCTCAATAATTACTTTGTTCATACAGTTTTTTTTACTATTATGTTAAGCGCCGTGATCAAAGGCGCTTTATAAATATAAATTGAGATACGATTCCAACGGTCAATATTGCCATACTCATTGCAGAAAACTTAGATTTCATGAACACGCCGCGTATGGCTGAACATTGTAGGAGGCCCCTCTAGCAATTCGATACAAACAGATGAAGTAACTTTTTTTAACCAGGTAAGGCCCAAGGTCAGAGTCGGGATCGAACCCACGACCTCCTTGCATCTCGCCACCGCGGCGCCCAAATGTAAAGTCCTTTGTCAAAGCACTGCTGGATGAAAGTCTCTCTACACCCTGTCGCTCGTGGGGGTTTATTGGCCATAACTTTACCGGGCTGATTTGTTCGAGTTGACGAAGGAAGAGCCCAGAACCGGTTCAGATAATATTCACCGCTCAAGATTATCCGTGGCCGGAATAGAACTCCGGTGACTTCAGACAGCAGTGTGCTAACATTGCAAATTTCTGGCATGTTCTAGAAGTGCGTCTGTTGCTCATCTCCGTCAATACCGTGGGACGGCTGTCCACACATTTCCGTTGCGTGATACACGGATCGCAAATTTAGGGGAAATTCTAAAGAGCGCCTTGTGTGCTTCAACTCTGCCCTCGTGCCGGCTAGCGAGCGGCGTGACTCCACGTGGAATGCGTGGACTCGACACGTTGCAATTCAGGTTTCGGGTAAATAAGTGTGGAATGTTTTGTGCCACTATTTCCTGCGATGCAGCATTTTTTTTTCCCTTTCCACTGACCGGCAATAGAATTACAGCTTCCGCCATGATTCCCGTTGCGTGACATTTTTCTCAGCGGGCTCCTTGCTGTGCTTGAGTCACATTTTGCGTAAGTTTTCTGATCATACCCTCGTCATTTCTTTCCGTGTCATAAAATGACACGCTCAACAGCACTATTGATGCTCGTGAAATTTCTCAAACAGACATTTCATATCAATCGCAAGACGAGAGGTGTGTTTTTTTGTATTTCCGGCTTGTGTTTAATTAAAAACTATTGTTCGCTTTCCTCCAAAAGGTTTGGATGACTACTGTCCTGCATTCCTGATGTGCGTCCATCATTGTGTTTCGTTTATTGTCCTTCCCCCCGCACTTCCGATCAGCACAGTCTGGCTACGTACGGTGCGCAGGAAGTTCAACACACATACAGAGTGTCTGTGAGCGCTGGAGGTCACGACAGTTGACCCTGGGACGTGCTGTTCACTGGCCCACCGGGTGTGCCACTCTCACGAGGAGCGTCCGAGCGTGCGGGGCGAGCTGTAGGATCGTAGACGCCGGCTCCTCGATCGATAGCTTCACAAACAACTCCGAGCGGTGGGACAAAGCGGCGCTCCATCCTAACGGTGCCCGGGTGAGCGAATTCCATCCCAGACGTCGGCACTCACAGGGCTCGAGGCGGGAAATTCAAAAAAACTCAGGCATTGCAGTTCGTTACCAACTTTTTTGTTGGTTGCCACAAGTTGCACAACGAATACGCCGATGCGAGGATTGTAGTTTATTGTTAAATAAATCTCCGTTGTAAACGAGCTCGCAGCAAGCTACAGCCATACGGAATCTTTGTAAGTTGGGGGGGGTAAGACCTCGTGACCTGGTTGCTATTTGCGGTCGTGGCTAATGGGAAGCTGTCAGTGGTAGCAGAGTGATTAAGTCGGAATTTGAAACTCCCCGGGCTCTTGTATACGCGCTGTCGATGCATTTCATTTTAATGTACAACTCGGACTCAGTCTCGTTTCGTTTTGTGAAGACTGTGGGGGGGGCTGACGGACAAGCCCCGGAACTCTGTATTTTGAGGAATGTAAATAAACCCTTCTGTTCCGTAACCCATTCTGCATCCCGGCGAGTTATTTTACGGTTGCTGATGGGAAGGGTTCACTTCCGCTATTCGTCTATGTTGTTTGCGGTTATTGTGCAAGCAACATCGATGTATTGGCTCCCTCCAGTTGTTTATAAGTCGATTCGTATTTCATTATCGCGTCTTCTCGAGTTGATACAGCTGCCCGTGGGTTTCAGTTTACGCTGCGCCCTTCATCCATACTGCTCTTATTGTGGTGGTGATGATGTTGGCTCGATACAGTTATTCGATCCGACTGCATATTATTTAGTCTTAGCGCAGCTGCATGTCGATCCCATTCTTTGAATCCCGCCTTTCAAATTCTGTCGCGTCCAATTTCAGCGCCGCTGGGGTTTTTTGTTGTTGTTGTTGTTGTTGTGTACTCAGTTTATTTATTTATTTTGCGTTCCTTGCCCAGTAAGCGATGAGTTCCACTCCATGACGGTTTTTCATCTCGTTGTTTCCTCCGGTTCGATCGTCTGCCGGGCCTTCGCTAAAGCTTCTCCGCCAAGTCTCATCCTCGCCCCGAGTTGCCGCAGTCGTCCTGTCAGCCTCACGCGACCAAGCACGACTCAAACCTTGAGAAACTGTTGGATCACTCTGTGCATTGCAACAATCTTCCAAGTGTGCCGATACTCTGTGTTTTTTTTATTCGGTGGAATGAGAAATGAGGTGCCCTGAGCCTGTGGTGGAAATTCCACATTGCTATGGCAGGGATCAGTTTTTTTGTAGAATAAACACCGTTGGTTTTATGCAAAGTGCAATTAATTTTATCAGCCCCATAATTATGACAACAGGCTAGGTTAATATATAAAACAGATTCTGTGATCTTCTTGGTTCTTTCGGTAAAGTCACGTAGAATGGAAATAATAAAATAATAAAAATAAAACATAATACAATTATTCTCACGACGTTTCGGCCACAACACAAGCAGCCGTCCTCAGGTGGAGAACAGGTCTGTCGAGAAGACAGAGTCTAAATCGAAATCAGATTATGTGAATTACATATTTATAATTTACAGCACTTTTACAATCCACTGATGGATTAAGGCCTCCTCACGCCGTGTCAGTCACGGGGGTTTGTTTGACCATACTTCACCACACTGGTCAGCGTAGGTCAGTGAAGAGGTGAGGAGCCCAGAATAGATTAAGATGTCGCTCGTCACTGATGTTCGCCTTGGCCAGGAGTCGAACTCAAGGGGCCGGATCCATCGCCTATTCAACGTGCAATATCCAGATTGTGAATTAAGCGCCCAAACCACAACTCCACCCAACCGGTTACATAAGCTCTACTACATATCTCCATAAGAAGACAAGGACAACGATCCCCCGTATAGCCTTAACAGACTGTTGGGGCAAGTGCTGTTCGTGAGTAGCACCTATGAAGGCAGGCACGGCCCACGTAGGGGGTTGGTGGCCAGCCCCACGCCCGGCCGCCTTTTTCTCCCTAGTACTGATGTTTACACACCGCACCAGGTACTCATTTTGGGCTGAGTCAACCTACGGGAGGTCCCAGGAGCGGTTCTAATAATCATCACAGGTGTTGGACGTGAGCCGGATATCGAACTCAGGTCACCGGGTTTGTAGCGCAGCACAGTAACCGCTAAAACTACCACTCTGCGCATACACACACACAAAAGAATAATTGAATTGAACAATCGGTGAAACTGACCATTCACTATTGTAATAACATTTCTTTTTTACTACATTTCTCATTGTAGCAAAGTAGACTTTCGGTATTTAATATAACTCATGCCCTTCATTAGCATAACATGTTGGCATTGATATGTTTGGCCGTACATTCAACTCAGGACGCAATGACCTCTCCTTTTGAAATGCATTACTAACGCCTTGTTCTGAGTAAGGAGACAGGAAGAACGCACGACATGGGAAACATACCGTGTGCTCCTGTTGCAACATCATTTTCTGTAGAGACAGAGAAATACCATTGAACTACAAAAGACTTTACCGATAGCTTAAAGCATGCATTCATCATGTGCGTGTATACCAATAAATTAAGAGTTCGTCATCTATTTTGCCATATTATGTATCTGATCTCCCACTTGTTTTCCGATTGTGCTCTCAGCTGCAAGTCAAGGGGCCACAATCACCATTTGGATCGTTCACACTTCGTCAGAGCAGAGTGCAAGCCCACGTGCTCGAGAACGTCCCACGGAGCTGGACATCACAGAGCTTCTTCCGAGATCCCTTCAATTGACATTCTGCACGACACGGAAGGGGGCAGCACTTCCTTGCCCACTCTGCCAATGAGATGTCTGCAATGTCCATCACGTGACAGTGAAAACCCGAAATGTTTCATTTTCGGACCTGGAATTTAGTCAGGTTAAGATTGTTGGTGTGCGTTAAATGGTGACTGGCTTGGGACCATCAACTCACTACACGTGAGAACCCAGTTTAATCGCTGTCTGGATTCGAACCTTGCTATATAAGACATCTTTTTTTTTTAAACCACACTATATTAGGCATGCAAGAGTCCCGGCTCTCACACCTACGCCTCCCCTGTGTGCAGCGTCACGGCATTGCGCCACACTGCTCAGCATTCCCACTTTTCTTTGCCAAGTTTATCCCTTCTCGACAAGGCGGCGGTGTCCACTTTATCGCTCGGGCGCATGCCCCAACAACGCCCTTTATCTCAAGCCCAAGGCCCCCGCAATCTCTCTTTGCTCACACTGGAATCGTTCCCATCACCCCCACGCGTGCCCGTTCGATTCCTGGGTAATTACGGGGTGCACAGCGCTTGTTGAATTTCCCATGATCCGCGCTTGGCGCTGGGGGAACCCAGCTTGGCGCGGCCGCTGTGCCCGAGCAACGGAGTGGCGAAGGGATGATTGTTGGCTGTCCCCGTGCCGTAGGCGTGCTTGCCACTCAACACTGGAAGGGCTTGCCGCGCCTTCTTGTGTGTCGTGCTGGCAGAACGCGATGACAAACGTGTCACCTTAGCAATAAGTACATATTTGCCTTTTAGTGGCGTCAAAAACTCTCGTGTTGAAAAAAAAGGAGCGTGTGTGTGAGTGCGTGTTGAATGTTATACACGCTGGCATGTTAAAGTGTTTCCCATGCTAAAAACAAGCGTCGAATTGTGCCCATCTCTATCAGTGAGCCTGAGACAGTGGCTAACATCTCATTCTCTGTACATGCGCATGTTACCACGTGTGCCCCTCGTGCCCGTGTAGACACAATGTGAACATGCACATGCAAAGCCCCTTACCCTTTGTCGTGGGGGCTCTTTGACCGAACCACACCACGTTGGTTACTGATGGCTGGTGAAGGCTGGGACGCATATAAACGGGAGCATAGTACAGCACAATATTGTATTTGACTGCGCTGCCGTCAGCTGCCCACAATGTAGCCTTGCAGCTGCCGATGACAGAAATGCATAATTAATACAGCCCTAAAGGGGAAAATGTATTTTTGTTTTGCTAAGGGCAATGATATTGAATATTGTGTCGAGTTTGTTGATGTGTTGTTGATATTTTGTGCAATGGTGGTCACACATCCGAGCATTCTGCCAGATCAATCCTGCTTAGCTTCCGATGATTGACGGGATGGGGTACATTCTGTGCGATTTGGCCGTACGAGACGTGTCACGTGTACGTATGCGATGTTTGTTTATGTTATACTATCATGGTGTGAGTCTGCCAGTCAGCTGTCTGAAGTGCTCCAGAAAATATATTTATACAATGACAGAGGCATTAACCGACTCGAGCTGCTTTCTGGGAGAGATTAAAAAAACCTCTGCAAAGAATAAATGTTCTGATGTAAAAGTGTGGGGAATGCCATGCATATCATTATCACCCGGAATATTTATTGTGTCAAATGTCAGCACTATTTCTATTGCTCCTCGGTAACAATTCATATTTTAAAAAAAAATTCTCGTGTTTTTCATGTAAATAACAGTGAATAGGCATGGACCAAAAACATCAAGGCTACTGGGTCAGATCACGTACAATAAACTTCAATATCTCGGACACGTGACCGTGGTGAAGGGTGACCGGATTCAAAGAATGGTGATGATGGTAGCTTTGGGAAGAGAAAGACCACACGATCTGACTGGGCGTCGAACATCGAACACTGGGCAGGATGGAAGACGTCTCAGTTGAAATACGCAGCGATGGACAGTGAAAAAGTGGAGAGTCACTGAAAGGACATATCGGCGAAGGACACAGTCATGCCCCAGCGGCCCGAAGAGCCAAAGAACGAGACGACAGAGAAGACATCCAGGTATACAACTGTTGAATTTGTATTCATCAAAAGAGACAGTGGTGATGTCCCCTGTGTGCGTGTGTGTGTGTGGTTGTCTGCGACTTTCGTATAATTAATCTTGTGAATCATGCGACTGAGTAACAAGATACAACGACTCAACAAATGGCTAGACCGAATGTGGTGAAAATTTTAATGAGTAATTCAAGCTGACAATAACAGAACAGGGCTGGAGTCTTGGAATTGGACTCCGTTTATGAACGTTACTGGAGAGATTCAGAATCTGGGCAGCTATTGAAAACGTGTGGTTTTGTACAGCCAGGTGCCTTCGTCAAACATTGAGCCTTCGTGTAATAATAAAAATATATATTTTTATTAATAAAAAAATATATATATGTATTATTTTATTTTTTCCCTTCTACGTGACTTTAACGAAAGAACCAAGAATATCTTAACACCTGTTTTGTTGCCAAAAAAAGTGAAAACCCTATTATCATATTTTGGTACTGGAAAAGGAGATCCCATGATTTTAATTTTACCAGGCAAGGCCCACTGAGCTATGTAGCTCTTTTTCAGAAGCGATCTGGCCAAAAATGATAGCTCAACGAAGTGGCTTATCACGTGGAAATGTATCGCAGCCAAATACTCTGAAATGCATGTTTCTATATGATGGAGGGAAACAGCGGAGAATCCGGAGAAAAATCCACGCGATGACGGGTAAAACATCCAAATATACAGCAGGCGTCAGGGTCAGGATCTAACCCACGACCTCTTGTATACCAGGCGAGATAGTTAACATCTCCGAGCCACAGTGGTGCCCCTACCGCACAATGACCACGACGCAAGGCTCGCAGAGCAAGCAAAGCGAACGTGCCAAGATGAATGACTGCGATTGGCTATTGACACATGAGTGTGATGGCTGGCCTCTGCGTGTGTCTCTTGATGCGAATGATGGGGCAGTGTGAGTCCACACTTGTTTGCAGTTTGTGGAACACACCTAACCTCTGTGCTTTACCATCCCATGCAATGCGGTCACATGATTCATAGCTGCACAGTGGTGCAGTTAGTTAACACTTTAATGTGACCTGAGTGCATATGAATAAAACAATAAAATGTGAATAGTTTGGATTGGCTCCTCTTTCCCATTTCTGTTTTACCATTCTCGTTGCAATCTCAAAGTAGCGGTGCCCGCTTTGAAAATGGTTTAGGTAATGTTTCATTATAGATTTTAAGTTTTCGTGACTGCAAGGATCCATATACTCTTTGGTTCTTTCGGTTAAGTCACGTAGGTGAATTTTTTTTTTATTAATTTACGACGTTTCGGGCGCAACACAAGCGCCAGTCATCAGGTGGGATAGAGAGCAGCTCTCTTGACAATTTCAGCAATTGTTTTCTTGCTGTGGTTGTCCCACCTGATGACGGGCACTCGTGTTGTGCCCGAAACGTCGTGATTTTTTAATTATTATTTTTTCACCTACGTGACTTTTACCGAAAGAACCAAAGAGTTTGGGTAATGTTTGTATATCTTTATGAAGGATGATGACGACGATGATGATGTGATGACTGGACGGTTCACCTGTTTAATTCCTATATTATACTGGTTGGAACCTCCTGGTTACACCAGCCCACAGGGGATTATTGTGTCCGTCGTGCATGGGAGGGGTGGGGCTGGGTGGAGAGGGGAGGGTGGGGGGCTGGGTGGGGAATGGAGTGTGGGGAGGGGCTGGGTGGGGAGGGCGGGGCTGGGTGGAGAGGGGAGGGTGGGGAGGGGCTGGATGGGGAGGGTAGGTAGAGTCTGGGTGGGGAGGGTGGGGCTGGGTGGGGGGAGGGGTGGGGCTGGGTGGGGAGGGGCTGGTCACCCCGTGGTGCCCTTATAAAACTCAACGTTTAACCTACTCACGCCGGCTTGTGCCCGCCCTTACAGTCGGACATATTTGCGGAATACACCACGCCGCCGTTGACCCAGCCCATTGACCGAGCAACCCAACGTGTTCCTACCAGCTCCCTCTGCAGGAATGTGTTAATCAGAGCACTGAGCCCACACTGCTGAGAACCTGCGTTGGAATTTGGGCAGCCACTCATTAATTTGGAGAGATGCCCATGATTAAACCGGGCACTCAAGTGTAACGAGTTTGATAGTCTCAGCACGATAACCATTGTCTTTGTAACGAACAAAACATTCGGTTTAAATTTAAGCATACACTTTTGATTTTACAGAATTCTGGGATTGGTTTGGTTATTTGGCAAGATATTCACAGAGTGGATAATTGACCTCTTTGCACAGTAAAACAAATATACAATCCACGGATTACACTCTGTCACACAATTTTTGTTCCTGGGTAGTAAGTTTTATTTCGTAATCGCTTATGCCTAAAACGTATAGAAAATGGCTATTATTCCCCACAAACTTTTCTATTGTAACCAAGACAGTGATATTTTGAAATTTACGTATTTTCAATGAGAAAACGGGCGATTTTGTGTCTTTTCGTTCACATAAAGTCAGAAAAAAACATATGAATCAAAATTAACATGTATTTATCCTAAAGTAATACAAAAATTATTACAAAAGATTTAGAAGTGAGTCGTTTTTCGAGATTTACGATTATACTGGAAATCACTTTCACGAATCAGCCCCCAAATGTAGTCTCCCATCATGTGCTCGTTATACTGTCCTTGTTAGCGGCGTTCAAAGTCCAGTATATCCTGGTGGAAGCGCTCACCTTGCTCCTCCGAGTACGCTCCCATGTTCTCTTTGAATTTATCAAGATGACCATCAAGGATATGGACTTTGAGGGACATCCTACAGCGCATTGTGCCGTAGTTCTTCAACAGAGTCTCAACCAGCTCCACATAATTTTCGACCTTGTGGTTGCCCAGGAAGCGACGAACCACTGCGACAAAGCTGTTCCAAGCCGCTTTCTCCTTACGAGTGAGCTTGTTGGGGAATTCATTGCACTCCAGGATCTTCTTTATCTGTGGTTCGACAAAGACACCGGCTTTGACCTTTGCCTCAGACAGCTTAGGGAAGAAGTCTTGAAGGTACTTGAAGGCTGCCGACTCCTTATCTACAGCTCTGACAAATTGTTTCATGCCGAAATAGGCCTCACACATCTTAGCAGATGCTTCCACGGAGTACTTTTTCGCTCTTGTCTTGATAAATTGGCCGCAGACATACCAAAATGCGTCTGCCGGATGCTTGCAGCCTCTTGATGCCATCTCAGAAAAATGCAGATATGTATCCACTTAGGTAGCTGGAAGTAAACTGAACTAATGGGCTTAAGGCCCCTGTATTTATACTACTATTTATATTACTGGAAAATTCTAGAATTTTCTCGAAGTTGCTCCAAGTTTACTCAGCACTGAATCTATCTGGAATGTTCTGGAAAATAGGTAAATATCAAAATATCAATGTCCTGGTAACAAAAGCAAAGTTTGTGGGCAATAATAGCCATTTTCTGTACTTTTGAGACTTAAGCAATGAGGAAATAACACTTACTACAATTATTACACAGTGTTATAATAAAATGTGACCGTTGGAGCAAGTCAGACAATGGATTCGGTCAATTTTCACATTCCCAAACTTCATCCACAGTGCTAAACGTCCGAGAACATGACAGAAAAAACAAACGATTCCTTCTCCGCATAGATGTTTAACCACGCATAGATGTTTAACCACGCGGTAGACGAGCCCCCAAAACACGAAGATAACAATATGCGAGCAACACTCACGTCATTGCATTGCCGCATGATATTGTAAACACAGCGTTAGAGAGTACTGCGCCTTTCGTGCCACAATGGTAGGAACAAGTGCTTCCTTCATTTCGTGGGGCACATTTTCACGTTCCCTCGTGCGTGAACACCGCTCGCCTCTTTTGCTTGACGCGCCCTCCGCATGTTCTCAATTTTTTCTGGCAGAGCGTTTTGTGCGCGGCTCCACAGGGTTACACGGTGGAATTCGCTTCATGCGCCCCCCCACCACCACCACCCCCAGAATGTTCCCTCTCTCTTTTAACTATTTTTAGGCTTTTCAACCGACATCGTTCGCCCCCGCCTCACGCCACACCACCACCACCACCCCCCCTGGTCTCCGTCCCCATGTGCTGTGCACACTGTACACATTCTGGAGAGTTCAGCTAATAAATACAAGCCACATGGCTGACCTGCGAAACTTGTGGCACGAGGAGCAGAAACTCGACTGAAGTTTTGCGATTCAATGGGGGTAGAAGTCAGCGGCGTGAAGTGAGCGTGGCAGCTCAAATGTCTGCCTCCGTTTGTCAGCGTTTTATCGTAAAATTATTTTGGTAATGCACCATTGTGGCTCAGCGTTAGAGAGTTTTTTTTCTGAAAACCTTCTTTTCATTGAAACGTTGAAATGAAACAAACATTAAACATCAAACACGTTGAGCAGCTTGATATAATAATAATTGGTTCTTTACCCTTCTATCTGGCAACAAAACTGACACCTTTTTGCAAGGAGTCATGTTTGCATAGACCGCAATACCTGCAGTCATAATACAAACAAAAGAACATAACTCTGATAATGTGCACTGTCCTTGAAGTTGATTGGTCAGTGCACATTATCAGTGCACATTATCAGAGTTATGTTCTTTTGTTTGTATTATGACTGCAGGTATTGCGGTCTATGCAAACATGACTCCTTGCAAAAAGGTGTCAGTTTTGTTGCCAGATAGAAGGGTAAAGAACCAATTATCATATTTTTACTGGCAAATGAGGTCCCCATAGTACAGCTTGATATATTTAAAATATGAAAATGTAGTTTCATGAAAGAGCCAGATCGATGAACATGATTTTTATTCCAACACGGTCAACGAGGAGGGAATTGTTTGATGTTTGCTTTAATGAGGCTATTAATAACGGCAGTGACAGATTTTGTCCTGCCTTTTTGTACCCTCTCATTCGTACTGTATTTTGTCTTTGGTTCGTCAGTGACGCATTTTATTTTGCCCTACGTCTGCCTCTGTCAGATCGCTCATCAGTTTGTGCTCGTCAATATGGATATTGATGTAAAATCAACAAACAAATTATTCATTCTCTGCCCAAAGGCCGGTTCTTGGCCCACGCTTTCTCCACCCAGGATAACCTTGTGCTCTCTTTTTTAATTTCCAATATTCCTCTCTCTCTTCCCAAATAATTTAGTTGCTGCTTCATTTTATATCTCTCGGTCTCTTTCTCAGAATCCTCCCCTCTCGACAGCTTCCTTCGGCAAGCCTTGAACTGCTCGTTTGTTTAGAACAGATTTTTGTGTGTATTAGTTGTCCTTCCCCGCACATCCGATGAGCACGGTTGGCTACGTACGGTGCGAAAGAAGTTCAACATACATAAATGTACATACTTCCCTACTGACAATGCGCCCTATACAGTTGTAGCTGCCAACGTGATCACATCCAATCCCTGCCGAACCAGTTGATTTCTAATTCAATGCCAAAACCACGTTTCTAAACTCTCCAATCTTCTAATGATCTATTTCCTTTATCAATATCCATATTCTTTTTAGCAACAACCACACCACCACCATCACATTTCACACCAGACGTTTGACTCTCATCTCCCTCTGGTCTCTCTCAATACTTGCGACAAGGAGCACTTTGTTCTGATTGAACACTGATTGGCCCAAGGCAATCAATCCCTGGTTGTAATTTCACTTCAGCTTTTGCCATCTCCTGTTGTCATGTTTCCTACAATATTTAACCCGTTGACCCGTTCCAGCTGGTTTCCTTTAACGGTCACGTTCAATTTGTGTCCACTCTTCCGTAATATTTTGTAACTTTGTATTTCATCAGATTTATTCTCATTTCGATCTGTTAACCTACCAAACTCGAAACATCAACAAGCTTTTTAAAATATTGATTTAAAATTTCGTGACTGCAGGGATTTATATTATTGGTTCTTTCAGTAAAGTCACGTAGAAAGGAAATAATAAAATAATACAAATATAAAAAAGACACTTTTCACGACGTTTCGACTGCAGCACAAGCAATCATCATCACCATCATCACCTGATGATGATTGCTTGTGTTGCAGTCGAAACGTCGTGAGAATTTATTTGTTTGATGTTTTTATTATTTTATTATTTCCCTTCTACGTGACTTTACCGAAAGAACCAAAACATCAACAAGCTTCTATAGCCCTTCCTTAGAATCGGCCAAAATATATTTTTCATCAGCAACTCCAACTGATTTAAGTATTTGGCCAACCAACTTTCATTCCTTCATCAATGTTTATACCAGCTTCCCTTATCATTGCCTGCGCATAAACGTATCGTACCGTATAAACATATCCGTGTCAGTACGCAAACCTGTCTACTCCCTCTTTTACGATCCTGCCTCTTACCTCATATCTGCGATATTGCCCACTGTCGCGTCGAGCTTGGGTGATGGAAAGTAATCGATTATCGGGTGAGTCATTTATTGCACGTATCGTTTGAGTCAAGAATCGGAGCATTGTTCTGGCCCTACTTTAAATATATATATACACCAAATATATATTTTTTTAGATAAAATACTTTCCTGCAAAAATATTTAACATTCAAAAGAACTTCATATTAAACGTACATTTTGAGTTACACCCTTTCATTCCCCAGTAAAGCCTGGCTCAGTCCTCAAAACCACGGTTCAGGAATGCGCTGCTTTAGATGTTACGTCCGCACTTCTCGTTTCACCAACATCACCGTAATTCATGGTGCCTAAAGCAAATGGCATTACATCAGTCGAGCGAACATGCAAGGAAATGCTTTAGAAAAATAATTGCCTCAAAGTATGTAAACCAAGTTGGGCTCAGAAAGAGAGCACCCTTTGTGCACACAAGATGCTTTCCACTCACCACTTCACTCTGGAACTCCCATCATCTATTTTCCAAAGTTATTATGATTATTACTGTGCTTGTTTATACAGGAATGCCTCCCCCCGAGTCTCATCGCTCTTTTTCAAGAGAGCCCTGCCACATTTTGTCGCAGTAAGGGGCCGATGATTGAAATGTTATTTCCGATGGAGTAATTTGTGATATTAACCATTGCAATGGTTAATATAATGGTAGTAGCCACTGTAATGGTTAATACCATTACCATACACCATTACAATACACAGTGGTATTAACCACACAGTGGTATTAACCAGGGTGCCCGCTGGATTAAAACCGTGAATCCTTGCAACGAGCAGTGAACGCGCTACCGCTGAGTCAAGTCACTGCCCGTATAAGGTTATAGCGGGGAATGTGTTAACATTTACCTCATGTGACTTTAAGAATGCTTACTCTTTGGTTCTTTCGGTAAAGTCACGTAGGTATAAAATAAAATATTTAAATATTTAAAATATGTATTTACTTTATACCTAGGTGACTTTACCGAGAGAACCAACGAGTATGGATTCCTGCAGTCACGAAAGCTTCAAATCTAGATTTAAGAATGCTGTTTGTTGATAACCGCTTGGCATTTTGGGCCTTTGGGACGTGCTCAGTAAATCTTTTTTTTTAATATCAACATATGCTGCTCGTTGATATGTTAGTATCAGAATTTCCTTTGTTGCACCTGCATGATGGCATCACCTCTCTCCAACCCGTGACCCTGTCGCTCATGACCGTTTGTTGTCAAATTGTCCGCGCGTCACAACCTCCGTGCAGACACTGACCCTTGAACTCCTCTGGCTGTAGTCCTGACGACGATTGAGCCTGCCATAAGGCTAGCCGTGTAAATGCTCTAACTCACCGCGTGGGTTAGTCTGCGAGTGTGTTTTTTGGTGTTGTCGATGTTTTAATGATTGTTAGCTTTAGGTTGGGAGGTGTGGGTAAAACATTGCTCACTCTGTCCCACCTGGTGTCTCACCATTGTTCCAACCGCTCTGAATTTTATTTCTAAATAACTTTTCTGTTTCCCCTGGCCAGATGATTGCATCATTTTAAGTGACTTCCACAGTTTACCGTCATTCCTTTTTGGATTTTCTCACCGTGCGGTTTTAGAAAGTGAGAAAATGTGCAAGCTAGGTCACGGCAATGTGAGGTTACTTTGTGAGAAATTCGTTTATCTCTGAATCTATTACCATTTTCTCTGATTGCTTTACCGCCGAATTACCTCCATTCGTAAGAAAAAAAGTCAAAATAACTCCGAACTTTAATGAACATTAGGTGGTGCTCATTTCTCCTGGTAGCTGTGAGCCAGGAGTGGAAATTCCACTTCAAACAAGGGCCCCTTCATCCATGGAGAGAACCCAATGTTGACTGCCCACACAGCTGCAGTTGCCTTGCGCCAACATTTTTGCAAGAGGGCTTTGACCCCCGAGTTGGATTCGAACTCAGGTGACAACGATCCCAGTGGCATTATCATTATTGGACATCTGTGAAAAAGAGGATCATAGCTGGTGGGATTCCTCCAGCATACATATTCTGATTCTGATTAATAATGAGTAGTTTGTGAAACAAAACTATGCGTTCTTCAAGGCAGGAATTTTCTTAGCAAAATAACTATTACTCAACGCGATGCATTGCTTCCTTTATGTCTATGGACTTTGCAATTGCCTCCCCCCCCCCCCCCGTATGAATTCCTATGCGTAGCACGTGCATGCACACTTAGGTGTGGTGTATCCCACACTGTTGCTACTGCACGTGTAGCATATGTTTAAACATGTGAAGCATGATCTGTCTGCAAACTTGTGGAACGGTCTCGTTCTGGTCAGGAGGGCAAGGCCACATTTCTGAAAGGCGGTCCAAAACGGATGTGATGTCACGTCTGTTATCAAGCCACTGTCGGATAAACTATTTTTATATTTTACCAGGTGAGGCCCACTGAGCTACGGAGCTCTTTTATCAGAGGCGACCTGGCCACAAATGATAGCTCAACGAAGTGGCTTTTCAAGCGTACATTTATAGCAACCAAATCCTCATCTAAATGTTTGGGGGGGTGGGGGGCAGATGACCCAGAGAAAAATTCACGTGACCACGGGGAGAATAAGCACACTCCAAATATACAGGCATCAACGTCGGGGTAGAAACCACGACTTCCTGTATACCAGGCGAGGTAGTTAACATCTAGCCATCGTGGCCATCCCAAGCCATATCAGTTGTGGGAATTGTTAGTGCGAGTTGGGGGCAAGAGTGGTGCAGATATCGCCACGCATGTTTGCTGTTGCAAGGAGTTGAACTGGGTTCACAGAGGAACTCAATAACCACTGCTCCACAGCTCTATGCATTCATTCATCACCATTATCATCATCACAATTAAGATGAGAAGTTTTTTTGCGAAACGCCATCCCAAAACAACGACCAAAAACAATGCTTGACACATGATAAATTATATTTAATTTACAATAATATCCATATACAAAGAAGCAAGATAAAAACAAAGAGAAGTTATCCATAACTGTATTAATGTCTATGCAAAACGTTTATAACTAATGCATTGTAAACACAAAAAACTGGTTTAACACTGTAAACAGTATAACCATATTATCGATGTTAATATAAATCAAACATTTCTTAATGCACCCATTAAGAAACCAAATAGAAATATAAAACGTACACGTAGCATATATCACGCATTTTGCCACACGCAATACACGAATAAAGGAATCTTGTCCGTTTAAATACATCTTATCATTTAAATTTAACTTAGCTAACAAAATATATTATTTCCGTAAAAAATATCGAATCGATCACAGAAAAATCTATATACTGTTTGTTAAGTATGTGAACTGTGCTGTTACCGTATTGTCTGGAGGAGAAAGGTTGCTCTGTCCCCCTGTATTTAAAAGCAATATTTTGGGGTGCGTCTCATAATCCGCTAGGGCTCCGTGCGTGTGACCAGATTCGTATAGAAAGGCGGCCGAGTGTGGTGCTGGCCACCCACCTCCTCATGTGCCGTGCCGGCCTTCATAGGTGCTCGCTAACGGCACTTGCGCCCCCCCCCCACTCCCCAAAAAAACCCCTTTATTAGGGGAGTCTGTTCAGGCTATCCGGAGGATCTTTGTCTTTGTATAACTTTACGGACAAAGGACACACATGCGTCTCATAGCCCCGGAGTGTCCACCGATTGTGTTTGTCGAATGATGTGGGTAAAACACTCTTAAGCACGAGAATCGGTCAACAGGTGAATGTTATTACATCCATTCAAGGGCACTGTGTCTGCTTTCGACTTACATTTTTGCAATACACTAAAACCAAAAGCCCTGTTTCTTACAATGATAAAAATAATAACATATTAAATATATATTTTTTAAGAAACATTTGTACAAAAATACATCTTAATTTCTGCATGGGTGCCCACATATGAAGCACATATGTTGTTATCCTAATAGCTGAATTCCCGTGTCACTAAACTATGAGCCTGAAACCACACAATCGATGAACAGCCTTGGAGAGATTGGTAGGAAGTTCACCGAGTCGTGTTAGATTTATGAGCTTGTGATGACCTAAAATAAAGTGTTGCAGTAAGGAGACTTTTAATATTTCTCTGACATATATCAGAACTATTTTAGCATTGTGTAGTGAATGGCACTTGACTGTGTACAATATAATATATACAGGCAGTCCCCGGGTTGCAGAAGACCCAACTTACGGAAATTCGACTTTCAGGAAATGCTCCCGTAAATCGTTTTTTATTTTTTTTTATATACTGACTTTTTTTGCGTTAGTTACGATTGCGCGAATAGTGCAGCGCGGTTAGGATGCGATTGAATACTGCGGAGCGAGGCGTAAGGCGACCCACCTTACACCTCACGCCACAAAAACGCTGCCTTCACCAAGCCCGAGCTTCATTAGGTTTAAGGTAAGTAGATTCTTCTTCGTAGCATTACCTAATTCTTTTCCAGTACTGAGAGAAAACGAACTAGCAATCGAGTAGGGGAGGCACAACGATTTCCGACATACGGAAAATTCGGGTTATGGATCGTTTCTGGGGAACCTAACCGTTCTGCAACACCGGGGACTGCCTGCATTTGTTTTGTTCTCATATTTTGTCACTGAACATTGGAAGAGCCACGAGCTGTTATTCGTTTTTGCTCCCCTGAGAGTCTCAAAGACAAATGCCATTCATCAAAAATAAGGCTGCAATATGATGACAACTATATGAATCAAGACAATGTTTATCGAAGGGTGGACCTGCTACACTGAGAGAAATGCCAGCACTGGGAAATCTGGCCGATAATGCAAGAGAAATGTGAATAATTTTGTTGTTTTTGTTTTCCAATAAAATTTGTCACACAATTGTTAACCGAATTAGCCGTTTCCACACTCAAACCCTATGACTGCTGATTGTGTGCTGAATTCCCACTTGCCTGTCATTCAAAATCAACCTCTCAACACACCCAACATCGGGAAAGTGGAAGTATCAACTGGCTTTGGGCTTCTCTGGTCATCACAAACACGCCCATGTCCAAACTGCATCCCTTCTACAGAAATTATAAATGGTGCCATGATGCTTTGGTATAGGTTACAGAATTCCAGTTTAAACAGGGTCAATGGTTAATTTCCCCACGACTGTTGATCTTTGCAAAATGGATTTTAAAAACCGGCTGCCTGCTATAAATATCTTAAAGGCTAAGTTGTATTCTTACTTGCAAGAAATAAATGTTTCTGCCTCACTACAATAAAGGGTATTTTAATTTATTGAATACTATACTTAATACATATGCTCAAAAGATGTGCCCCCAAAGACCCAAAGACTGATCCTGCTGTCTCTGCTTCATTTGGGGGAAGTCTTCTCTCTCTCTCTCTCTCTCTTATCCAGTTCTGTGCCAGCGATCTGTAAATGAAAACAAAAAAACAGACACACATGTTAAACAGCTGTCACTCTACACCTCGTATTAGCACGTCTGGCTACATACGATGCGAAAGAAGTTCAACATATATACAAACGTACTTCCCAGCACAACGTTTCCACGCAGCTATCATTAACGGAGTAGTGGTGAGTGTTCTAAACATGCACATCATGTTACTTATTTCCAATTTGGTAAAAGATAAAGGTGCATGGTGGCGAGACGTTAACTACCTCGCCTGGTATACAAAAGGTCATGGGTTCGATCCCGACCCTAACACCTGTATATTTGGAGTTTGCATGTTTTCCCTGTGGTCGTGTGGATATTTGTCCAGGTCCTCTGGCTTTTCGTTCCACATTTAGAAACATGAGTTTAGAGTATTTGGCTGCTAGAAATTTCCACGTGATAAGCCACTTCGTTGAGCTATCATTTGTGGCCAGGTCACTTCTAAAAAAGAGCGATGTAGCTCAGTGGGGTTTACCTGGTAAAAGAAAAAAAGATTTTTTTTTTACTGGTGGAAGGGCCTCCCTAGAGGGTATTTGCCCTCCTGTTCCTGGCTGGCCAGACCTTTCGTAAGCGGTGGAAGTAAACACACTTTACTCCACCACATGCGACCTACCGATCGAATCTCTAGGTATTGTTCTCCCACTAAAGAAATACGTGCACTCGTGCGTTTATATGACTCCACAGAGGCGTTTTATCTGTAGATATGGGCGAGTACAACTACTATACTGAAATTTTACATCTCCAATACTTCATTAGCATGATTATGCGCTTGGAATTAGAGTTCATACAATATATTTTCAACAATTACTACTCATTTGTGAGTCGGGATCGTGCGTGGATGGTCGACAGTGCGTAAAACAGGTGTTATAGGATGTGGGACTCTGCTGTGGGCAGCAAAAAGCAGTGTATAAATATCCACAGTTGTACTGTACTTCTATATTCTCATGTCTATGCTCCCTGCCTTCACCAACCTGTGCTGACCAGCGTGGTGAAGTATGGTCAGATAAACCAAACAGTGCAAGGAGACCATCATATAGTATTGGGTTGACAAAGGTTGCACATGGTCCAATGTAATAAAGCAGAAACAAAGTTAAATTCATTGAGCAAACTAAATTTCCTTGGTAAGTAAGATGTATACTTTATGTCTCCCTGGCTGGATGTGGTGATGCAAACCACTGCAATGTGACATTGGTGAACGGTACGGAAGTGGCATGTGAGAGCCACAAGCAGGTCAATGAGGTGTTTGAGTGAAGCTGAGGGTCAGATGAGATGAGGTCATGGGCAGTGTTTGGCTCATGGGCTGTCATTTGGACAGCCCTCATTTTAAATCACCTATAAACTGTGAAAACATTCCGTGGGACTCAAATGGGACACAGTTAACCAATGTTTACTTGTGAACTGCATGAGATGTATTTACTCGCAAAATCAAACTTGGCAAAAAAATGTAGGGCCCCCAAGCAACCTATGACAAAAATAGAGGTCCTACTTTTGGAAGTCAAGCAAATATCATTTAAAATTCCAATCCTGCTATTAAAATAAGCTCATAACTTCAACAACACTATCAATATAATTTTAAAAGCCACTAGTCTACCAACTTAATTATTTCACACAAGTGGAATTTATTAAAGGTACATAGCGTATCCAACATATAATGTTTGTTATGAATTAATTTATTTTATTTTTACCTTGCTTTCAGATGTTGCTGATCCTGTTTGTAAATTCGCCGTATTTATTTGTCATTTGTATTTTTAATGACAATAATATTACATTCCCTCATTTTCGAGTCACAACACGGCAGGTTTTCCTATTATTTTTCCGTGCGCCACATTGACGTAAGTTTGTTGTATATAATTTTTTTGATTGATTTACAGTCACTACGACGGACGCATTCAACAAAATTAACTTGTTTCCTAGCACGCCCCAAATGGACTACCGCCGCTTTTCCTGAGCGGCTCGAGACGTACAGCAGCAGCACGCGGTCGCTCGCGGGAACAACTCACAGTTCGTGTGCGAGGCGGCCAGGCGCTTCTTGGGCGGCGTGCGGGCGGCGTTCTGCACGAACGGCAGACGGTGGCACTTGCCGCTCTCCGGCTCGCAGCGGCCCGACAGGCAGTTGCACACGCCCGAGCAGCCCAACCCGTACGTGCCTGCGGGGCAGTCTGCAGCCCGGAAAAGTGGGAGGGAGGGTAAGGAGTGACACGAGATTGTCAATGTGTGTATGTATTTATGTCTTTCGCACCGTACGTAGCCGACCGTGCTAATCGGAGGCGCGTGGATCGACAGCGATCGGTGCATTCGCGTCGACCGTGTCCCAGCGGTAATGTCACGCGTCTGCCCGCTTGTTGCAGAGGTTTACGGTTCAGATTGGCAGGCTGCCCTGGTTAGTGCCAAAACTGAATTAACTGTCAAATACGCAAGGGTCTGCTTCAAAGTGGACACTAAAGATCCCGTGACATCGTTGGGCGTGACAGTCGAAATACGTCAAAATTTGAAAATGTGCCCGCAAAATATTCGATGGGGATTACACATTGCAACATTTCCACCATACTGCGAAGCTGCTGCAAACTGTGTCCGTGAAACATAGCACCTTCGTGATAGCCTCGTGCTATATGAACGGCACGAATACCAAAATGTAGCAATTTGATCTATGTACATTTACGTACGAACCTTGCAGCTTTTCACATCAGCGGCCATAGTGTGGCTCAACACACATTCGTGTTTCATGAGCATATAATAATATTCATACATCGTAAATAATTTATTCTTGCACACGTGAACGTAATCATCTATTTAAAACAATGAATTGATTCATTGTTGGCTCCACGAGTCAAATGGCTGCAATATAAAAACAAATATTTCACCGGAGGTGTGGACAGAAGACTTTCCCACACTTTTGCTGAGGAATTTACAAAATCCAGCGTGGCACAGATCCACAACTAACACCGTGTCCTGCCAAAATCTGAAAGTCTGGCTCTTGTATTAATATGTAATTTCACGCATATGCTAATGGTACATACATACGTATATGTACATATCAAGTCCACCTCAAACATCCCTGAACTCAGGCAATGGCCGTTTGTCAGTTATCTGGAGAAAAAAATCCTAAAAAATATTTATGAGTCTGATATGTCTATTCATGACGTTAATAGTCTGTATAACCCATAAAGTATAAGTGTGTGTAACAAAGTGATTCTTGCAACAACTGGCTGTAATATAGGCACATACACGAGTGAATGTAGAACGAATGGATGTGTAGTTAATCCATACGAATGTTTTAATGTTAGGTATCAAAGTCAATCCAAAATAACTCTGCACCAAAAGAAAAATGGGGTGGCACTCTTCCATTTACAGCCATGAATCTGATAGAAATTACACATTCCTAAGAACCAGTCTCGTTCAATGATACAATCCACGTGTTCCCCATTTTACATTTAATGTACAGGTTGAGTGCCACAGCTGCCCTCGAGTATGTACCTAGGCATGGACCAAAACGGTTCATATATCATTTGTCACCGATTGTTGGCTGTGGCTGGGAATCGAACTCTGGTTGCCTGGTTCTTAGCTCAGAGGACAACAGCTCCACCCCAAAGCACATCAACAGCCGCCAGTCGCCACTGAATGACGGTGACGTGATCCCTGGTGCTTGCGTCAGACTAGGTGCACATTGAGGCCAAGTGAAGTGTCAAAGGCTTGCTAGCAGGAGGTCACGAGGTCAGACCCAGGCATTAAGATTCAACTGACTGACTAGGTCCATCTAAGTGTATGTATGGATGTTTAACTTCCTTTGCACCGTACATAGCCAACCGTGCCAATCGGAGGTGCGGGGGAAGAACAACACACTAACACGCAAAAAGCAGTTCTAAAGAAATGAGTTTTCAATTTAGATTAAAAAGTGCATAGCTCCCAGTGGCCTCCTGACATGGGACAGCCTATTATGTGATACGTGCCGCGAACAAAACTCTTTGGAGATTGATTCCCAAGCACGGCTCTCCGCAAGGAATAGCAGGCGTGGTGTCGGCTACAGTGAAGACAGTGAATATCTTGTAATGTTCCTGTATGAGAGTCGGTCATATTGATTATACTAAAATTAGTAACTGCTCTATGTAAACAACATTATTTAGGTCTTTCTCACGTCTCTCCATTGGAGAGACTGGTCCCCAGACATGGGAATGTGAAATCTCCACCGAAGACTCAGGCTGTGTACAACCATTGTAAATTAATTCGAGGAAATTGAAAATTTCCACTGAGATTGATGCAAAGGTTGGCTTAAGATAAATTAGTCATATTCCACAGGTTTGATATACATGTGGAACATGAGGTGACCTCGCTTAACACGGCAAAGGATTATACTACTCTGCATGCCAATGGCTACTAAATACAAATGCAATGTTGTTGTAACTTGAAAAACTCCGTAACCTGAGGCAAGGGCTCGAACCCAAATTCTTTGTGCGTTTTACTCCACTTCCTATTGGTCTACCCCCCTCGGTTACAGCTCCTTCACATAGTAAAAGCTGCTTTTTCAGCCTGAGAAACGCATGCCATTTGGCCCTCACATCGTCCAGTGCACTGGTTCCCAAATGTTTTAGACCCATGATTGTTAAGGAAGTCACAGAGGTCCACTGTCACCACCTAAAAAAATACATTCTAATTTTTGCAGACCTGAACCAATCCAATTGTTTTTATTGTCAAATTTATAAATTGAAACCACTCTGAATCAGAGTACAATCTGCCACACGTCCACTTGTCATGGCCAGCGGGCACACAAGTTGAGAACCGCTGCTCCAGCAGAAGGCTGACCTGAATGCAAGTTCATCATACACATGCGATCGTCATCCCAGGAAAGGTGAAATCCATAGCTAAACATTTCTCAAGTACAGACAGGCGTTAAAGATTTTTAAAAAACCATTGTTTTCGATACAGTGCCTTTCATGCCAGGGCATGTGAGAGCACTTTGCACGCGACTAAAGCAAATAATTGGAAGGACTTTTCGGTGGATTATTCTCCTACAGCATCATAAATTGAGCACTCGTTGGCGTATCCTCTCCACTTAAGCTCCCTGCCGTGGCGCGCCTTCGCTGAAACTTGATGCCTTCGGTGTAACGCCACGCATCAGAACAGCGTGAGGAACTTCATTCAGTATTTACAAGGCATGCTACAACAACAACAACGACCGCCATTATCAACTAAGTGGCGGTGACGTGACCGCAGACTGTTTGGGCAAGACAATTTGCACTAATTGGCTCGTTTTGTTTCTGTGACAAATCTTAATAATTGTCTGTGATCGGTGGTGGTGGGTTAACGACACATTTATATTTACGCGAGCTCACCCATAAACGTTTATTATGAGCACCTACGAAGACCGGCACGGCACGCGAGAAGAGGTGGTTGGCCAGTAACCACGCCCGACCGCCTTTGTCTCCCCAGTGGCGATATTTTTACGCACCGGGCACTCATTTGAGACCGAGTCGACCTCGGGAGAACTTCCCAGGCATCGGTCCCCGTCTCACGAAAACCACGATCTCACAAACTCAGTGCGCCCACCACCCCACCCCAACAAAAACCACAACAAACAAACAAACAACCGCGGAACTCACCCTCGCAGAGTCCGTACGTGTCGCCGAACTCGTCCTCGCCCGCCGGGCGGCAGCGCAGCCCCTTTGCGCACTTGAGCCAATTGAGCCCCACCACGGCCGGGTAGCAGCGCTCCCCGCGACCCGCGGCGCACACGGAACAGCAGCCGCAGTCGTCGGGTACCGCGCGGCGGCACCAGCGGCGCGCGGGCAAGCGCGGGGCACGAGAAGGCTTCGCAGCCCGGGCAGTCAACCGCGTAGCCCTTCCACTCGAAGGGCTCCAATGGCTGGTTCTGCACTTGCTGTTGTTGTTCTTCTTCTTTTTGCTGCTGCTGCTGCTTGTTGTGTTGTTGTTGCTGCTGCTGCTGTGACTCTTTGCCGGGGTAGGGAGGCGACACTCGGGTCGCGTGAGTCAACTGCAGTTGTAGGAGAATTGTCATCACCGTCACCGTCGTTAGCGTCAACATTTTCATCTTCTTCTTATTGCTGTTATCGGCTGGAGTGAGAACGAGGGCGCTGGAATGAATTCGGTGGGGGGAAAAGAAAGGGTCTATTTGTTTATGTCAAATCGGTCCCGGTCAATTTTAGAAATAATAAATATCTGATGCACAGTCGATGCTTGCCGCAATTAGCGCGGTCTGAGTGCGGTGTTGACAGAGCGCTGCACTTTATAAGCGCGTGTTCAGCCTGCTGATGCGACTGCCGCTATCGATTGCTGTGCTGCTGCTGCTGGTGGTGATGTTGGATGGTGATGTTGGATGGTGATGTTGGATGGAGGAAAGAGTGACCCACGCTGGTGCTGGGTTCGTGTGTCGGTCGGTCGGTATGAGACGGGACACGGCGAGACTGGCTTATATGAAGGGTCCTGCAAAAGGGGCGTGTGTTGGATCAGACGCACACACCATCACCAACACAATACGGCAATACGCGTCTCGCAACCTCTTTTTCCGGATGTTTGAATAATGTCTGGATTTTTGCTCTTCTTCCAAATGGTTATTTAAGGAATGAAATGTCAATGTCCACAACGCGCACAGGAAATGTGTGGGCAAGAGGCGTGCGGCGTCGCCTATTGAAGAGAGACACCCAGTCCAGCTGAGATGCGTAACGCGTGGTGTTTGCACCCAGAGGGGGTGGCTGGCAGCGAGAGAAGGGTGGGGGGGGTGGTGTCTCCCACCTCTGTGTATGTACATGACGCACGCGTTCTGCTGAACATTTTCCGCGGCGTTAGGAGCTAGACGTTCCGCGGCCAGACGCAGCGACGCCCGCTGGCTTGTTACGTCTCCCGTTCATTCCTTTCGGAGCGATGTTTGCGGTGGTGTCCGCAGAAATTCCTGAGAATTGACGCCAACGCCCCCTGGTTCCGTGGGCTCCGCGATGTGACCAAGCGATGACTACACGCGAGATCCTCGTTGTGCGGAACTTTTGAGTGATTATCCGCCGTTGTTACGCGTCGGACTTTCTCCCTGCCACACACACACACCACCAAGAAAGAAAACAAACAACTCCATAAATGGGCTTTGCCAAATTTACCGCAATACGTCCAAAAGTTCATCACGGCACCCTGGACACACGGGTCGTGCCCCCATTGTGTGTTCTCCAACATCTCGGCTGTGATGGTTACAAATGCTTCTGCTATGCGCTGTTGAAGATTACTCTAGATTTTTGGTTAAAAAAAAACCCTTCAAGTATATCATAAATATGTTCCCGGTTTTGTTCCCGGACACAGACTTGGCAGCAGTGAGCATTGGTGACTACTATAATGCTAAGTCCTAATAAGGCACACCAAGTCTATAACTGTGTCTGTCTCACTGCTGCCTGTCCTGTTGGTCACAGTTGCTCAATGTATTCAGGGTGACTCGTGAAAATATTACCATAATGTGTAGTTCTTCCGGAATTGGTGTTTTTTTTTGCCCCATGCACGCAACTTTTGTGCATACGTGCGATGCACGTGTTGTGGAATCCGCTCCGTGCTCTCCAGCCTGTACTTTTATTTTCTGCTACGGTAAATGTTCTCGTCATTTACGGATTTTAATTGAAGGAATATGTTGCAAGCATTTAAAGCAAGCCGTTCAAATTGCTATTCCATGAAATTGCTCAGTTACTTTATCATGCCACTTCTGGCGGGTGCTGATTTTTGATGCATTTTTATGACGGATGATGCCTCTATGGACACTCGATATATTTCGCACCTTTGCATGATGCACATCCAGTATGCAGCGATGTATCGAGTATATGTACTGGTACAGAAATATAAAAATGAACACAACATTTATGCAGAATGGCATTGCCATCTTTACACTTTCTCCTGCAGGAAGTACTATAGCCTCCTGCATTCAGTTGTACATATACATTATGTAACGATTTATTATATACTGTATCCCTGGGAGGCTCCCAGAATCAATTGGGGGGAGGCCCCCGGCCGGGTTCAATTGATTCTGGGAGAAGACCCCCCCAGAATCAATTGAATTTGCCCGCTTTCCATCGGCCTTAGCGTCGCACTCGTGCGGGATACCAATTACACTGCGGACACGTACGGTGGGTACTTCATGCCACTCACGATTGGGATCGTATACTTTTAAAAAGTGTTTATTACGAGACTTCGAACACATTAAAGCGCTTAAGCTGGCTCTGCGCTGTGAGTAAGATTTTAGGGGTACAATTAGATTTGTTTTGTTTCCCTGGCTATTTGCCGAATTTAATAATCAGCGGGACTGTTATGGCTGATTAAATTATTTATGTGTCTATGATGAACTTCTTTCGCACCGTAAGTAACCAGCCGTACTGATCGGAGGTGCGGAACCGTACCTCATGATGCCTCTTCATAGAATGGGATTAATGAATGGCACCATTTTTTACACGCTTTTATTTAACTCACTCTGTTGTTGTTGTCGTCGTTGTATCCTCAAATCTTGAAACTCAATTTTGTTGTTGTTGATGTTCTGATGTGGTTGATCGTTCCACCGGTGTCTGCCAAGAGGAATGTCAAAGCCATGCCGACCTGCAGTGTGGATGTTACGTTCTATACAGCACTGAACATCGGTTAATGCATTTAAAAGTTCCCTTGTATGTTAAGCTAAGATAAAGCTGTAGATACCATCATGGCCATGACAGTTGATGGCAACTACCACACTTCGCCCAAAATAGCGAAATATAAAATAAGCACGACATTTGTCCAAGATCTTTTTTCATTTGACTTCCTCAAAAAATGTTACTCCCCCTTGCGCGTTTAAATATTTGCGGTATACTGCAGATACATGCAGGTTTTGTGGCTAGAATATTTGCTAGGCTTCTGTAGTTTGTTTTTATATCACACGAGTAGAAAACCAGTTGCTCTGCAACGGAACATATGGTATACATTTCATACACACTCTTCTCACAATCCTTCCGTACTCAGACAACTAAAAGTAACCAGATTTTTTTTTTAATATATAATGGAATGGAATGCCAAGATATGTATGATGCATGTTTTTATATCCTCCAGGATTTAAAGAATGCTGGACAATATTATGGTGAAATAATGATATGGAGGACACATTTAAAAGTTAGAGCAATTTCAAATGAACCATGTCAGTCTTCGGAGCTGTTATCGATCATACGTTTTCTGAACTTCCGGCGGTTCAATTCAATCCAACGTTTAATCCCGTTTAGCCAGTTACCCAGCTAGCTTCGGTGGCGACGGCCGGCAGCAGCCACTAACAACAGAGTTATTGTTGGGGTGGAAAGGAGCCCGACCAGCAGCAAGCCAAGAAACTCGAAGCATAGATTTTTTTTTAAATCGTATGATTTGGGTAGTTAAGACTGAACGCAGGATAATGATGAATACTCCTAAAACTAATGTGATGCCCACGCAGCCGTCGCGATTGGTGGCGTTTCCTGCATGTTTACTGGTGGCATCACAGGCGATATGATCGGTTGATCTTGGTACAAACATGTTATTATATCTTTCTATTTGACTATTACAATACTTTGCCGAAAATTTCATGCACGCGATAATGTAAATCTGGTTGAAAAATCTCACCACCGCCGTTTTATCATCGCCACTTTCGACACCATTGCCAACACAGTCCCTTTTTAACATTACATGGATTTACGTCATGTAAATATATAGAATTTAGTTTATGATAATAACTAATGAGTAGGTCATAGGTACAACATTTTTGTTGCATTATTCGTAAGACTGACTCATGGTGTCACAGACAAGGCAGCCATGACTGCAGACAACTGACCCATATGCATATTTTGGTTAAGAGCTGGCTAATCTGTCTCTGGAAGGAATGCCCACGACTGGTTAAACCGTTCCGGAAAGAGAGCCCTGCCCTACCTTGTAGTCATACAATTATGAGTTTTAGGTATTTTTAATGCCAAATTTGGTGGAATGATTGTGTGGTGGCTGTGAGTGTGAGGAGGCAGCAGGGTCATGAGGGCCGTGCCTGTCTGGGTGATCACAATCCATTGGGAGCGGCCAGGAAAAATTCCCACTCTAAAATAATAACAAGATAAACAATGCACGGCTAATTACACAAGGTTTACTTATTCGCAAAAGTTGACCTCTATAATCTTTCCCAGGGTGCAGCCCTTTGTATGTTCCGTAAGTTGAACCTCTTTCACACCCTACGTAGCCAACCATGTCAATCCAGGGTTAGTTTGACCATACTTCACCACTCACCAGGTTGCATGGTGAGTGCGGGTTGGTAAGTCTTTAATAACGTAGCTAAAGTATCTTAATCTGCATCCTCGTTCCATCCACTTGATTTCAATTGTTCATAGCCGCTTGCATTTTTAGCGTTGATGGCTTAAGTGGTTGTGATCACCCTCACGATTAATTTTCATCCCACTCATTGTCATATTTGACCAAAACAAAAAAAATACGACACTGTTGACAAATACTATCAACACTAATTTTGTTAACAAAGTTAACACTGACTGGGAGCAATGTTAAGTGATACCCAGTTCTTATATAGATACAACATTGTGTTTTTTTTACTGTAATGCGGGTAGTTTGGTTTCTTGTAGGTGGATTTCCAAGTATTGCAATGTGAGTGGTACCGTTTTTTGTTGGTTCAATGGTTGTTGGTGAGTTTTTCAGTGTACGGTGAGTGTTGTTGGTGGATCTTGTGTGGGCTGCTGCTGCTGCTGATCAGGCTCAATATAACCACATCTGGGAGACAAAACTCCATAACTGGAGGTTTTTTTCAACGGTTTTACTTAACTTTATTCCTCTGTTTTCCGTAGTCAAATCTTGTAATCAAAATTTCATCCACTTCCCGTTGTCCAATCAATTCCACATTTTGCAAACGTACTCAGATCCGGTGACAATGCATGCCTGTATCAAAATCAATTAATCAATTAATCAATTAATTCGCCACTTTAAAGCAATTAATCAATTAACATTTTGTATGGACGCTTTATTATTTATATATATATATTTGCGTGTAGGTCAAAATCGCCGCGGTCCCTAACCTGTGGCATCGGCTCGCACACAACGCAGGCGCCACGTGGCTCTCAGGCGCCATTGACGTCCTTCTCGACCGTGAGTTAAACGAAATAAAACCGTGTTTTTTTATTTAAAGCTTTCGTGACTACAGGGATTCATATTCTTGGTTCTTTCGGTAAAGTCACGTAGAAGGGAAATAATAAAATAATACAAATATAAAACATCGTGAGAATGTTTTAGTTTTATATTTGTATTATTTTATTATTTCCCTTCTACGTGACTTTACCGAAAGAACCAAGAATATGAAAATCGTGTTTAAAAAAAAAACTTTTAAAAAGGAGTGTATTGTACACGTTGTTTTGGTCAGTTTAACACGTAGACTTTCGCGACGAATATCCTCAAGAGGTTTTTTTTTGTTAGATCGCGTAAATGTGTCGTTAAAACTGCCACGACACGACAGCCAAATTAGTTTGTCACAAACAAAACATGCAAATTCGTTACTAGTTCAGCACACCGGTGTGTTGGAGAGTAAACCCACAACATAAACAATTGTTGGTGTTACTCTATGGTTCTTTCGGTAAAGTCACGTAGAAATAAATTAAATAATAGAGTACGACGTTTCGATTACAACACAAGCAACCGTCATCAGGTGGAACTAAATTTGAGAGAAATAGACAAAACACAGACACGGAGACACACAAGCAGAGAGAGAGAGACAACACAAAGACACACAACATAGACACAGTTCAAATCAAGTTGTATTTTGCTGTTGTTTGAAACCACTGGTTAGGCTGTTGGTGTTATTGTTGTCTCTGTTCAGAGCACGGGGTCTCTCCCTCAGCCACAGAGGGGTCAATCTCCCTCAGACATTGCTGGGTCTCTCCTGCCACAGAGGGGTCAATCCCTCAGACATTGCTGTGTCTCTCCCTCAGCCTCAGAGGGGTCAATCTCTCACAGACATTGCTGGGTCTCTCCTTCAGCGTCAGAGGGATTCTCTCCCTCTGACATGGCGCCTCGCGCGCCACTCAATTCTGTAGCCGAGATAGGGCACCGCGCTCTGATTGGCCGCTAGCGGGGCACGTGACGTCGCGGCGTCCAATAGCGCGCGTCAGCTCGCTGGCTTTTAATCTCCCGCCATTTCCCCGTCTTCTCTCTCTCGCTCCCGGCCAGGAGCGAGCGAGCGAGAGAGAGAAGATTGCTTCCCCCTCAACGTTCCCACTATTTCTCTCTCTCTCACACACACCACACAGGAGGTACTCAAATACACGCGAGACCTTGCGCCGAGTGTGAGTTTCGTGCCACGTTCGTTCCCTCACGCGTGTGTGGAGTTTCGCCGCCGCCTCGAGAAGTGATGAACTCGTCCTGTCGGGCGTTTGCAGGATTCACGATCAGGCGGCAGCTCGGCTCCCTGCCGTGATGATGTTAAATGCGTGGCCGTCGGAGAGTAAAGCGGAGTCATTCGTTGGGTTAACGATTCACCCCCCCTTAACACTACAGTACAGTATAGCGATTGCATCTAAAAAGGTGGCTAGGAGATGTTGACTACCTCGCCTGGTCTACAGGAGGTCGTGGGTCCGACCCTGACACCTGCTGCTGTATATTTGTAGTTTTACTGCGTCTCCTCGTGATCGCGTGGATGTTTCTCCGGCTCCACAGGCTTCCCTCGTGCGTTTAAAGAGCATTTGGCTGCTATGAATGTCCACACGATGAAGCCAATTCGTTGAGCTATCATTTGTGGCCAGGTCGCTTTTGAAAAGCGCTACATAGCTCAGTGGGCCCTACCTTGTAAAATAAAAAATTGTAGTTTAATTGAATTGACGTTTTAAACATTTAAAGTAAATGTAGAGACCTCTAGTGGCTGTTGTGGTGCACATGAAGCCATGGCTACTAATGCACAATGGTGGTGCTACTTTCTACCTCTTTCTGACTTGTAGGGGCAAACCTCATTAAGGCGATGTCGTGATGATGGGTGGTGGTTGTTTTATATTCACTTGAACGTAGAGGTTAGATGACACGATGTATAATTATGCATCTAAACGTGGTTACATCGTGGTAGAGTATGTGACATGTGAAGCACATTACTTATTAACCATGCAGTTCATAAACTAAACAAAGGTTTGGTGGGTAGAGAAATGCGAGTTATGTGACATTGTCATCTCGTGGAAAATCAGGATAACATTCGCAAAAAGACAAAAAAACATCAATACTTTAAGCTCAAAATCAAACCAGAAAAGTTAGGAAACATTTTCTACACTGGTGTTCCCTGGCCCCTTGCTCTTTTAAGTATCTGAAACTTTAAATATTTGCCACAGAAAGGCTGCCAATTATGGGCCTTTTTCAACGGTTTTACTTAATTTGACTCCTAATATTCTTGGTTCTTTCGGTAAAGTCACGTAGAAGGGAAATAATAAAATAATAAAAATATAAACCAATAAAAATTCTCACAAAATATGGAACGCTTCACGAATTTGTTTTATATTTGTATTATTTTATTATTTCCCCTCTACGTTACTTTACTGAAAGAACCAAGAATATGAATCCCTGCAGTCACGAAAGCTTTAAATCAAAATTTGGCTCCTAATCTTTGTTGTGGTCAAATCTTGTAATAAAATTTTTGTATAATTCCTGTTGTCCAATCAATTAAAAATGTTGCACACGTACTCAGATCCGGTGACAATGCATGCCTGTATCGGCATCAATTAATTGTCTCTTTCAAAGCAATTAACATTTGTATGGACGGCGCATTATTTAAATATTTATTTGGGTACGACAAAAACGCCGCGGTCCCTAAACTCTGGAATTGCCTTGCCCAAGAAGAAGACGCCACGTGTCTCTTGTAATCAAGATGTCGTCCACTTCCCGTTGTCCAATCGAGTTATTTACTTGTTAGAGCAATTTAAAATAAACCGTTGTTTAAAAAAAACTTTTTTAAAGGAGTTTATTATTCAATTTAGCACCTGCCATTAGGAATTGACATTAATTGTGACTTGCCTTGTAATTATTTGAGTGGCTTGACAGGGCACAGATTTCAAGGCCGCCACCAATGATTCAAGACTGCAATTTCATTACCTGAGTGGTAAACACGGCAACGATAACGATGGCTTCGGGGAACATAGGGTTGGCTTCTTTGGTGCCAGCACTTGACGAGGTGGCAAGGTGAGAGCACCGCGCGCACTTACGAACGCCACATTTTATCCAATCGAATTATCAAGTGGATCGCCGTTCTCAGTGCAACGTTTTCAATAAGCACAAGTGGATTGTCGACCTGGAAGCATAGGTGACGACATCACGTAGGAAAGACAATTTTAACTCCCATTAAAATCTGAATGTAAAGTAAGGTAAACGTAAGTATTCGTGTTATGAACACAGGGTTTAAATGTTAAAGTAAATCTAAGACTAAAGTTCTATATTTTGTTTATGAAAATATGTCGCCAAGGAAGTTGAGATACGAGGGAGTGACTACATGGGAAGGATATAGATTCCGTCTACTCATAACAGTCAAAAGACTTATTGGTGTATTGTCTCTGTGTAATGCTGTCACGCTCTGACATCTGTAAGGGAGGCGTGTGCAGCTTGGGTGAGGCTTATCCTTCAAGCATCAGTTTTGACTTAAAGCTTTCGTGACTGCAGGAATTCATATTCTGTGGGTCTTTCGGTAAAGCCACGTAGAGAGAAAATGTCCAAGTTTTGGGCAGCATTTTATCAGTTTGGCATGTTTTCAATTCCCTAACAGCAATGCAACTTTATACTAAGATTTAACTGCTACTGGATCATATTTGTAAGGGTTATCATGACCCCTGGACGGAACTAATGCAATTCATGCTTTTAACCTGAGTGGAAAAAGAATGAAAAAAGAGAAATGATAAGTAATTATTTTTTGACCACTTGTAGATTCATGGGTGAGCACAACCTACTTTCCTATACATTCAGGTTTTTTTGCAGTTTTTTTAATTGATCAAGATATTTGGGGATAAAATTAACCTTGGTTGCCAGATTACATCTTTGCAATCAATTGGCATAGAATTCAGTGCAAATTTTTAAAAACTCAAGCAAACAGATGCAATTTATCGTAATGGTAGAAATGTCCTGGTATGGCATGGCTGGTTTGTCTTAAAATGTTCTCTGCTGTTCTGTTATTGAGTTGTGTTTCTTTGCCATGGCCAGGGCTACCCAGGAGGAGTATCCCACATTGGTCCAAAAACCCAGACGCATTCTTTGTCGATTTATAGAACAGTATTTAACAAACATCAATGTCGGTAAGTCTTTTTCAGCATTTTTTTCTCCACTTTCAGACATCTATTTTGACGTTGTTTTCTGCTATCCCCTTTGACTTTTATGCTGCATGTCACCAAGTGGCTATTTGGGGACAGTTGGTCATGTCTAATTTGCTGTTCATAAGAATATCTTGGTATTCAGATCTGTTCTTTGTTGTTATAATATAATGTCAATAAGGCTTCAACAACAGACTTGCACATCGGTGGTAGTTTATGCCTAAGGGAAGAAACGCTTGACAAGCCCGAGAGAATGACCCCCATGCAGATGAAGCGATGAGTTCAGCTCATGTGCATGAACGAGATGATTCTGGTATCACAGGACTGGGGGTGGAAACTGCATGGGGTGGCCTTCATGCAGACGTATTTAAATTTTGACAGTGTTGCATTACTAACTTTATTGATATTTTCTTTTCTTTTTTGAACAGTTGCACATGAACTTGGGGAGAATATTGGGAGTCAACAGTGTGCTATGCTTGTGAAATTCATCAAGCACATAGTCCAGTCCTCCCCACACATGTTTGTGAACCCAGGTCTTCCTGCATTGGCCTCCACCGACCTCGGGAATGAAATGACTTCAGGTTCTAAAGGTATGATTGTCGTTAAGTATCTGAAAATCAACAGTTTTTTCTCGGAACACTGATTTTCCTCCATGCCTTGTGATTAATAATGTTAAGTGGCCTCAAATGAAGTGAAACCATTACAATTAAACACTTTTTTAAAATAGTCATCCATCATTGATACATAGAAACACTGTAAATAATACAGGGTGACCCAAAAAAAACGGGCCCCAACTCTAATAGGCCCCGTGTGCACGGGGCCCGTTTTTTTGGGTCACCCTGTATTTAATAAAAGAAATGTGATTGAATGAGTCCCATAATATTGCTGCACTTTATATTGAGTTTGATCAAGCTGAGAATCCTGTGCAGGAAACGCATGTAAAGCACAGTAAGTTGATCTGGGAAAATGAATTCAGGCCGAAAAGTAGTATACTTGTATAATTGATCTCGCACCCGAAACAGGAATATTGAAGAATGAGAAAGGCTTTAATGGACAATTATTGCAGCTTTCAAATATTTTTGTAATATATATCTTAACAATAATCAAAAACAATCTTCCAAAAGCTATTTGTATTGATTTTAACTAAATATTAGTAAAAAGGTTATTTTACCTCTAGTTATATCTTCATCAAAACAATATACATTCAAATTATACCTGCAGAAATAAATTAATTCGTACGTGCAGTAAATTTGGTCATTTTTACCATTTACCAAAATGTAGTTCATCAAGAGTATACCTTGTCATGTTGTTTGGCTGGTAGAGTCGTGCATTGTAACCTGCGTGAGTGTTGTGCAGACTTCTGCAGCTGGATTGTACTGCGGCTTCTGCGCATTCTGGCATCGGGCGCGTGCAGCGTGCTACATGGCAGTGTGATGGAGGCGGTAGCGTTGCTGCTGCATGTTAGCCGACTGCCAGCCGTGACACTTTTCGCACAACTCTGCCTCGACTTTCTTGGCCTCATGAGAGACCTTGCGTGCATTTCACGTCAGCAGCTCGACTCACCGGTACATAGTGCCTGGAAGCCCTCATTGTACCCACACACTGCTTTGGTTTCAGATTACGTTTCCCCTCTTAGCTTCTGTTGAAAAGAGTAAATATCTGCAGTAGATTTTAAATATTATATACTGGATCTTGTTTGTAAAATTTCACGCTTCATTCCTCGACAAAATGTCACTTGACCTTAAGGAAATCCTATGACTGGCTCAGGTAAGGGGCCAACCGTTTAGTATGCACGCATTGAGAGGGGAGGGGGGGGGTTAACCCAAATGCGTACGCTTGCCTATGGGGGTTCTACTGACTGTACGTACGCATAGGAAAGGGGGGGGGGGCGTGGACTATCTGTTTGCTTAAACACGTTAATATTATTAATCCTTGATCGTTTCTGCGTGGATTAAATATCGGCCGTTCTATAGGATTCGGGGGGTACGTCAAGCGTACGTACGAAGGTGGGGGGGGGGGGTGTAAAAAGTACGCATGCGTACAGAGAGGGGGGGAGGGGTCAGGTTTTGAAAGATTTTTGCGTACGTACTAAATGGATGGTCCCCAAGTGCTAGAACTTAAAAATTATAGTTTTACCTTCATTATAAATGAAGTTTTCATTTATTAACTGACCTTGTCCTTGGCATACATCAATATTCATTTATTCCATGCTTGTCGCTGCATTTCTGTCAATTATATTGAATATGTAAAAAACAAAAATAGCATGATGAAAATGTCAAATCCACAATTTTATTTAATCATATGCGAGATACAATGGACAGAAGTCCAACAAAAATACAATAAATATTATTAGAGTTGGATAAATGGCTCTTGTGGCATATTTTGCATATCAGGGCACTGAGCAGGCAAAGCTAATATCTTGGGTGCAATGTCTGGCTGAGTTACTAAAGCGTACAGTGTTAAGCTGACGAAACATTTAAATTTTCTTAACGTTAATTTGGCCCACCCAAATTGATTGGCGCAAATGTATTAATACACTTATTAGATGACCAATATGTGGTGTGCTATTGTTTCCAATGCATGACAGAGCTAGAATTAGTTCTGTGGTGTCATTTTATTGCCATTTTCTCACATGTAGAACTCTTGATAAATAAGGGATTCTGTATTGTGTGTTTTTCAGGTAATGTTTTTTTAAAAATAAAAATGCTATTTCACCCTGGATTTTACCTACTCTTTACCAAATTGTATTTTTTTTCCAAAAAGTAACCTGATATCTTGAGTTATGGAAAATATGATGTCATTTTGATTCGACACCCTTAAAAAGATTTAAACTTTATTTTGAGTTAAGTAAAAACTACTTTTTAAATTTTTGTTGCATGTCTATTTCACCAAGTTTTTAAATCTCAGAAGTAGAATAAATCTAAGTGACTAAAAAGTTTAATACGATGCTTTTGTTGCTGTCATTTGTGACCATGCTGAGACCATCAACTCGGTGCACATGAGAACCATGTTTAATCACAGGTACTGCTTGGATTCTAATAATAGATTCCAGAAGTGCTGGGGCAGTACTATGACATGACATTAACCCTCTAAGCAACCTGGCCATTTTATATATGGCATATCTTAATTTGGTGATTGCTTTAATGCCACATCGAATTACTTTTGTAACCCATAGATGGATGTCACACCTTGGCCCGTGACGCTCGTCGGGAGGTTTGCAGTGGTCCCAACGGACTTCCTGCAGGAGGCGTCACTGCAAGTTGACTCCCACAGCAGTCTGGAGCTTTTTCAGATATCTCTTACCAAGCTGGTGCTGCCCATTCTTCCGGACATTGCCCATCTGCTAGATGGTCATCTGCCTGAGCTGTGGGCTGTAGCATGCTGCCAGCTGCAGATGGGCCGACCGCAACTGAAAGCAATTTCCATGACAATTCTCGCTCAGCTGACAGAGATGGAAGGGCCTTCGCATGACCACCTGAAGGACTTTTTAGTGGAGATGCTGGTAGGCGTGATGGAAATCCTTGCTGACAGGAAGGTGGAAGAACGGGATGAAGATGCATCCGTAATGGAAGGAGCCGTTCATGCAGCTGATGGCAGCCATCTTCCCATCGCAACGCGAGAGCGAGCGAGAGCCGTATTGCCCCCCCGAGTGCCTGGACTGGCTCATTGATAAGTTGAGGGACTTTGTAAGTAGGAGGCCTCTGCTGCAGGTGAAAAGCTTGGCGGTTCAGGCAGCATTGTGTGGCGTGGTCCAGCACGTGCTTTGTTGTCCTCCGGCCGAATACGAATGTGCTGACCGCATAAGGCGTGAAAGAGTGGTGGTCATCTGCGCACACCTGATTGGAGTGCTTGGTACTTTTACATCACAGAAGGTACGTTTATATCGACACTGTAAAGAGTAAACTCGAGTAAAGTTTGATGTGCAATGTAATGTTTAAAAAGGTATTTCTAGGGACAATAGAACCTTGACAAGATGCAATGGTAATTTATTCAAGTTAGGAAGACTCAACCCTGGTATATACGCAGATGCAGGGTATGTACATTCAAATATATCTCGGCTTGGCTGTATACTAACGCATTTTGGAAAGTAGTTTTTTTTTTAAATATGCATGTATATTAAATACACAAGCAGGATTGGTAAGACCAGAAGTTATTGCGATATCAGCATCATGGTAGTATCTGGAGGGTTTACTGGCAATGCTGTTGATGTCAACAAGCCCATTTCTGCCAGATCTAACAGCTGTTCTGCTGTGGCACAGCTGACCTCCAAAGTCTGCTCTAATAGTATTCCATCATCTGGCTTAAAGGTTTTTTCCTTTGCTTGCTAACCTCAAGGTTGTCAGTGCAATGCCTGCCTTGGTAACCTACCTGTCTCTTCGGCACATACTCTCCAACCCACACCATAACATATTTTAAAGCATAAGAATGTGTAAGTGACAGCTCTTTCCCAGATTGCTGAATGTGGTTTGCACTTCACAGCATTTTATCAGGTGCTTGGTCATGGCCATAATGCATGAACTTGGTGTCTTGAGCGAAGAAAACGTGTGGCAGGACACAGACCACAGTACCGAGCCAAGATCAGAAGTTCTTGGAGAAGAGATAAATTGCAATGATCAGCTGGAATCTGGCCCCGCAAAGAAGAGGCCTTGCCTAGACAGGTATGTGAGTTGACGTTAATCTACTAAAATAAGCATGGTCCCACTTTGCTGCAGGTGAGCTTGCCATCAGATAGGTGCTGTATTACTATGGTTTAACAAAATGTATTTATTGTGTCTAAATGTTTAGTAGCACTGCTACAGCACACATTTTGTCTAAAGTCGACACTTTAAGAAGAGTGCAATTATGTATGTCATAAAAAACATGTATTTATAAAATGTAACTTGCACGATACAATTTTTTCACTCTTTTGTAAGTATAACAGTTATTATAGAAGATTAAAATACAATGCACAGAGAGCAGACGGGCATGAAATGTATCCTTTCTGTTTATTGCAAAATAAAGTGTCATACTCTGAAGACAATGTAAGGTGTATGGCCACTACAAGTGATTAATGGGACGGACGTGGATGTTGATACTTCTACATAGAATACAAACGTTCTCTGAACCGTGGCTTGGTTTTTGCCATCAGCAAGCAGACAGGCAACGGTGAGGTACAGAGCGGCCTGCTGCACAAGTTGCAGGAGCGTCTGGGGGTACTGCTCACTCAGCTGAAGGACAAGTCACTCCCAAACACCTTGGATCAGCTGGAAGGAGTGGCCACCATTGTGCATGTCATTGCACTGGTCTGTGCTGGTGTTGCCCGCTTGGTGCCAAATGTCAGGTACCTATTAATGTTCTAAAACTCTTGTAGTCTATCAGGGATGTTCAAATACTGGCAAGTATTATGAATAACACTTGACATATGTATTGAGAAGCCCAATGACAATGTGTACTTCCTCCTAGAACGGTTTGTAAACTGTTTAGACCTTTGAATTGTTGGAGCTATATTTGAAGTGTATTTCAGTAGATAAAAAAGGTGCACTGCAACATGATATTTTTTGTTAAACACTCAAGCGAATCTGGCAATACATGTAGCCCACTTTATAGCAGTCAACCCTTTAGCAGGAATATTTAGCTGTGTGAAGTCTGTTATATAATTGGAACCTTATGGCGGTACCCCCGGGGTACCATAGTACCCCGGCTCTCACATAATGTCTGTGATGGAGTCATTTTTAGTCTGTTGACGGTCGGCGGTGTGGCAATCGACTCATCTCGACGAGCTGTACACGATGCACTATGGTGCATACGCGAGCGTTCAGGGTTTCAGCGCAATCGTCCTCGCTGCGTTTCGACATCGAGGAGTAGCACCGATTTTAGGATTGATTGGTACCCCAGTCGCGGAGTTAAGTACACCCCTAGAAAAAAAATAGTGTCCCAAAAATAAAATATTTAATTGCCTCAGCCATTTTGTATTATTTGGTACCCCGGGGTACCGCCATAAGGATCAATTGTAGTAGTTTCAGAACAGCATTGAGTCTTTGAAAAATTAAAAAGTTGTTCACAATACCAAAATGTAAACTATACTTATATTAATTATTATAACAACATTTTGGAATATATCTTCATCCAGTTTCCAACCACTACCCCTATAAGCTTATTTTCTGTATTTACTTGAGGAAAAATGTGCACCTTCAAGTCACTAAATGGATAGGAGTAAGAAGAGGGTAGGAGCATGTAGTGGGACATTTAGGTGGTGAGGAAATGGGAGTGGCATATATGTTATAGAGAAATGTTTTTTTTCCTGGCTATGGATTAATTCTTGTTGAACTTCTTTTACACCGTACGTAGCCATCCGTGCCAATCGGAGGTCCGGGGGAAGGACAACAAACTAAACACAAAATTAAAACCGGCACCGATCTAGCCTGTTTGGAACATATAGTGAAACAAAGTTCGAGTCTTGTCTGGTTTTGCCTTACAGGGAGCCTCTCAAGGAGGTGCCACGGTCAGTCGTGGATAGGACCTGGATCCCATGTACGGAGATCCTCAAACAGGTGGTGCAAGTGCTGATGGCTTACTTGGAGGGACTGGCTATGGGTCCCTTGACTGAGCAATCACTTGCAAGGGTTATCTCCATCATCGATGGGTTATTGCTCATGCATGGTATGAATAGCCTTCCTACCATATTCCACTTTGTGTCATGGCCAAGTGAATGTTTTTGCAAGTCTTATCAATTGTGGTACTTAGTTGCAGTGGGAGAGGCAGATTTCTTTACCTTATAATTGAGTGAGGGTCCATTTGGACAGTATGAATTCACTGTGAGGAGACCTGATTTCCTTGCATTCACAGATTGATAATATTCATGGCTGATGATGGCTTATTCTTGAACACAATGCATAATGTATCCACACTGCCTTGCTCCTTCCGACTGAATTTCAGTTCACTGTACAGGTCTTTTCTACTGATACCCTGGAGCACTTCTGCTGGGTCCTGTCCCTGCCGTGGGTGCACAAACGCAAGGAGAAAACTGAGGTCGCCATGAAGAGTATACAGGAGATGACATCTATTGGGCAGCGACTGGAGGCTGCCTTCAGTGAGTTCAGCCCACAAGATTCACTCGTCGCAGATTTTAGCTTCGCCGTGAAATATGCTGTCCTCCACAGCTGCCAGTGAAAGCTTGTGGCTCATATTTGAGGAAGCTAGTAAATTATGCCTTGGATTTTCTCAGCTCCAGATCCCTCTTGGCACAAGTGTTTTTTAGTTTAAGAATTGTAATTCAATGACATTGACACTTTCAGACAATCATACCAATGGAATCATACCAGAATTCTTTGCAGTTCTTCGTGAACTTGTGTGTTTTAGAGTCCGGTATTTGAGCTCATAATTGTTTTACATGACCGAATGATTCACATTGTCATCATTGCACATTTTAACTGAAACTGGCAAAACCTGACATTTCAGCCTTAGGCCAGATCTGTCACTGAATGGCAGTTTCTTATTGATCTTGTTAAAGATCTTTTTTTTATTCATGTAGCTGTAGTGATATAAAGGTAGCTGTTAACATTACAAAAACTTATAGAAAGCAAAGTAGTATTTTTACATTAAAATAACAAATCACTGGCATGTTTTAATAATAGTTTGTGGTTCCTCGCCCATCCTGAGTTCTCTCTTCGAGAGGGAGTGAATACTGTCCGCATCACAAGTTGAAATTTGTATTTGTACTTGTACACTTTCAGATTTGCTTATAATTGACATTTTGATTTATGCATGTGCTCTACAATTTTCTATAGTATATTTTGGCAGGGAAATTAGCACAAAGTTGGTCACGAATTCTTGTCTTCCGAATGTTTAAGTATCTGTAGTGATAAGTCATTACATTCCATTTTTTTATTCAGTAACTTAAGCTTATTGGTAGTGTGCTTGCCATTGTTCATATATGCATATAGTTGACTCTTTGATTCATGCATGTGCTCAGTACTTTTTTATAAAGCTCATATGGCAGTGAAACGACCACACAAAGTGGGTAATGTTGGCTGCAAGATTTTCTATTTTAAACTGGATGAAAATAAGTAAAAAAAAGTTTGACAAATGGGTGGTAGAAATTGAGTACTGTTTTGATCTTGTTTGTGTATCCCCAGCACCATGCTTGCGAGCACGCTGCTTGTGCCTGCTTGCAGCTGCTGCCCATTGACATAAGCTCAAGCTGGCGCATGGTGGTGCTGCAGTTGGCAGTCGGAGAGCTGCGCAGAGGAGGAGCGGGCAGCCGCAGTGTGGGCTGGCCCAGTGCTCCTGCGGCAGCTGCTGAGCCTCAACGCTGCATCTGGTCTCGTCCGCAGTGTGTTACAGTGGGTAACAACAAGATTGCTCACTTTTTCTGAATTTTACATTTTTATACTTTAATAAACTCTGAACTACAAAGTTTTCACAATGTGGCATCTGATAGTGACCAGTTTTAACTCTGAGAAAAATCAAATAACTGGCCAGAGTTTCTAACAAATCAAGGGAAATAGATCATCATGGAAAATGCCAATGATAATATACCTTGCCTTCATTTTTATTGTCTACTAGCCTTTTGCCCGTCCAAGGACGGGTGTATTGCAGTAAATCTCAAACTTACAAGCGAAAAGCAGACCGCGACGTGATATTCATTGCATCAATGCGTGTGCAATTTGTAAGGGCGCGGTGACACAGACCTATTTCATTTTAAGGTTATAATCCCTTGTTCATCATGACGTCCTTTTCACTTTGATGTCTCAAAAGCGTTACGGAGTTCGCGTGACGTGAGGGTTCTGCCTTTGTAGTGAGGGTTGTAAGTTCACGCCGAGGAGGGGGCAGGAGGCGCCTCGGCCCCCCATGTGCAGTGACGTCAGCCGCTGATTATTATTTGGAGAACGTCACCTGCTTATGATTATTAATGAAGGGGGGTGTTCGATGTGGAGTTGCGTCACTTGCGCATTATTGTTAGTGAGAGGGGGGGGAGTACTCCATATTGAGTGACTGTCACCTGCTCATGATTATTAATGAGGGGTGGGGGGGTTGTCCATTTGGAGGATGTCAACTGCTCATGAATATGAATGAGGGGGGGGGGCTGGTCGATGTGGAGTGACGTCACGAGCGTTAAGGACAAGCATTCCTGGGTGATTAGAGTAGGTATTCCACAGCTATTGCAGTGACTCATTATATTGATTTAGGTCTTCTCCTTGATCACTGATTTCTCAGAACCCATATAAACCTTTAAGTAGCCAGTCCTTTTCCATTCTAACCACTTCTACCCACCCAATGCAATATCATTATCCTAATTACTTAAACTTTCTTTCCACTTTATCATTCACTTTTTATTTTCTCTCCCTATCATTCCTTGATATTCCTAGATATTTTCCATGCATCTATGTTCAAAGCCTTTCGACTTATTCTTGATTGGTTAAGCTCAAAACAACACGAAGCTGACATGTTTTTATAGAATGGTATATTAAGTAATGCACAACACAAATTGCAATTCCTTACAGGTGAGTCACATGCTAAATGGCTGATTACTGATCTATTACATATTTTCATACACCCCCACCTCTGCCTCTGATCTCGAATCCTGATGGGGTTAAACAATGATGACATCATCCTACACCATTTAAGACTGGAAGCAGGTGGATGGCTTCGCTATTTTGGCAAATCGCCCAAAGATGCTGGATGTAATTTCCAGCGAAACGTACTCAAATTGTAAATGTTGTGGATCCACTCTTCAACACACCGGTGGGCTAAAGTAGTTAATTATTTGTTGTTAACGTGACACATTTTTTATTGATTGGCCGTGTCGGGTGGTGGAGGGTTGCGACACATTTATAAATAACGCGATCTAACCCAAAAAAACCTTTATTATGGAGAAATATATCTAATCAACAAGGCATGTTCAATGCACATGTTGCATTAGCAGCATACATTTTGATGGACTTTAGAAACCACTATGAAAGACTAGACTGGTTAACTTTAAGGTTAAGACATGTTTGAGGAAGGATTAATGTGTACATTGCTGCACAGGTCACAAAGCTAACTTTAAGAAGGCAACTAGAAAAAAAAACATATCTCACCCTGAAATATAGATAGATGTGGAGGGTGATTGGAAGTTATTGGCAGTATCGGAGAAGTTACTTTGAAGTCTAAAATAGAAAATGTCAATAAAGCATTACCTCATCAAGAAGAGGTTCTGATGAGTGGAGCGTTACATAAAATGCCGCATTCAAATTGCATATTTTCCATAAAATATTGGTCCTCAGAGTAAAATTGTAAAAAAGTTTGCAAGATTTGATATTTTTTCTACACGAATTAAGCCATTAAGAGACATCCGTGCCAACTTAGTTGTGCCTACAGGTACACTTAAAGTTCTCGCTCTGAAGAATGGTAACATAAAAAAAATACTTGCATTTCTCCATTGTTGCTTTGACAGGGAAAGACTGACCGACTCGTCAGATGCAGTGCAGAAGAAATTGGCAGCTGCCATTGGCCCTCTGGCCTGTGTGCTGGCTGGCTGTTCGAGTCTGCTGTGTCGACCGTTCACTGCTGCCCTTAAGAGCACAAGTGAATCGGCCATTGGTGATGAGCTGCTGTGCCACAATTTTACACTTGGCTGTGGTGGTGGTGGCAGCTATGGTAGTGGAAATGGTGGGGCGCAGCCCAAATGCAGTGGAAGGATATGCTTACCAGCTTCTACCTTAACGCCGTTTCTACTTTTGCTTCAACCCAACACTGCTCCCGAGGTCAAGCTTGGTGCGTATGAAAAGGGTGTATAAAAAAAAGTCATAAATATTAAAGGCGTTTTAATGTTTCAGTGAAAACTGATTTTTAATGATGGCATGGAAAGTGATGGTAGTTAATTTTCATGAATTCTCAATTCACCGATGTCAATATATTCCTACAATGTTTAGTGATGTGTTTTATGATAATCAGGCCTTGTACTTTGGAACACCACAGGTATTTAATTTCTAAATTTAGTTTGTTTCAAGATATGGATTATATTTAGACTCATTTGATGCTCAAAAGTAGCTTGGTGGTTCAGGGCTCGGAATACTGAGCCAGCGTCGCAGAGGTCTTTGGTTCAATTCTGGGTGAGTGTGGTCAAATAAGGCCTCCATTACCCGGACAGCGTGGGGAGTCCCTCATTCAGCAGTGAATTAACAAAGGGCTGTACATAATTTGTTAACACCTTGACCATGCTGTCTCCAGCATTCATTGGCAGCCTGCCTGAGCTGCTAGTGCACATTAATATGCGTGGCGGCGATGGCAACGGTGGAGGCAACTCGGATGTACTAGACATCATGGACTCCTGTCTTGGTCTAATGGAAGACAAGGATCTGGGGGTGAGGATGAGCTTCAGCCTGGCTGTGCGACACCTCATTGCTGTGCTCGGACCTGAGGACAAAGCGGAGCCCAGCCCCTGCAGTGAGGTGAATAGGCGTGCATGTACTAATGAGACCAAACTTGGCTGGGTGTGTCGAGTGGTCACAATGCTGGACCTGTAATTGACTGGACAAGGATGTAATTTTGTTGGCGTGTGCAGATGGAGCCGATATGACACTCATTAACTGAGTATTTAGGAGTAGGTTTATTATTGGCTTTGAGAGAGCGGATAGAGGGAGTACATGTAACAATAATAATTTTTTAATTATTAATGCAACAAAATGTAACTTACCTGACATGGTGGTGTTGCTTCTTGTGGTTGGGTGGGTTTGAGTAACAATGAGGGTATGCCGGGACTGTATAATTCCACACGCATACCCATAATTCCCAAACCGCTCAGCCGCGCAGCCCAAGGAATTACTTTGCGGTCAACCACTCAGAAACCTCGTTAGAACGGTTGCTCTCCACGTTCTGCGACAAGTCAGGATCAGATTCTTGGTTTAGACTGGAGGAATCTGAGTTATTAAGCTCTTTTTCACAGATGCTCAGTAGGGTGGAGTTTTCCCTAATAGAATAACCGTGTTATAACAAAAACGCTTTGCGTGAAAAAACTTTAAGCGAGGACTTACTATATTTTAAAATAAAAGGATACCTCCTTAACAATAGAATAAATATGTAAATAAGGGAGATTTGAGAAGAAAGCAAGTTAATGCAAAAAAAAGCAAAAATACATTTATATCATCTGAAAGTGTTTGTAAAAGTGTATTATGCCAAAAAAAGAATATGCATTATCACTTGTAGTTGTGCACAGTTACTTCATTTGTTTTTTAAGCAGAATACTCTTGATAGCATATCTTTTAGAAAGAAGGTGATACTTTTTTAAGCCAGCTGATCAGTGGTATTTAGTGATATGTGAATGCTGCTTCTCTGTGAAGTTGCTGATCTCCAAGCTGAAAATGGCCTATAAGAAGGCCAAGTTGGCACGAGATGAGAGTCTGCGCACCACCCTGGCGCTCACCACGGGGCAAATCAGCAGGTGAGTACCACAGCTGACAAAGTACCAGATAGTAAGTGAGAAATGTGGTGTGATAATAAAGCATGCTTGTATTTCGGTGGCTTTAAGCTGCAATGTGGATCATGTCAAATGTATGTTGACTGCAGGACAATGAGGTGGTTCAGAAAGTGTGTGTTTTATAAGACTGAAGCAGGGCGTTTTAAATTGCTCCCTTACATGCCTGCATTTTCTCTGTATCCCTTCTACCTCCCAAATTCAAAAGTAATGGGAAGAATTTACTCTGTACGTAAAGCAGGACTCTTAAAATGTGAAACTGAGTGATGGACAATAAAGGATTTGCAAATGAAGGAGTCAATTACAGTATTGTATTGATTAAATTACCTAATCGATGTATTGTCCCCAGCTTTATACAAAATACAATGAGGCTTGTGTTTACAAAACAATGCACTTTACATAACATTTAAATGTAACCGCATCTCAAGACGCTGTACGTGTCTGTAAATACAGAATAAAAAACACAGCGAGCCGTGTGTGCATATCTTGCGTGCATTTCAGCATTCGGACGTGAATGCTACTCAAACGTGAGATGGCCTTTTTTTTACATCGTTGGCTTTGGTGCTAAAAATAGTTATGTTAAAGTGCAATGAGGAAGGGGCAGACCAGGGTATATAGTGAGAGTAGCTTGCGTGTGGAATACACAATGCATATTACACCCACTATGCATACAAACAAACATTAAACAGTACATAATGAACAAAGACAATGTTAAATATAACACTTAACCACTAAATAATCCACATAACATGTTATTCTTCATATGAACATAATGATTACTGCATAAACACAACACGGTACAAATGACAAAAGTCTAAATCATTTTGAATATCAAATGAGCATTGAGGCAGTGCTCATCTACTGTTTACAGTCAAACAATCATGCAAATTCCATATTCGTATGGGGGAGGTGAGTCTCAATAGATCAACCACTGTTGAGTGTACAACTACATCAATACAATTAACGCTACATAAAAAATATAGTTCACAAAAAATACCACGCATAAAACAATACAATACTGACTTTACCCAATAATAACAATACATAATAACGCATGATATTTAATACATGTAATCCACAATAAACTCAAATCAAAATATCCAAATAGATTTTCAACAACTCCATTTGTAGCTTGCTTATTTGAAGAGTGATACCCATCGGGATCATAATACCACTGATAATAAAGATGGTAGTGATTTTGATGATGGTATTGATGTTCGTCGATTGTCATGATGCAACTGCTGATGTGGATGTGTTGCAGGGTTGCTCAAGGGCACAGTGTTTTGCTGTGCATGGTGCTGAGCCTGGTGCACAGCGTCACATCCAAGTGGCCCCTGGTGGCTGCCACAGCACATGGCCAAATCCGCCAGCTGGCCAGTGTGCGAGGCATCTCCCCGCAGGCTTTGTTCAGCCAGTTCAAGAAGCCCATATGTCAGGTGAACATACTCCCAGCCCTCGAGACTGGTGATAACCTGTGAGCGCGTGAGTTCGTTTTTATGGGAAGAGTAGTATCGCTGAATTACTATATAAAAATGTTAGGTAATGGTCCAAGTTAAACCAGATTCTGAGTCCGTGCCATACATTGACTTTGAGGTTAGGTCACTTCAGTGGATCACATGTAGATGATGCCATTAGGTGCATGAAATAATAGTCATATGTAGGATAACACTTTTTCTGTAAGAGGCAGTAAACCAAGTAGTTTTTATGCCTCATGATAGTCATTATCTGGGTATTCCTCTTTCCTGCAAATGACTCAAAATGTAATTGGCCAAATAACATGGTTTTAGTGCCCATACATAATCCATCAACAATGTTCGTATTATTTGTAATTAATGTAAAATCTCTAACGGGAAGCGTTACAAACCAGGCCTGTCCGCACAGATATTCCTTGATATAATGGCTGCAGATAATAGGTGTTTTTAATATAATCTAAGTACTTTGAAGGCATAATTAGTATTCTTTGGGTTTCATAGAAATAGACATTCCAAGAGGAAAGCTAGAATTTTTAAGATGTATGGTTTGATAGAAATGCGTGAGACTCGACCAGCCGAAGCCAAGGCTTAGTGCCAATTTTTGGATTGGGTTAAAATGGCCTAAGGCTCAAAGGGCAAAATGAGATACAGTTGTGATTTTTCAGATTCAGTAGATTCTTTCAATTGAGGAGCATGACATTTAGTGGAATAGCACACAGCATGTTAAAGTAAAATTGCCATTTGAATGTTTAAAACAGCTGGAGAAATATCACACTGGCTTGAATAGCTGTCTTATTTGGATATTGTTATTGACCATCCCTGGCCCTGGCTAAATACATTACCAGGTTCAGATGGCTTTGTTTAGCCGCATAGCTTCAATAAGGAATGGATACATCTGCTACCTTTTCATGTTATTAATAATGTGTTTGCTTTGTTCTGTACATTTATATCCCTTTTGTGGAAAAAATAGAAAAAATGCACATGCAAATTGACAACACTAAAACCCACAAATATAGTCTGTCATAAATATGCTGTTCATACTGCCTCCTACAGGCACACATCACAATCCTGCAGGTGGATGTCAAAACACAAATCATGCATAATTTTCCAACACTGCCTCCAGGAATTCATCATTGCTAAATACAACCCTGGCTAAATAGATTACAATTTGTGTTAACTTAAGCTGCAAACTTTTGTGATGTGTTTTTTTATTGATAAAATCCATGTCATTTAAAATCTATGTATGTTGTGAAAATGAAATGAACAGCCTCTAAAAATGTTATCAGCCTGTCACCCGCCCCCCACGATTATGCGATGGCACAAAGGTGAGTATTCTTGTCTGCCAGTTGCTCTGCCCATGCTACTCTGCCACTACTCCTAAAAGAGAGGCTTCCTTTCTTCTGCCCTCACCTCCCGGTTGTGGCGTGTGCAGTTTCTGGCCAAGTCGATGCACGACTCTCAGCAAACTGCCAGCTCGGAGCCCTTGCCCGAAGAACGAGAAGCCTCCCCAGATGTCTTGTCTGAAGTGGCCAGCGTGTTTGACTTTCCTGATCTCACCCACTTCCTAAACGTAAGGGGAATCTGTCGTGTGGTCTTAAGAAGTTTCTTGAGCAGCAGCCCATTGCGCTGAGGACTTTGACACGTTTTGGTTAAACAGTGAAATTGCTGAGTGTCATTTTTTCTTTTAAACCTTTACTTGCAATAAAAATACCATGGTGATGTTATGTCTATATAAATAAGCTATGTAGTATTATTTGTATTGCTGTTGGAGCATAAAGAAAAGAATGTGTTGTACAAAGATTGTGTAAACGTGTGTGGTGTGGTTAAAATTAAGTCAGTCATATTAGATCATAATGTAACAATAGTACATAAGGATTTGGCATTTCATATTCAAAACGCATTTGGAGTCAGTTGATGGATGTAAAAATGTGAGAAATAAAATAGGTTTTCATGAAGAAGGAGAGAACTTATTTTAATAAAATTCGTAGAAGACCTTACAGTCTGCTCTAATGTACACTAATTTTGTAAGTATTTTCTCATAAGCAATTGCATTAATTTTATTAACTATGTTTTATATAAATAGTACATTTTAAACCCAGAAATATACTAGAAACCCAGAAAGACTAGGATAAGGGGTTGGGGGTTATGTGAGATTAAGTCAGAGATATAAGAAATGCAAGACCACTTAACATCTTAAACATAACTTCAACTTTGCATTCAATAAATCAGAAGATCTTAGAATTTGTGTCATCGCATATTATACAGGTTCCAGCAAAGGTAGCCAACTTATACTAATACTATCCTGACATTGTTGCTTCCGTTGCAGAAGACGTTGCGTTATCTGCTCACGTTCCTGGTCGCGAAGGCGACGCCTGCATCCGCCACGCTCATGGGTCTGTTGGCACAACAGCTTCACTTAGGCTCTCGTGAGGCTCTGCTCACCAACTTCAAGTATATTTTCTCTCACCTGGTGTGCTGCTGCTCCAAGACTGAGCTGGAGGCTGCTCTGCTGTTCGTGCAGGTCGGTGTTCTTCATTGCAAGGCCTGCGAGCCACTGGCGGCCCCTGGTGGCCTTTAGTGCGGCCCCTGACGTGCGGCCCCCAACAATACGCAAATGTGAAAACACCCCATGATGCTGTCAAACTCAGTGGGTTTCAAATGTGTGGTGGCCTTCATACTGAAAATTAGTGAAAAACACTTGTCCAGGTGTAACCCACGTCACCCCCTACTCTCATACTGTCCAGTGGCTGGGTTTATGATTTACGCTATCCAACTAAGATTGACAGTATTTATGCATTACTACTGACTGTCCATCTGTCTGTCCTGTTTATTTATTAAGGAGGCAAAATTTGAAGGTGATTCAGTACAAACTAAGCTTTATCATAGCATTGCATTGCTATTAGGGACTCATCCTGGCAAAAAACAGTCAACTTGATCTAAAGGATGATCCATAATTCACCAATATAACACATTTTAAATGATTTGGCATCTTTTGCCATTGCGTGACATCATAACTTGAGGCTAATAACGTTGCTGAAGAGTGAATCTGGTCTGCCCTGATTGCCTTACACAGGGAGGTGCAATGGCCCAGGCAAGGCAATAAAGAAATGCATCCCTGACCCTGGAGCCCTGTGTAAAGTTTATACATTATTTATGAACAAGATGCCGTTATCTTATGTGTGATGTAATCTCATTTAAAATTAACTACAGCAATTACATTTAAATGCTTTCGAGGCCGAGTTCCCTCCATGACTAGGCCTGTCTCGCCTGGTTTCCCTGCCTTTGTGTTTACGTCCTTTCCGGGGAAGGGAATCATAGACCCAAGTCAATATCTATCATCATCATAAACCATGATCTATCCACTTCTGGATGAAGCGTCCAAGATCTTAAGTGATGGGGTGCATTTCAGGTGATTTAGTCATATGCTTTCTATATTAATTATTACTGCAATTTGCACACCATCTTGTCCACTCATTGGCTGAGCAGAAGGAGACAGAAATTGAGCTTGGCAGCCTCCTGCGGCAGGACTTCCAGAGCCTCCACAATGAGCTGCTGCTGCGGCTGGGCGAGAGTTACCGGCAGGTGTTCAACGGACTGGCCATGCTGGCCTCTTTCTCGTCCTCGGAAGCTGCTCAGCACGTGTGTGGTGATATCTCCTCATCTCAGCAAATGGTGCGCTTGTACGAATGCATGTGTGCATGCTCGCATACATGCATGCGTTCACATATAACCTATACCCATATGCATGTAGGCACACAGGCGTGTGCAACTAAGCATGCATTCACGGACTTCCTTAGTGTAATTTGATGAAAAATAAACACATGCATACACGTGCACACACAATCTTGTACATTTAAAGATTCATTGTGAACAGAGAAAGGAATTCAAGTCTTTGCAGTGCTTGATTTAGTTTGAGTAAGGAATGGCCAATAATCTAAATTGTTAAATAGCTTTCTTTCTTTTTAAGTAAACACAAGAACTGAGTTGGCTCTAAGACAGATGTATGGAGAGATGCAAAGCAGAGAGATTTACACAGGGTCAGAGACGATGAGCATTGCCTCCCCCGCCTTCCACTCTACCCACACTGCTAGACACTACATGGAGTGTCGAACATTTTTTTTGCCAAGGATGCTATGTATTTTAGGGCATACCCGAACGTTACTGATACAATAACAATCTGAAATATATAATGGCCGAAGCCATTGATTTAATTACACCCTTTGCCAAATCCCATAGCTGTTGCCAGATCACCACATGTGACTTATTTGCTCCTAGTGATGACAATTAAAAATGTATTGTATTGAAAAAGAGAATAGCTACCAAAACCATAACTACAGCATAAGTTAGAGACGTAGATATCAACTCTCCATATTTAAGAACCACATGTATCAATAACTTAAGATTATTGTCGATGGAAGTATAGATCATATAACTACTTCTGAGACTCCTTAAAGTAATTTCTTTTAGCCACAGAGGTGTTGCATTTTTCTACACATCGTGCTATATCGACACTCATTGTATGGTAGTCAAGCCAGAATTTTTAATACCAAATTAAGTTAACGATGAAATGTATTGATATTATTTTGAAGGTATTGTTAATCAGGTACTATGACCATCAGCTGAATACACTTGATCATTTTAGTATGGGTGGCTACCCCGATTTAAACCCAGGATCTTAGTTGTGCTGGTCCAATGGTCTGACTCACGCCACCACCTGTCCACATTCCATCCGCAGCTGTTTTATACAGTCATGAACATTTCCAATTTTTCACAAATTAATTGTGTATGATCCTATATTTACATAGTCATTTGACCTCATTCAGCTACTCCTTCACACTTCAGCGATTGATATTTTAATCCTAACATTCATTATGACCTTTACGTTTCCACATGATGCAAAGTTTACACTAATTCTTATTATTTTCACTCAGATGTAAATATTGTTTGTATATTACCACTTTTGCCAAGGGGTGCCTGTTGAGAGTTCTGTGTGTTTTGCACCTGGGCATGCAGGCAGAGTACTTACAACCCCGGCTGCTCGGAATTCTGGCGTTTTTCAACCTTCAGCTCCTGAGTTCTGGAACCAGCATGGAGGACAAGAAAAAGGCGAGTGGAGCTATAGCCTGCTTCAATGCTTAACAGCAATCCAATGAAATGAAGGCCAGATGCGAAGGAACTCTGACATTTTTAGCAAAGATGAAATCTAAATAAATATTTAACAATTACTAAAACTATTTTTGTGTCAAATGACCTTTGTCACAAATTACATAACCTGTGACACCCTCAATATTAATCCCTATAAAATTACCACTTTAAAGGAAAATGCAAGCTGCTAAACAAATTGGTGCTTTGTCTTAAACATAAACACCATGAGTTTGCCGTGCGATAAGTAAATATTGAATAAAACAACTATCTAGGATTTTTGCAACTCTGGCTATGGTGGTTGTCACAGATCCCTGATGGGTTTCATGACTTTTAACAGGGCAGGGAAGTTGAGATGCCTGTGACAGCGTGAAGGAAGGAATAAGGGTTGGGACAGGCTCAATCGCATAGTCGCAGGGAAGTAGGAGGAAACAAGAACGAGCGGTGACTACACCACATGGGAATGTGTTTATATGGGCTTGTGTGCATATCTAATTAATACAAATAATTATTTGTATTTCTGAATGTGGTTGTGTGTGATTGCAAAAAATATGTCTGGTGATGTATGTTTGCGGAGCGGTATTGCAGTGAAACCCAGTGACCCGAGTTCGGTTCCCGCTCAAGACCAATACCAGTGACGATTATCTGAACCAGTCCTGGGCCTCTCCTAGGTCGACTCGGCCTCAAATTCCTGGTGCGGTGTGTAAACATCGCAACTAGTTATACAAAGGTGAACAGGCATAGTGCTGGCCACCCACCCCCTCGTGTGCCATGCCGGCCTTCATAGGTGCTTGCTAACAGCACTTGCCCCTACAGTCTGTTAAGGCTATACGGGGGAATCTTTGTCTTTGTTTATTTATATAAAACTTGCTTCCCACAACTGCAGTGTTGGAGTTAACTGCAATGTGTGACTTGGCAGACGCTTAACAGCCTGGTGTCCCTGATGGAGCTCATGGGCTCCAAACACGTGACGTCCGTACGGGTCAAGATGATGACAACCCTACGAACAGGGCTGCGCTACCAGGACGAATTTCCCAGGCTCTGCTGCAAGTTAGTGGTGCACAGTTGTTGCTTTATATATTTTATTCACAATGATAAGCAGGGCTTCATGTAATTTATTTTATTAAATGTTATGTCTTAATTATGTTATTGGACAATTTTCATATTTGGAGAGATATGCTTTGCCAAACTAATTTAAAAACTAGGTTTATGATTTATTTTTTGGCAGGCGCTAAGACCATCAGGTTATCCATGACAACCTGAATGTATCTCAGTCTTTCCAAGTGATATATGTATGTGGACCAATCGCACATAAGTGTTAAATAGCCTAAAAAGACTTCCCATTGTCGTCCTGCAAACATATGGCGCTGTGGATAAAATCCAGTGCCGTAAGTACGGCGACCTAAGTTGATATAAAAAGCGGTCCTGGCCCCCCACCCCAAGCAGATGTGGAGTCATACCAATACGCATTGGTCAGTGTGGTGAAATATAACCAAACAACCCCCTTGGCTGAAAAGGTGTCGGCACGTCTTTATCCAGCAGTGGAGTGACAAAGGGCTGTACATCATTTGTTAACACCTTGACCATGCTCTCTCCAGCATTCATTGGCAGCTTGCCAGAGCTGTTGGTGCACATATATATACGTGGCGGAGATGGTGGAAACAACTCAGATGTACTGGGTTCTAGCTGAACTCGGCACAATCTTCTGTGTGCCATACCATCTGTAAAAGTGTTCGCCAGTTGTACCTACTCCACTGGTATAATCAAACTCACAAGTGGGAATGTAAGTGTACATGACTTGTGGTTGTATTGCAGGGCATGGGACTGCTTTGTCCGTTGCCTGGAACTGACATGCCTAGGCCCCCTGCTGAGCCAGATCAGTGTGGCCCTGCTCCCTCTCATGACACGAGAGCCCAAGAACGTGGCCTGCATTTTCCACTACATGATTGTGGAGAACAAGTAAGGACCGCTGTTTTGGAACGGCTTTGCAAAACTCTCGTGTGTTATTTGACCATCTTGGGTAGGTATCGCACCTCCAGTGAGCATGGTTGGCTATGTACGGTGCAAAATAAGTTCTATATACATGCATAGGTATAGTGTGTGATGCAGTGTTGGAGATAATGTTTATTCAATGAACTATAAAGTTTGGAAGAATATTAGATTGAGGTGGGAGTAGTCAGGCTTGAAAGTGTCAGAATCTCTGTTATGAAAGCTGGAAATAGGGAATGAGAACAAAGTAAGATTATTTTAGTTCACTTGTCAATACCAATATGGGAATAAATTTGATCCCCCATTTGTAAATTTGATAGCAAACATCTCTTAAGCTCTACAACAGAAGAGATTTGATGTGAAAATAATGAGGAAGAGAAGTAAAAGAGAGTAATTGGGCGAAGACGATGTGAAAAAGGAGAGATTTAAAAAAAGCCATTCAAACATGATAACAGTGTTGTATGGCTCAAAGTAAAGTGCTATTGACATAGATTGTACCCCGTTCCGAAGGTATGACATGCTGTTCAAATGTCTTAACAATGTTGGATCAAGCCTATTTCATGCTGACATAGAATCCAGTGTCCATTTTGCATCTTCCAGAACCCTTTGGTAATGCTACCACAATATTACTCTGGTTTGGCATTCAGACTGTCTTTCCCATTCATTCTGGCTTTAGGCAGATCGCTATAAAATCTGGTTCCACTTGTTAGGATGTACTGTTGTTCGTGTGTGGAGTGAATGTTTACAGCGTCGTTTGTTTATTTCATGGCTAACAGGAATGCAGTGCAGGATTATCTGCATGAGGTGTACTTCATGCCAGACCATCCTGACTTAGGCCCTATCCTGGATGTGCTGAATGCATACAGTAAGGTGGGATACACAAAAATAAACACTCCTTTTTATTAGCTTTTAATACTACTGTTACATATGCTGTGATTGAACATACATGTCCTGTAATTTATTGACTCCTTAATAACACCTGAGGTAGTGGGGCTGATAATATCACCAACTAAGGTGGTCTTAAGTGCTAATGCTGATAGTTGCACGTGAAATTTATTTAGGCTGGGGGAGTCCCAAGCCTTATTAAAATTATATTTGCCACTACGTAAGTGGTTGGCTAGGAAATGACCAGGCTGAAACCATCAACCTCTCTACACCTGGGATCCTGGTTTTATCATGAATAGCTGCCCAAGTTTTAACCCACACCCTTCCTCCACAGCCTCTGCCTATCCTTCCTGTTGTGTATAGCTGCTCAAGTCCATGGCTCTGGATCTGAATGAGCATAACAAAGTCCAGATTTGCAGTGAAAGCAGATGTGGATTAATACATATCGTATCCATAATCTTTACTGATGCATACCACTAGCTATTAATACATAAGCTTGGCCTTGGCTTTTTAATGGTAGACTCCACCTAAAATACCATCTTAGGCTGCAAGTCAATGTTAGCACTGGAGGGGGGGGGGGGGGGTATGCTTCTTATCTGGTTCCAGCACTGTCATGCGGCATGTCTACTTTAAGTAGGTGGTTGTAAACTACACTTACCCTAGTGGTGTATTTTGGCTAAAAACGACATCTGTGTGCATTACAGGAGCAGTCTCGCTCAGCAGACCTGGTCGCGGAACTGCAGCGGTTGATGCGTTCCGTGCAGCATGAGAACCTGCAGATCCGCATCCATGCACTGTCCCGCCTGCGCCACACCCTCTACCAGAACCAGGTCCGCCACCCAGACGCTTGTTGTTTTAAACAATACACATTATCCTCGAGAGCTTCAGTGCATGCTGTTATAACTACTGACATTTGCATCCTACCAAAATGGTTAAACTCGATCACAATTAAATATTCAAATATACAATAGGATTTATCATAGGTTTATATAAGTTCTTGTCTATGACATATAACTTGGAATGTTTTTAGATCCTGTTAGATCTCAGATGCTAAGCAGGTTTGAGCCTGAATATTGCTTGAATGGGCAATGAGCAAGTACTACAGAATGTTATAGGCTGCATGTCTGTGTTGTGGGCAGCAGAGGGGAGTACAGAACAATAATTTTTTTTACTGTTTTAAGCTTTGCCATCTATGTTTCTCGCCGTCACAAAACCCCATCACTCATAATGCATGCAAAATATATTTTGACACAATAGGAAGGTTTTTTTTCAATCATTTCCTCTTAATGTCGAGGCTACATGTGGCAGCAGGTTTCCCTGTCCCTCCCTCTGGCCTTTGTTTTTCCACATTGGCCTTATTTGTTCTCCCAACTTGCCTCATCTGTGGTCATTTACTTGTCTGGCCTAGCCCTCTGTTCCTCTCAACCTTCACTTTCCCCACCTCGCTGTTTCCTTCTTTCCTTGGCTTTGGCATTGCCTGGTTTTCAAATGTCTCACTCAATCTTCACCTGTCTAACTGAGCCTTTGTTTTTGTCAGCTCGCCTTTCCAAGGGCATTGCAACTCAGGCTTGGTTAGCACTAAGTGTGTTTTTTGTTTTTGCCTGTAATCAGGGCAAGCTGATGAAGTACGCTTGGGAGAGTGAGACAGTAGAACCCGTGATCTCGCATCTGGTCACTGTCCTGTTGGAGGGTTGCCATGATGCCGACCTATCTGCACGCCTGCTCTTTGGCGAATGCTTGGGCGAGCTGGGAGCGATCGACCCTGGCCGTCTTGACCTGTCTGCCAGTTGTCAACCAAACAGAACTACTACATTCCTGGTAAGAAATCTATTACACTCCTCTGAGTAATTAGAATAACTGGTTTCTCCATTTACATCATGATTATTATAGATATTCCAGATGGAGTGCAGACATACGGTGTTGAATAAGACATGATTTTTTTAAATATGAAAGAGTACGTATACATGTACAGGATGCTCACATGATACGTAAATTGGACTTGCAGTCCAAGGATCGCTGATTCGATTGCCTGCTTAGTTGATTGGCAGGTCGCGTGTGGTGGGCTTCTTCTTTCGTATTGCATTGTGAAAAGCAACAGTTTTTATTTTTTCTTAATGATCGTCGTAAATGAATGCTCATCCAGTCCAATGATGTGGCTGACTTAGTGTGGATTTCAGCAATACCATCAGGATGTGCATGGATGGAGCATTCATCGGTAATGTGCTTGATGGTTTGGACTTCTCCACAGTCGCAGTTTGGCGATCCTTTGATCTTACATTTATGGAATGTGTACGCGCATCTGCCGTGTTGTGTTCGAGCGCGGTTCAGTGTGGTCCATAGTCGTCGTGGAAGAGAGAATCCCGGTACTTCCACCGTCGGATCGTGAATTATGTTTTTGTTTGCCACGTCCATAGCCGCCCACGATTCAGAGCACCGAGTGGCGGTGTCTTTATTGTCGGCTGCTAGAGCGGAGGCGCTTATCCAGAACGGTTTCCTGGATTTTAGCCTTGGGCGGCGTGGGAGTTCCTTTAGATCTTGATGGAGCGGCAGAGTGAAGTTTTTCATTATCTTGTTGATGTATTCCCGTGTCGTCGCATCATCGCGTCGGATGTTGGCCGGAGCGATATTCGCCAGCACAGGAAGCCACGGGAGTGGAGTAGACTTTAGGGAACCGCTAATGATATGAAGTGTGTTGTTAATTTCGACATCGACATGGTTCGTGTGAGGGCTTTCACCCCACACACCGGGGCACAGTACTCCGCAGTGGATTGAACAAGGGCCTGCGTCGATAATCTTCAATGTGCTGGCATCGCTTCCCCAGGTTGTTCCTGCAAGTTTCTGAATAATATTCACTCGTGCTTTCGTTTTACTTTTCGCTTATTTGAGGTGGTGATGGTAGTTAAGCGTCCGATTCAAGGTAACTCCTAGATACCGAGTGTGTTCATCATGCCTTAGCTTCACCCTGCAGAAGTTAACGTTAAAGTGTGGATACTATTGGATACTATTGCATCTTCCAAGACATCTGATCAGCCTCGAACAGTAGACTAAATACCCTCTAGAGAGACCCTCTAGTGCCATGTATGGATGGGGCCTCGATCATAATGTAGTTTTTAAGTATGTGTCACGAGCAATGTCACAGTCCACGACTAAAGATGATGATGGGTAAAAGGAGTTGTTAATCTCATCACCTTATCAATTTAACTTTAGTACTACCACTACTTTGTAACTGAAAAAAATAATTGAAGAAGAACCATTGTTTGAATGGTCATGACATCGGAGGTACTGTTTCGTTCTTGTTAATAAGAGTTGGTGCACATTTGCCAAACAGGCTGCAGTGGAGGAGCCTGAATTTGCTCGGGAACTGCTCACGGAGCTCACTCGTGCCTTCTTGGCCACGGCCGACAATGTGCGAGCACAGGATTGTGCTGCCTATGCAATGCAGGTCAGCCCACTGCTCACACAAGTTCCCCATCGTGACACCCCTTCCCTATCCTTTGATCAGATGCATACGCTCAATTGGAGTTTTATTTATTTATTATGCTTTTGCTTCACGTTGAAATTTTGTACACCTATACATTTTTACCATCAATTTAGCCTGCTGATAAAGTTTGAACTGGTAATGCATTTTCCTAAACAATGTTCCTTTAATATATTGATCTGGAAGGCCGATTAGCTGATAGATTAAGTGTTCATTTTATTTCCCTCCTCAACTTACTTACATACCTAAATCGCATTTTGGTACAGCCTTTTGTCAATGCACTTTTGAATGAAGGCACCCCTAAACTGTCGGTTATGGATGTTGTTTAGGCATACTTCACACTGAGCTGTGTGAGTTGGTACCATTTCTAAACGTTGTTTTTGGTGGCCTTAATTGAGCAGGAGCTTCTGCAGATCTACGCCTGCAAGGAGGGCACTGAGAGCACTCCGGGGCGCTGCCTCTGGAGATCCTTTCCTGACAATGTGCAGGAGATTCTGGAGCCACACCTGCACACGAGGTTAGCACGGTTTTAAATAACAGAGTTTTTAAGTTTGACATTTATTGGTCTATAATGTAGTATCAAGAAGTGGTATTTTACTATGACAAGCGTAAATGCCAATAATATATCCGTCATAATAAATAAGATAATGGAAGATCACAAGTTTATAAGGGCATTACCATACAATTTGTGAAATGTACTAAAACCTTAATCTGAAGACCAGTAACCCTGATTCTCAGATTATCCCAAAATATTGACAAACCCCCTCGGTTCCACAATTTGTAGAACAAGATAAGTCGTTATATACCCTTTTCTTAAAAGCCTTTGTTACCAGTGGACTTCCACTCAAACTTTATATAACCCCGTATATTCATAAATGTTAATGCAAACTATGGAATGAAATACATTTATGAACTGTACAGTTAAATCTAAACCCTCTATAATTCATTCAAAACGCTAAGTAAAAACTGTAATCAACCACTTGATATGTGCTGTCATGCATTACTGGAGGTAATAAATGTACAAGGGTCTGTTAAATCACTTCAAAATCAAATACAATCTTTATCAGCGTATTAATCTTCTGGACCCATATATCCTAAGTCTCATCAACATAGTGTTGACCTGTTCAACCCATGCTGATAAGCTTCCTATCATAGGAAAGAAAACATACATTCAGTGGAATATGTTCAACATGGTGTTGTGCAGTAGACCACGCGGAGACTGGATTTACTATAAGGGCTGTTGCCGTTTATTTACACTGTTTCACACAACACTGGAACTCACACCAGAGGTAGGTGCTCTATTTTTGGTCCTTACCCTGGACCCCCAAACTCTACATTGTCCTACCCTCGGCTATCCCTTGGGGCTCTCTCACTCGTCTGACCAGAGCGGGGGTTCATCCAACACTGCCCGGCGACGAGGAGGGGGAGAGACCCCTTCCAGCAGATTCTTGCCCTGGCTCCCCACAACGACCACACCTTCGTCACGGGGGTCCCCCTTAAGTATCCCTTTGGCGGCTCCTCCCCCTAGCTCGGACCCGCCTTTGTTGCCGAAGGTGTACCCCCTTACAGCCCCCGTGACATGCCGTCATCCTTGGCTGTCAACTCGCTCGCACCTCCCTCTGTTCACTCCCTCATGGTTGCTCACACTACTCCTCTACAATGGTGCAGAAAACATGAAAAAATTATGCATTGCTGATATGTCGGATTGTAAGTAGTAGAGTATTTTTTGTGTAAGTGGTGGATTTTTTCCAGAGCCAAAACTCTACTGCATATTGCCATATGTATCTTTTTTTGTGATTTGGGCATTGAGATGTTAAAGGCTTATTCATGTTTCACCACAGGTACATTAATTCATCACCCATGTTCAATTGGGCAAAACTGTGGAAGCCGATTTATGTCATGAATGTGAGGAAGACATTCCAAGATTGGGCATGCACATGGGCAGGCTACCTCCTCACCAAGGTAAACACACCATTTATGCAAACAAAATTAAAGCCCCATTTTAATAGATATCCCTGAATATATTATGTTCAGCCCTTTGTCAATCCAAGACCTTGCCACACCGTGTTGGTCATGAAGGTTGTTTGACTACTCTTGAGCATGCTGGTCAGTGTGGATTGATTGAAAAAGGAGGTGGGGAGGGGGGGGGCTTGGACCTGTTTAAATGTATTGCATTTCTTATTGAAGCTTTTTTTTGCCATTGTGGTGCCATGTGCATTTCCCTGCTACCTGTGAATTGTGTGGTGGTAGTCCCTCCAGTTTCAATAAATTTATCTGCTGCTGCAGGTGCGGCAGGAGCCAGCACGCAGGGTGTTCACGTCGTGCAGCATGATCATCAAGCACGATATCAAGGTGACGCTCTTCCTGTTGCCGCACATCCTCGTTTATGTGCTGCTGGATGGTGACGTATCCGAAGAACAGGAGGTAATAGCAGTCGCAGTTGGCATTATCGTCATTTTTTTAATATTCAAAACAACAACTACAGCAGCTTCTTTTCTTTCCTACAATTATAATTCTTGATAGGTTTCTCCAGTTTAGTTTTTTCAGATTTTAGGCATGTACACTAAATCTCAAAACGTACATACAAGTACTTTAGAATCTGAGTGTGTAATTATACTGCAAGAATCATGAGCTTCGAAGCTCTCTTTTACAGATATCCAGTTGGGGCGGGTCAGAAAGTTTCAACAACAAATCATACAAAGACAAGATTGGGGTGCAAGGTATAGGAAAGCTAAGCAAGTCACTAAATAAATATCAAAGTAAATAAAGTAGACAAGTACAAATTGCACAAGGACATAAATTCCCTCCAATATTTCAATACCAAATGCAATCTTGGGCAAGGCAGCAAAAAACCAGCAGGCTAATGTATAAGCACATTTGCCAGTCGCACACTGTTGTCTTCACATGTGCAAGTTTTGATGATGAAAATGTCATCTTTTTGTTTTGAACACTTCAATGATGCTTGTCCTCCACTTTCTGCCTCCTAAAGGTACTTCCAAGCATACACTTGTACTTGCATGTAAACTCATATGATATACATACCTGTATGTATTTATTTACGTGTATATCCGTTCTTTTCTATGGCAGGTTTTTGATGAGATGTTGGCAGTACTACAGCATGATGTGGGCCAGGAGGGGTCTGAACGTGCTGATGCGTCAGACCTCAGTCAGATGAGTGCCCAGACCATATTTTCGGTGCTTGACCACTTGACCCTGTGGTCTAGGCATAAGTTGAAGTCGCTCAAGAAGCCAAATGGAATCAAGTCCAAAAGCAAAGCTGGTAGGCCATTCCTTTGCACCCTAAGGCTTTTCTGACATTGCTGTTGGGTGGCCAGCAGTTCGCAAATCATTGTGCAGACTCTGATGTGTTAATTTTCTAAAATATAATATAAACCAAAATGACACTATATTATGTAATCCAAAATGTCAAATAGTCGCATTTTCATTGCTAGAAAAAAATACAGATTAATATAATTTTAACGTACAAAATATTTCTTAATATTACTCATGAGGCCATAATTTAAACAAAGAGAGCACCTAATTAACTTGTGGTTTTGATGTGCCCAGGGCACACACTGAGCAAGAGCCTTGCTCGAGTCCAGTACACATTCTGCAAATTCATAGACCTCGTGGTAATAATGTGAAGACCTTATTCTTTGGTTTTTTCGGTAAAGTCACGTATAAAAATAAAATAATAAATTAAATAATATTATTTTATTTTTATACGTGACTTTACCGAAAAAACCAAAGAATAATTCCTGCAGTCACGAAAGCTCCAAAATTAAGAATGTGAAGACCACTCCCCAAAGTGAGAATTTTTTGTAGTTGTTATTTAGTTACCTGTTGAAGTTTCATTAGAACTTGAGAAAGTGAAATTAAGTAGATTAGTTTGTGTTGTTAGAGTAGTATTATGGGTGACACTTGGTTTGTGTGGTGGAGATGAAGAGATATTGCTTTAGTAGAGCAGTTTTTTAGATGTACGCTTTTAAAGAGTCAAGATGCGTACTTCATTGTTTAGATTGGTGTTTGAGGTATGAATGCTCTATTAACTAAACAATACAAAAGCAAGCAAGCCTCAGACCTTTGAGTTTAGGAAGTACATATGAAAAATGTGACATGCAGTTCCCGCTCTTATTTTTGTGTTTCTCTCCTTGGTTGGGCAGGCACGACGAGCAGTGCAGTGGTCACATACACCTTAGGAGACGAGCAGTACCAGCGAGTGCAGAGCTTCCTAAAGCGCATTCCTCAGAGCGTGCTCTCCTCATCCTCATTCCGCTGCAAAGCTTACACACGTTCCCTCATGCATTTTGAGGCACACATCGGAGAGAGCAAGCAAGACATACAGAAGCACCTGGCATTCCTGCAGGTGAGAGCTAGTTTGGATATCTGCAATTGTGAAGGGTTGTATAGGAGCTAAAACACTCATGAGCACCATGACCCAGGTTATATTCCTGGCCATACAAACAACCAGTAAATGTTGCTATCTTTTTCTGACCTTGGCCTTCTTAGGTCAACTTAGTTGGAAAGGATAATCTGGTATGGTTAACCAAGATCAGCTAAATAAGCAGACAATGGCAGTTACGAAGTGGTACTAACGCCACTACAAAACATGAGACATCTTTAATTGGGGTATTTCATGTCATGTCAAAACAACAGGTTATAATAAATAGCCTGACTCCCCACTTGTTTTCATCATATTTTTAGAGTGGTAGTAACCCTAAATATGCAGATTTTTTTAACCAAAATGAAAAGTTACGCCTGGAAGGCTCACACTTAAGTAACTGTAACGTCTGATACAATGCAAGTACAAATTGAAGAAATGTAAACCTGGATTATATTCATTGGAATGTATTAATTGCCTGCTATTTCAAATTGCCAACCAAAAGGTCTTTGACCAATGAAACGATCAAAAATATATCGAATCGTGCTGTAAGAGCATACCTTGGATGTTGAGTGTCAGTGGTGCAAGAGTTGTGGAATGTGGCGCAAGAAGGTAATGGCAAGATGTCATGATGGCAACATAATTGGAAGTGATGATCTTTTGTCGTTGTGTGTGTGCTCAATTATTCTTGTGGATATGTCTGCGTGAATACCTATCTGTAACACACAACCACATTTATGTGTTTTTTGTGTGTGTGGTGTGCGTGTGTTTGGGGACTTGTGGCGGTTGTGGGGCCCAGACATTGTATGTAGCCATGGATGAACCAGATGGCGTGGCGGGTGTGACGGCACTTCGCAAGGAAGAGCCATCGCTTCACGAGCAAACGCTGGAGCACGAGAGCATCGGACAATTGCGTGATGCTACCGCGTGTTACGAGAAAGCCATCCAGGGCGAGCCACACAAGGTGAAACGTCTTGCTTGGATGGTCATTTGGGTTGGTCTGGGCTAGGGTTGCTTTTGGCTAGGTTTGGCTTGGATGGGCTAGATTTTGACCAAACCTTTCAGGGCCAGGGATGACCTCGCTTAGGACTTCGGCTTTCCTAAAGCTACACTGGAATTTCATGGGCGGGAGGTGGCGGCTGATTCTGCGTATTCACGCCCAATTTCATTTAAGCTTGGTAAGCTCAGGGACAGTCCATTTACCATTACAGGCTTAACCTGCACTGCTCCAATCCATTTGCCTATTCTTAATATGCCATGAAGCACTGGGGGCTTGGCCTCTCCAGGTTCTTTCATTCTGCCCCTCTAGTCATCCTTTCCATGGCCAGCGGGAATGCATAAAAAAATGGTGTATCTTATAACACATTTTTGGATTAGTTTAAACTCTCTCAAGATAAAATCTAAATTTTAAAAAATGCGCTTTTGAACAAAAATACATGTTTGAAACCGGCCTGATCCTGCAAACCTGGTTGGTGAACTGAGCCTTCTCACTGGTCGTGAAAACGTTACGTGATTTGGAATTGGTTGTGGCTACAATGGGTTAGGCTTTTTTGGGCTAGGGCCTACCTGGGCTATAACTGGTGAGGTATATATACTGGGTTAGTCAGCAAGTACCTTTTGAGTCCTGAAGCATGATACAAATATCCCAGGTGGGAAAAGACTTAATACTATGTTGTACTGTTGTTGGATGAATGAAGGTTTCCTGTTTTGGTATTGTTGCCTCTCGCGGTGTTCGGCAATGCAGATTTCATACCGTCACGGGTTGCTGCGATCACTGCTTGGCCTTGGGGAGCTCTCCACTGCCTACTCTATGGTGAACGGCATACTCTCCCAAAGGTAGTGCTTTCCCTAGCTGCAGGACATGAAAATATAAGTATTGCTTGTCAAGAGATCACCTGCTGTCGTGTCACTGGATTAGCTTTGTGAAGTAACTCGTGAACTTTTATATAGCTGACATTTATGGTTCAGTTATAATCTCCTATCAGCTGGCAAAAAATGTGTTTCTGCCAACACAGTATAATTTGTAATTTATACATTTTTTATAAAAATGTTTCCTAAAAATCTGTAAAGTAAATTATTCCAAAGTGAATTAATATTTAGAGTCCAAATACTGGCAAATGCCCTTTAACAACTCCCATAACATAGCTATGGTCAATGGTTACTCAAGCTGACCTGTACTTTGAACGATCATTGTAACCACACAGGCCTGAGTGGACAAACGAACTCAACGTGTACCGGGTGGAGGCTGCTTGGAAGCTTACCCAGTGGGGTGACCTGGAGACTTGTCTCACCAATGGTATGCATGGCTATGCATTTAATTGTGTAACGATCTCATTGGTCTGTTCTATTGATCAATCATTCGTCCATTAATCCACTCCAATCCCACCATGCCACTTGCATCTTCTCGCAAATGATTCTACCATCTTGCTCACTCACCAACTTATGTACTCCATCACTATGCCAATCGTTTCACCTACCCACAATGTTAGCATACCACCTCCTGATCCACCCCGAGTCCACCCATTAAGTGATGGATGACATCACCACAGAATCTGTGCTAGATTGGGTGAACTTTAAGACCACTTGAATTGGTGCAGAAAGTATTGAAATTCCTTAGCACTATCCTGCGATCGCAACCAACATCCAGTCCTCCAAATCCACTTACCATTTGACTTACCCACCTACCGATCCACTCATCATGATTTAGGTTCATCTACTTACATACCAACTCACCCACATACCAACTCACTGCTATACTTATCCAGATACTCACATACCACCCACCTTTTCATCAATTCTCTTACATTGGAATGTTTCAGTACATTTTCAGTAAGATCATAAATACTTCAAGATGGTGGACCTAACACACCTCAGGTTTTCACAGGAGTTGCATTATGATTTCATTCCAGGACTGATATTCTAAGGTACGACGTCTAGGTAAATCCCTTTTCCAAAATATGAATGATATTGGTTTTGTTGGTCTTTCCATTACATGTGCGGTATTCGCTCAGAGACATCTGGCTCCTGGAGCATTGGACTGGGCAAATTGCTCCTAGCGGCCAAACAGGGTGACCGCGTAACGCTCGAACGCCAGCTCAAGGTGGTACGTGCCGAGCAGATGGTGCCCCTCTCTGCTGCCAGCCTGGAGCGTGGATCATACCAGCGTGGATACGAGTACATCATCCGGTGCGTCTGCGCGGGATACAGGATGGTTGTGGGTCATGGTTTGTAGAAGGCATCGCACAACTGCTTGGTGGGGGGGGGGGTGTGTTTGGGGGAGGGGCAACTTTTCTAAATACTCATGCCGGTTGAGGTGGCACACCCACCACATGCCTCAAGTTGGTGACTCATACTCAAATGTGGGGGAAGGCAAAGCATATATATCTGTATGTATGTTGAACTTCTTTCGTACCGTACGTAGCCAACCATGCTAATCGGAGGTGTTAGACTAGGTGGGGGAGGGTGTTGGACCCATTCTGGGAGGTTGATGGCCAAGACTGTAATACCTACTTTAATCACCAAGGAATGTCCTTAATGCTCGTGACGTCATTCCACATCGACCAGCCCCCCCTAATTAATATTCATGAGCAGGTGACATATTCCAAATGGACACCCTCCACCCCTCATTAATAATCATGAGCGGGTGACATCACTCAACATAAAACAGCCCCCCTCATTAATAATCATGAACAGGTTACATCTTCCACATTGACCCCCCCCCCCTCATTAATAATCATGAGCAGATGACGTAACTCCACATCGAACAGCCCCCCTCATTAATAATCATAAGATGACGTCCTCCAAATGGACTCCCCCCCCCCCCCCCCCCCATTAACAATAATTAGCGGCTGACATCGCTCCACATGGGGGGCCGAGGCGCCTCCTCTCCCCATCCTCGGCGTCAACTTACAACCCTCACTACAAAGGCAGAACCCTCAGGTCACGCCATCTCCGTAACGCTATTGAGATCTCAAAGTAAAAATAACGTCGTGATGAACAAGGGATTATAACCTTAAAATTAAATAGCTCTGTGTCACCGCGCCCTTACAAATTGCACACGAATTGATGCAATGAATATCACGTCGCGGTCTGCTTTTCGCTTGCAAGTTTCAAATTTACTGCAATACACCCGTCCTTGGACGGGCAAAAGGCTAGTATAAACAGATTAAGGTTAGCGCGTTGAAGAGCCTGGGAGAATTGGAAGCTCTCAACAATGCGACTTTTCTTTGAAATGTGAAATCCACGATCTAGATTGTTGATATGATAATCACAGTGCAGAAAATATTTAACAAGGCTTAAGGCGTCATGCATAAAACATCTTTGGTCAATTTGTGACAATGTGGCAAATACAGTTGGAGTACATGTAGGAGTCAGGTGATATTTTTATTATGGGTGTGGCCACTTGTATTGTTGCTTACTGTTGTTTCCAACTAAGGCTGAACATGTTTTGACATCAGCTCTGACAGTCCTTAATAGGGGGGGCACTATAACTCATAAGGATGATCCTATATGAACCAACGTGTAGTATAAAGTTATGTTGGTATTAGAGACTTGCCAATGAAACCTGGCAAATTGATAAAAGTTTTTCTCAAAACATGGAGACAAAGCATAGCAAAAAGGGATATATACCAATATGTAAAAACCCTTCCCCCTGACAACTACCCATTGGCTTCCATTCTGCTAAATACATATAATCTATGTGCATGTATTGTGTTTCCAAACTTGAAGTTGTTATTGTTTCTTAGCTTTGTCATTTTCTGTTTTGACGTTGGTAATGGTGGTGTAGGCTGCACATGCTGAGTGAACTGGAACACAGCGTGAGCCGCCTGTCGGCCGGTGAAAACTTAGAGAATCGGAGCGTTTGGTCCTCGGCGTGGCAGGCGCGGCTTGAAGTGACGCAAAATTCATTCCGTGCCAAGGAGCCGATCCTGGAGCTGCGCCGGGCCCTGCTCTGCCTCGCTGGCGATTCGTGAGGACTGGGAATTGCACCGCACGCTTAGCATCGACCCAGTATCACCTTAATTGACACAGCGATGTGGCTGCTAACACTAATGGAGAGTTGTGTATGATGCGCACAGGACAGAAATTAATCCAGATGATCCAATTAAAATCATCTAATCTGTGATTATTTTATACTTGGCTAATATTATTAATGGTCTGGAATCGATTTGTGAAAATGTACATTATTTGCAGGTTGATGTTACATATTCGTTTTTTTCCCACGGATAAGAGGAGTCTTGCTTCAAATGTTTCCGATTATGCACGATCTTTTTGTGATAAGAGGAGTCGTGGTAACATTCATACTTTTTGCAGTTTTGTGTGGATAATTTTACGGATAAAATTATGTATTTTCATGGATGTAATGATGCACCAACAGTGTTCCCTACATCAGAGCAGATCGGAGGAGTTTGGTTTTGCTCATTACTGCATACATACCTCAGCCCTACTCTAACTGTATGGATTTTGCTCATAACCTGAACCAAAACTCATTAGTTCTAACCCAGTCCTGCCATCTAAACTTCTAGTATTTATTCTTAGCATGAACCTAAATCTCTAACCCTAAACTAAAACGACCTCCACCAGCCTTGATCACTAACCCTGTGATGCTGTGTGTGCAGGGATGCACTGGTCGGGGAGTGCTGGCTTCAGAGTGCAAGGGTGGCACGGAAGGCAGGGCATTACCAGACGGCGTACAACGCCCTGCTGAACGCACGTGCCGTGCACCCCCCAGACCTGTGCGTGGAGAGGGCCAGGTGGCTCTGGATCCAGGTAGCCCCAGCTCTCTACATGACCGGTCTGACACACCCTTGTCTTTTGCTCTCAAATATTCGGAATTGGCAGTTCCAAAACTTTTTTTTGCTTGTGTATCCCTCTTTTCAAATTTTACGTATGCATGTATGTTGAACTTCTTTCACGCCATACGTAGCCAAACGTGCTTTCATGTGATTTATCACCGAGCATTATTTTTTGACGTCACTGCAAAAGAGGCCCCCCCCACCCCCCTTTATTAATATTCATGCCCGCGTGGAAATTCACACGAACGCACAAGAAGGTCGCGCACTCCACATGCCGCACCCCTCCACAATAACCATGAGGGGGTGACGTCACTCCACGTGGGGCAACCCCCCCCCCCCCCATTAATAATCATGAGCTGAACAATTTTTCTACTGCAATATACACCCGTCCTTGGACAGGCAAACAAGCTAGTCATTAATAATGAGACAAGTCATGGGTTGGCTACCACCCATGACTTTTATTTCATATGGCTTGCGGACACAAAAGGCCTACCTACCACTTGTAAACGGCCTGTAAACGATGTCCATCCATCACTTTAGGCATCTTAGGAGCACTTACCGCATACATGAGAAAATGTTTGAGCTTGTATGTAATTTTAGCACACTGCCACATTGTTTTCAGTAGTTCTGATTATACAATTCATTCGGACCTTTCATGATCAAAGCTTATGTCAACTGATGTGTGTCCTGCCTTTAGGGAAAGGTGCACCAGGCACTGCTGCAGTTACAGAGGAGCGTGGAGCAGCACGTTGGGGGAGAGGGCTGCCGACCTTCTGACCCGCGCCAAACGGCTGTGCTGGCACGTGCCTTCCTCCTTATTGGCCGCCTCATGGAGGAGACGGCTAACTTTGAGAGCAACGCCATCGTCAAGCAGTACAAGGTGTGGGCAAGGAGGGGATGGGAAGGGGAAAGAGGGGCATTCAATTATTAGTTATGTCCCCAGCACTTGTTTCTGAAGCGGCTGTAAGATGAGGTAAGATAGGATTGACGTATCAGAGTGGGTTGATTTTAACAGGGTTTGTATTATGAAATTAAAATATGGAATATCTAAGATGTTACTTTAAAAAAAACATTACAAATATTAATATGAATTATCAATTGGTTAATAACCTATCTTTGCCAACCGTGCAATCTACATATCGGCATTGGCAAAATTTAATTGAATCCCTCCAGGTAACAGTTGAATTGGATCTTCCCTCCTAGTTTTCATCACGAATTTTATTCTTCCATAAGTGTCTTATAAATCAACGATTACTCATGTCGACGTAAAAGGGCTAACGTCAAGGGTGTTTTCAGTTTACATTGGCAAAGACAAATTGACCACTTTGGTATTTTATTTCGATGCCATTGGATATTTGGTTGAAAATTCCCAATTGACATTGATGACATTTAAAGGAACATTCTTACAATATTCATGTGCTCGTTTCAATGTACATGGCCTCTCTATATCTTGATCACCAGGATGTGACCTCCCTCCTTCCTGATTGGGAGGATGGGCATTTTCATCTGGCCAAGTACTATGACAAGCTGATGCCAACAATGACCGACAACCGCATGGAGAAGCAAGGCGACATCATCTACCGCATTGTCTATCACTTTGGGCGGTAACTGCAGCTACCTGACTTTTCAATCTTACTTACTTTCCTCTTTTTATTTAGCCAAGTCAAATATTCTACTAGTGCAATAACACAGGCTTTTAAAATTGTGTTAATCAGTCGTGGCCATGTAGCACCTCCGATTAGCAGGGTTGGCTACGTACAGTGCGAAAGAAATGCAACATACGTACATAAATATACAGCTCATACATGTGCTAAGTCATGCCAGAAATGAACTGTCAACTGAAAACCTGATTTTGAACAGCCACCTAAGAATAAGCCAGATTTTCACATATAGTGATATGGTCTCAGCCTGATTACCAATATTTGACAAAATGTGGTATTTAATTTGTGTCTAAGGACCTCAATTTGATACTGGCCCACCTACAAAGTTCTCAGGAAAACATTAAATGAATCGCCATTTGGTGGCCGGTAAGAGAGAATTATTTGGCAAGAGATCAGAAATGGTTCTATTCATTGTCAAGTGATCTGACTATTACGCTAAATTTGGGATCAATTTTATTTGGCAAACCCTGAATCAAATCAAAAGCCCCCTGGTATATTTTGACTTAAAACTTTTGTGAGTGCAGGAATTAATATTCTATGGTTTTTTCGGTAAAGTCATGTAGATTCATCTTCTTGGTTCTTTCGGTAAAGTCACGTAGAATGGAAGTAATAAAATAATAAAAATAAAACATAATAAAATAAAATAATTCTCACGACGTTTCGGCTACAACGCAAGCAGCCGTCTTCAGGTGAAGAATGAGACACTACCAAGCTAGGAGCTTATATATAAGCTGGATTGGAGGTGGAAGAGCACCTTAACAAAAAGAATGTGCATATGAAGAGGAATTTAGCATATTCATGGGAAATGCGTAGGAGGTGGGTGGGGGGGTTTCATAGTCATATTATGCCCATGCATTATGCAGGATCAACAGCACCAAGGGGGGGTGCAAGGGAGTAGCATTAACAAAGGAAATGAATGTTAATAGTATGTAGCTGCAGTTACTAAACAACCACGTAGAAAACTAAAGTATAAACTACATGAAAAACTAAAGTATAAACTGCATAGCACCATCAGTATACTTACTATACTCTACAATAAGCTGAGTTACTAACAGCAAGTAATACATTACAATTCTACGTCGTAAAAATTATATAATATGCTTCCATCTAAACTTTATTCTCTTACATCACACGAGCATACACCGTACTATATACTGCCATAGATAAACCCAACATTAAATTATATACTGCATTGCTATAAACCACCCTATACCTTATACATTTTAATATAACACTATGTATTATTCTACTCGCCCTAATGTGTATCACACTGCTATATGTTTACTATACAATTACAATACTATATATTACTTTTTACATTGTATTAAGCATATAAATGTTATACTATTTGTTATTATACGCTGTACCATTGACCGTCGTGTCAATGGGTGAGTCGTGGGGGGAAAACTTGCAGCGGAGCAAAGAATCCATTCCCTGCGGAGAATACAATGCCAGTGAGTGGAACGCGGTCTGAAAGTCACCGTAAACGTGAACACAATCAGTTAAGATCCGAAATGGTTTATTACGTCCTTCCAATGATTGCTAAGCCAGAATCCATCTTCTCGGTTAAAATTGTCTCTGTGTTTGTATATGTGGATCGCCTCATGAACGAATCTCTCATGATAGCCAGATGGCTTGCAGAGAACCTCTGTCTTGGAGAAGTCAATGTCATGTGAGCCCACTGAGTTGTAACAGTGATCTGCCACGGCTGAGGTGTTTGTCCTACCGTGTTTCAGGTCTGCTTTATGTTCACGGATGCGGTCCGAGACATGTCGTAGATTATTGTTCTATCTATGTGACTTTACTGAAAGAACCATATAATATGACCTCCTCTGATAAGTTCCTATTTCAAATATAAGTACACATCTTTTTTTATAATGAAAGATAAAAAAGAAACACCTGAACAAACTTCCAAAATTGATTATTACTAAACATTTCTCGAGACAGAAGCATTTGATTATGCTGATGCTGGTTGCTATGAAATGCTATTTAACGCATTTATTTGTATTTTTTGCAGGTCCCTTATGTTTGGTAACCAATTCATATACCAGAGCATGCCCAGGCTTCTTTCACTCTGGTTGGATTTTGGAGCCAAGGTCTTCGAGCTTGAGAGAGGTGCAATGCGCAATTCCTTACCAAAAAGTCTCTGCTTGGATATGGGAATTACTTTGATTGATTTTCATCCATCATCAGTGGGAATGTGAGATGTACTAAAACTAACCATCTTCTGAAATATGGAATTAAAGACCCTTTGACATAATTCTCAGAAATAGTTGGTACCTTGCCTATATTTTCCCCGAAATCCAAAATGTAATAAAAAAAAATCAGTCTCCTTTCTCAATGAAGCAATGGCCTGTGTGCATCTGCCCTGACAACTCTGAGTCGGTGAGAGAAATCTTATCTCAAATTTGCAGTCCAGTCTTTCTATAACAGTCATGCTTTATCTAGAGGATATTTAAATATATTTAATTCATTTATTTTTGTGCAGGTATCTGACACATCTTCATGACCTCATAAAAATAAAATCGTCATTAAAAAACACATGCAGACACATGCATACGTGCAGAAAGAAATTACCTCCCTCATTTAGTCTTTCTTGGAGCAAGTACTCAACGAGATATACGAGAGAGTGGTGTGGTTGACACCATGCTCCGCTCATTGATTGGTGACCAAGCTGTACTCGGCAGCTCAAATGTGCAGTTTCTCATCTGTCACTTCTCTCTTCGCCAACCCATACCATTTCACACATTTTTACCTCCAGGCAACCGCTCAGAGCGTCAGCATCTGCCTGTTGCAGCCGACCTGGCCAGGATCATCAAGATCATGACGGAACACACACAACAGCTGGCCCCCTACCAGTTCTTCACTGCCTTCTCCCAGCTCATCTCACGCATCTGCCACCCGCACGCAGCCGTTTGTGCTGCTTTACAGGCTATCATTGTTAAGGTGCTGACACGCTACCCACAGCAAGCCTTATGGATGATGATGGCTGTCTCAAAGGTGAGGATCTATTCCTTCCATTGTCCTCGCCTTCATACTACATCATTCTCTTTTATTATGCTTTCATTCCCGCCATCTATCAACTTTATAAAGTAATAATGATAATGATTTGGTTCAATTGTTTTATAATCATGTGATAGCATGTGTAAGGAAATCGAGTGTTTGGGGTAGTAATGGTATAACACAGAAAATTGAGATGTCACAAGCTACTTCGAAACAATAGAGACGTCAACTTGAGTGTTGAGAGGGGTAATATATGTGTTACTGTATGGGCCAAAATTAACAAGAAAAACTGCAATACTCTTAGTTCTTTCGGTAAAGTCACGTAGGTAAAAAATGAGATTAAAATTAATAAAAATAAAATCACGACGTTCCGGAGGCAACCCAAGCTTCCGTTTTCAGGTGAAAAAAAAACCTGCAATGTGAGGGAGCATCTTGAACGTTCAAAATAAATTGTGGCAAGCACAGTAGATATAATTAGGAAGAAGTTGCAATGGGTGGGCCATTTTTATGGAAGATTACATGTCATGTTACTACGACAGGCATTGGGTTTGGAACTCGGCGACTTAAAGAAAGACTCAACGCCAGACAGTGAGATGCTGTAACAATGGACTTTTGAAGGACGTGTGTTCACTTTACAGCGGTAGCAAAATGAAGTAAGCTATGGTATTGTGTGGTGGCATTAACCAACATGTGCCGTTGTCATTGATATTGCTTCCAAGACTATTTCCCCACAGTTCCCACGTGTTATAATTGTGGCCGCATCCTTCTTTGTCCCCCTTATTAAATGTTCCCAGTCGTCACATACCACACGTGCCGAGCGCTGCAAGGCCATCTTCAGCAAGGCGGTGCAGGTGGATGGCTCCCTGAGAAAGTTCATCCGAGATGGCACAGTGCTGACCGACCTCCTGCTTGAGCTCTGCAACAAGCCAGTCAGTACTCTTTGGTTTTTTTCGGTAAAGTCACGTAGGTAAAACAATCAATGAAATAAATGAAAACAACTAAATTAAATCACGACGTTTCGGAGGCAACACAAGCTTCCTTCATCAGGTGTAAAAAAGGCAGAGCAAAATAACTGTAGCGAGAGTTATTTGTGATGAGACATTGTTACATAGGGTAAGAGGAGGGGGAGGAGCCAAGGAGGACGGGCACAGGATGGGGGGGATTGGGGTGTTGGTGCAGCCAGGAAGGTGAAGGTGGTACTACACGATGGAGCCACGGAGGGGGGGAGGGGGAACGCAGAGCGGGGGAGAGTAGCGGTTGAGGTTTAACATGGTTAATCACATCTTTCCAGTCAGTATCACCAAAGAAACTTCATGATTATTTAAGGCCTCAATACAGGCAGACCTCGCTTAGCGTGGCCCCATAGAACGCCGTTTTGTTACGGTGCTCTTTGTCCTGGAGAACATTTTTTCTTTAAAGAAATATAAAGAAAAACATCTACAAAGTGCGAGCGAGAACACGCAGCAGTGCTGGCCGAGGAAATGTAGAAATAACGTCAGGAATGCATTCCCATATATACTATGGAATAATTACCGCTTTTAGCGCCGATTTGATAGGCACTCCTCTAGGAATGCATCTTGAGTGCTAAGCAAGGTCTACCAATAACAGGGCTAGAGTGGAGCCGGAGTAGGTGATAGATGGACTATATTCGGAAGGGGTATGAGTTGAAAGAGAATTCGGATAAATATATAGAGACAGCATGTGTGTAATGTACTCACCGCAAAGGTCTCACCCACCGGTCCCCCCCCCCCCCCAACTTCTACGTCACATTATACAAAGGATACATGGTGAGCAAGATTGTTACATTGATTAATTTTATTTAAAAGTAGTCAATTACCACTTTTAATAATAATCCTCAATGATGTGGCAGGCTGAATTTAAATTAGCTCATAGCTTGTATTAGTCCAAAGGCCCGGCTCTAATGGAAACCTCATCCCTGATTTAGGTTTGGCTACCATTTATACAGGAAATATTAACCCAATGGAATGATATAAACATTTCATGATGAGCTCGGCCAAATTAGTTTTTGGGAATATTTTCACTGCTGGAACTTTTTGTGGTGACACATTCCATCCTACTCATGAATTGCTTGTTTTTAGTAAGAGTTTGCATCACAGCCATTGCTGTTGAGGGGCACCACCTCACCATCAATCCCTTTCGCTGCAAGAGCCCGTAGCAATTGTCAGAGTCAACTGAACTCATTTTCTATTGATGTCAATAAATGTATTGTCACGTGATGAGCCTATACCACCACACCTGATAGGCATTTGTTGTTATTTCACCACCATTCTAGGACTGCGATCAATGATGAGAACCACTCGGAGCTAGTTTGAGCATGATTTGCCGTCATACATTCATTGGCACACTTGGTTCTGCATAATTGCAGTGGTTCTGATCCTTAATGAAAATGTTAATTTGCTTTACATCTGTCACCCTCGCTGTAATGAGAATTACTGAACAGTGCTACCACCCACCATCCTTGTTCTAATTGTCACCGTCTCCCTCTGCCTTCTCTCATTGTTCAGTCAAAGGACAAGAACACCATGATGACCATGAGTGTAAACTTCCGTGGGCTGAAGCGCTTGGTCGAAGACCCCAGCTTCAGCAATGTGCTCATCCCGCTTCAGGCTGTCATGACGCCCACGCTGCCATCGACACCTGGGGGCCACGCCGACCATGACCCTTTCCCTGGCAACATGGCCTATATCGTGGGCTTCAATGACCCGGTGCTCAAAAACTTTTTTGTGGATATATTTGTTTTGCTAAGACATTTCTGAACTGGTTAATTCGACTATAAATAGCAGTAATAGCATACCAGCCTTTTGCAGCATGTTTCAAGTGCAAATATAGTATTGCCATCTAGTCATTAATTACATTATACTGGTAGGAACCTCCTGGTTACAGGAGGTGGGGAGGGGCTGGGTGGGGAGGGGCTGGGTGGGGAGGGTGGGTTTGGGTGGGGGGTTGGAGGGGTGGGGCTGGTTGGGGAGGGGCTGGTCACCCCATGGTGCCCTTATAAAACTCAACGTTTAACCTACTCACGCCGGCTTGTGCCCGTCCTCACAGTCGGGCATATTTGCGGAATACACCACGCCGCCATTGACCCTGGCCATTGACCGAGCAACCCAACGTTCCTACCAGCTCCCTCCGCAGGAATGTGTTATGTTATATATATTATGACAGGATAATTTTGAGTAACAGTATATTTTACAATACACCTGCGGTTAATCAATAAGCTTACAGGATACAGCTTATATATAATGTAGATTTAATGGCAATGCTTCATTGATACATGATTATCTACAACGCGGTTAATTAATAACACCCTTAGAAAGATTGGAAAACGTTATTCGAGTACACTTATTTGACGAATGCACTAAGGATGTTAAACACACTTTAAAATGATGAACATGAATTTTCATAGAATCTTTTTAAATGCATTCGAGTCTGCAAATACACTAGAATATTAAATAAACTGGACAATATATTGCACCACCAATTAGCATGGTTGGCTATGTACAGTGCGAAAGAAGTTAAACATTAATAATTTTTCATTTAGTTTCAGTCAAAATCTTAAGGGCATGACAATGCTTAACAATACACTTTCATAATAGTAATAATGCTAGTTGTAATAGAGTTTTAGATCAACTACCATGACACTTGAATGGAACTATGACTGCCTTTTCTGTGCAAGTGCTTTGTTAACGGAGATGTCATTCCGTTGTTAACAATCAGGTGGAGGTGTTGCATTCGCTGCAGCAACCCAAGAAGATCTGCATTCGTGGCAGTGATGGCCGGTCCTATACGATGATGTGCAAGCCCAAGGATGACCTACGCAAGGATTGCCGCCTTATGGAGTTTAACTCGCTCATTAACAAGGTGACCTTCATAAATTAATAACAAGAGTGGAAGGGTTGTACATCAACCCATACATACATAACACAAACAAATATTCCCGTGTAGCCTTAACACACTGTTAGGGCAAGTGCTATTCGCGAGCACCTATGAAGACCGGCGCAGTACATGAGGGGGTGGGTGGTTTGCACCACGCCAGACCGCCTTTGTGTCCCCAGATGTTTTTACGCCCTGCACCAGATACTCATTTTGAGGCTTTGTCGACCTCGGGGAGGCCCATCACTGGTTAAAATAATTTTCACTGGTATCGGCCATGAGTGGGTATCGAATTCGGGTCGCCCACACATAAACATATGCACAAAACTGTAACGCACATTTTTTTCTGCCTTGAAATTGCACTTTTATTTTCAGTTCGTGAAAGATGTCTGATTGTTCAAGTAATTTTTACCCAACTTTTGCATTTGGTGACCATCGTTTTTAAGCACACTTTTATTCTGATACTGTGGTGGATCGGCATCATGTGATGTGGCTTAATGACATCATCAAATAGTTGTCTATATTGGAGCATCCTGATGCAGGTTTGAAATTATTTTCATTGTTCTCAACAGCAGGCTAAACTGTGTTCTTCAAGGGTTTTTTTAATGCTTGCTTTTTGCAAGATTTGGTTATTTATCAGTTTGACCAGTTTACTCTCGCGTAGGTCTGTAAGAGCCATACAACTTTATACCAACCCTTTATTTACATTAGATACTTTTCTAGAGTTTGTTTGATCCCCTGCTACAGGCATACGGACAGGCAAATGGTGATATGGAAAGATATATAACATTAACGCTATAAACCTGAGTTGGAATGGGTTACAAATGGGCGAAAAGTGGATAGGAGGTAATTTGTGTGTGCTTGTGTGCGTACCGTCCCCGGTAGCGTTTAGCGCGCTCCGCTACGAACCCGGCAGGCTCACGGCCGACACCAATGACGATTATCTGAATCTATCCTGGGGCTCCCCTCGGTCGGCTTAGCCTCAAATGAGTACATGGTGCGGTGTGTAAACGTTGCCACTAGGGAAATAAGGCGACCGGGCGTGGTGGTAGACATCCACCCCCCTCGTGTGCCACAGTGCCGGCCTTCATAGGTGCTCTGGTAACAGCACTTGCCCCAACAGTCCATTAAGGCTATACTGGGGGGATCTTTGTCTTTGACAGTGCCTGCGCAAGGATGCCGAGTCCCGGCGACGTGATCTTCGTATTTGCACTTACTGTTGTGATTCCCCTGAACGAGGAGTGCGGCCTGGTAGAGTGGGTCAACAACACCGAGGGCTTCAGCAACATCGTCAAAAACCTCTACATTGAGAAGGGTGAGTGTCCTCTTAAAAACACACAGGCTTGATGCTAGTACTTGGGTGAGTTCTTAAAGTTTTGATTTTTAAAATCGCCTTTTGGTTCAATTGTGCGAACATTTTGCTTAAACAAAAGCTCAGTTTTTACTTGCACCCTGTATACTGAATACAAGTCGTGTTTCTTTGAAGAGGCTGAAACGTTTGGGTTAAAGTTTATTGTGTAATTATTTTAATATTCTAGTTAATGCGCATATTATTAATTTTCATAGACATTAAACATTTAATGGCTGAACCACATTTAATGTAGCCTTAATTTAGACTAATGAGTAGTGATTAGCATTTACAAAATACCCTACCCCTTCCTGATTGGTAAATTTAATTTTACAGCACTAGCTTCGCCCATTGCAGAAAACATTACTTGGACTTATACTACAACTTATTCAAAAATAATAAGTCGTATATTTGTATTACCAAATGGTATCAGTCTTTTACCAGACGTGTTTTTAAATCCCCTAAAAAGGAATTGTACATACATTTTACTAAATTCAAGCTGGCACCTCTCAATCAAGGCAAGGCTATTGAAATGTACAGAAAACACGTTCCACATCTCAGGGGAGACATTTCTAATGATGCTGTTATCATATAAAAAAATATCTCTAACATTATGACAGGGTCCTTGAATAATATGCTTTTGGTATTTTGAAATTGGAAGGAAATCCAAGTGGCCAAATACTCAAACTAATGTGGTGACGCGCAGTCCTACTACTTAAACCACTTCTTGTGGATGTTCACCACCACATAATATGTAATACTTTTGTAATAAAAAAAATAATAGTGATGGTGTATAACTGTGCTGAAGAACAACATATTTGGGTCTACACATCACACACAGCCACTAGTTTCTGGAAACTATAAAACTGTATAGAGGGATTGGGTGGCTTTCGTGACAAAGTAGAGAGGGTTGGGGTATTGGGGGTGGGCATAACCAATATCAAAACCCTTTCTACGTGCACCGTTACGTGTCTCTGCGCTTGTGCAGGTATTGGCCTTACCATGGCCGAGGTTAAGAAATTCGTCTTGCCGAAGGAAGCACCGCTGGAACAGAAGCTGCGCATGTACCATGAGAAGCTGCTGCCACCTCACCCGCCTATCTTCCATGAGTGGTTCCTGCGCACCTTCCCAGACCCCACCAGCTGGTGACTATACAAACTCCTCATACATAAATACAAATTCACCTCTCTGTACATAACTAGAAGTACATAAAACAGGTTTGCACTACCATGCAATTGTTAAAAAGATGAGTTCCTGGTGCAGTGGTATGGTGATCTCTGGGGTGATAAAAGCACCAGTTCATGTGTTGTCCCCGGTGATACCACCCCCTCGTGTACTATATCAGACTTCATAAGTTTGTTAAGATTTTGTCATTCCAATGATATATGCAGGGCAAAACACTATGTTTTGTATATCATGGTGTTCATCATACCTGTCAAACCCTTATCAGAGTGCTTACCTTATTGCAGAAAAATTCAGACCTTATTGGTTACCCCGTGCCCTTATAAATCTCAGCGTTCATCCTACAAAGTCCCATCACAAGGGAGAAAAACAAATAGACAAAAAAGTGCCTGTTTTGAAACAGCTGTATGCTGTATGGACCTGGAAAACTCAATATCCCTGTACAAGAATACAGGTAAACCGTATGGGTTGACAGGTATGGTTCATGTGCATATGCAGGTGTGCATATGACACAGTGTGCAGATACTGTGATGTGTGTGTGTGCGCACCCTATGTGCATGTGTGCATAACAGGTACAGTAGCCGCCTGGGCTACACCCGCTCCACAGCTGTCATGTCCATGGTGGGCTACGTGCTGGGGCTGGGTGACCGCCATGGCGAAAACATCCTCTTTGACTCTCTGACTGGCGAGTGCGTGCACGTCGACTTCAACTGCCTCTTCAACAAGGTGCTTCTGGGTGTTGGTGGCACACGGGCTAAATTGGGTGGTATCTTTGTATTTTCTGTTTTGGTTATGCTTGTGGAGTGTTATTACATGGTGGGTACAGGAGGTGCTATGGTCCTGGTGATCCAGGTTCAGTTTTTTTTTACTTGAACTTCACCAGTAGCACTTGGTATTTGATAATTTTTTGGACCTACCCTATGTTGAGTTCTTAATTTTTGTGTGCCAACAGTACCAGTAAGAAAATAAGGTGGCCAGTTTTGGTGTTGTTTAGTTTTAATTGTATTGTATTGCAGGGGTTGGCTCTTGTGGTGTTGTGGTTGTTATGTTGGGGTAGTAGTTATAATAGTGGTGGGCTGCCGCCTCCGCTTGCGGGGGTCCGCGCGGGCGGCATTCAGCGCCGCGCTCGACCTCGCGCCGCGTCCTTCGCCTGCGCGCGGTTTTTCTTTGCGTCCGCGTCAACTCGGGACGGTTTTTCCCGTGATGGAGTGGAGAATGCCGCGATGGCATAGAGAAGGCCGCGATGGCGTGGAGGAGGCCGCGATGGCGGGGGGAGGATGCCGTACTACACTTATCTTACACCGACTCGCTCACACATCCTTCACTCACTCACACAACCACTGACCCATTCACTCATCATACACTAATTCACTCATCATACACTCACTCATCATACGCTGACTCACACATCATACAGTCACACTACCACTGACTCACACATCATACACTGGGAGTGTCATGCTGCCAGCTGTGGCTGCAAGTTTGGTCGTACGTGTTATGTATATCGTTTATTGTTCAATTTGAATCACAGTTCCTATGATTACTGTTGTTACATTGTTTTTATAGCCTTGTTTTGGCGATTTCGAAAACATGTGGTTAAGCCATGTTTCTTGCGGATGTGCGGAGTTGGCCTTGATAACTTTAATCTAAATTGTCTTGTGGTTGTTATTCTTTGACTTGCATCACATTGGGATTTTTGCACACAGATTTGTAATACGGTGGGGTTTTTTTTCTGGAAGATTTGCTGGTTTGTCCAGGATGTTTATGTTGCGCGTCATCGCTTTAAGATGTTCTCTGTTCATATTTTGTTTGTTGCGGTTGCACCCGACTCAAGAGCCGCATGGCTCACAGGGCTATACCTAATAAATTAAACTTGAAACTAATAGTGAGAGTTGTGGCTATGTTAGAGTTGGTGGTAATGTTTGTGGTGGCATTTGTCGTTTTTGTGGTAGTGGCTAATTGTTGTGATAGAATATATTGTGTTCGTGCTCATAGTAATGGCAGTGGTAGCATAGACAGAATCACAAGAGGATAGGGTGACCGATGACCCGTGATCTGGCAGACAGTGTGCGAAAAATAGACTTTGACCCAGTCACAAAAGTTGTATGGGTGACCACTGGTGGGTGGGCAGTAGCTAGGGCATTGTACATATTTACAATTTAATGATAACATCCATACTGCATTTAAAATGTATTGTACTTTAGATTGTTCAAGTAAAAAAAACAGTGTTGCTCAATCGAGAGATGCCGTAGTCAAGGGGTGGATCACTGGGGGGGTACCAAGTTACTCTATTAGTAACGTGCATCGCTACGGCAAATAACAATCATCAAAACTACCATCATGTGTCCATGGCTCACAACTGACCTCTTCGCCCCCCACCCCCACTTTTTAATCATCCCACCTTTTCCATGTCATCATCCTGAATTCTTTAATGGTGTGCGGAAAACGTGTTGGCGCGCAGGGCCTGACGTTTGGTTATCCGGAATTGGTCCCAGTTCCGGCTCACTCACAACATGGTGCATGCCATGGGCCCCATGGGGCTGGAGGGGCTCTTCCGGCGTGCCTGCGAAGTTACCATGCGGGTTATGTGCGACCAGAGGGAGTCCCTCATCAGGTACATTTCCTCTTAGAATGTGGTGGAATTTTGGTGCTTCTCTGGATTTTGACTTGCCTTCCTCGCACCCCCAACCTGATTACTGGGTTCACAAGTATTGAATTTAATTTTTTTAACATAAAAGTATGATTTTTCATTATTTTTCAAACAAAGATTATTTTATACGTATCTTTATTGTTACTGCAAAACTATATTCTTTCAATATTCAATAAAACCATAATACTGTAGTGGGTGATAAACGGGAGGAAGCTTTCTCTGAGGCAACATGTTTATTACAACTTGGCAACTACAATACAAGGCGTAACGGCCACTTCACCCGATGTGCTACGTAGCCGGCTAGCTCTCCTCTTGGCTATCCCTACGGCTACCCTGCCGGGGGGAGGCTTGAGTCTTCTCTAATGTCTTCACTGGTTATAAGCTCGGAGCTTCACTGGTACAATTCCAGCCTCACCCTAACCAGGGGTTCGGCTTTGCCCAGAGGGCTCTTCTCTTCAGGGCTCCAGGTTGGTCTTCAGCCGGACGATACTGAGCCGAGCCGTTCAGGACCCTGGCTTATATACAGGGTCCCGGCTCACTCCGCACCTGGCCACCACGCCTCCCTTCCAGAACCTTCTCGAAGGCCCTGGAGAATGGCCTCATCCCCCAGGCCCCCTTCCCGGGGGCCTGGGGTCCCAACCGTTGGTCCTGATGCTTCCCCCCAGGGATTGCCTCGGGCCAACTGCCCCTCATCATCATCACTCTTGGGCAGGTCCCGCCTCCCTTCTGCTCTCTACTGGCCTGAGCTCGTACTGCCGGCCATGAGTCGTGGCGATCGTGGCCAACCATGCCACTACAATGCTTTAGTTTTTATCCAATTTTAACGCAAGATGCAATGATTAATGGGATGTATATATTTTATTTTAAAGTATAACTCTTCACATGCCATCCTATCTGGGATTCTTTCCATTTTTGGCAGATCCAGAAGGATTTCCTGATAAAACAGACGATGAATAAGAATTAATTTTAGCCTTGGGAACACCAAGATGAAAATGTGCAATGCACCACACCTTCCTCTTGTGTACAATAGGTTTAGGACCATAAACACAAATTGAAAACAGACCACAGGAGTGTTTAAGACAAAGTTGAAGTGACCTCAGCATTAATACAATTATTTGTAATAAATACAAAAATAAAAGTTCTACGTAAAGATGTGATCACCACCATTGGCATTATGTCACCCCCATGGAAATGAGCATTGCACGTATATGTGTATATTTTCCATGGGTGCCAGTGTGCTGAAGACCTTCATCCATGACCCGCTGGTGGAATGGAGCCGGCCGTTACATGGGTCTTGGAGTGGTTCGGCCAACGAGGCTGGGGAAGTGGTCAACGAGAAGGTGTGAATGCACACACACAGTTTAACACACAGTAGTTAGTAGTACTAGGCTTTTGCGACCACTATCATCCATTAGAGGGGCTTAAACCCGCCATCACCACAAAACGTGCCAATTAGTTACTACTTCAGCACACCGGTGTGTTGGAGAGTAAACCCACAACATTTACACACAAACATTTATATTGTTACACTTGCACACCAGCATGTTGGCAGTAGGCTATTCACCCAGGGAGGTACAAAAGCCCCCATCCTAAGATGTTACTTATAATATGGAGGAATCCGATAAGCTACAAACCTCTTTTCCACAGATGTCCACTGATTTTGCGTTGATTTGGTTATGCCTATTCCAATGTATTGTCTATTCACTGTGTAATGCACTAAGGAAGAAGATGATGCCTGTATCATGGGACCTCCTTTACCAGTACCAAAATATGAGAATAGGTTTTCCTCTTTTTTTCTGGCAGCAAAACAGGTTAATGCAGACATTATTCCTTGTAAAAGGATTCAGTTTGGTGTTTTAACATCTAAACACCTAGATTTGAAGCGTTCTTCACTGCAAGGATTCATACTCTTAGGTTTTTTAGGTAAAGTCACGTAGGTGAAAATACTAAATTATAGAAATAATAATAGAAATAAAATAATAAATCACTTATTTTATTTCTATTATTTTATTATTATTTATTTTCACCTATGTGACTTTACCGAAAATACCTAAGAGTATCTAAACACCTGTTTTGTTGCCAGAAACAAGGGGAAACCTATTCTCGTGATGCCTGTACTGATGTGTCTTACACTCGGCGTACCTGGGTCAAACAGTTATGCATTTTATTTCCGAGGCCTGCACACATAATAAACCACTGGGAGGCTGTATCATCGGCATGTACAACATTTGGGGTTGCTGCATTAGCATCTAGACACTTTTACATTACATCTGAACAGAGATTGTGGTTTTAAATAAATTGTTATAGATATCAGATCTTGGACAGGCTGATCCCTTTTCTGACTTGGCTGTTTTTTTGTACATGTATTCCGTATGTTTTCTGAGATAGTTTATTTTTCTTAATGTGACAGTGAAGAGCTTGCCAGGATTGCAAGCTGGGTGTTTTCCATTGTTAGGCGTTTGCACAAACATATTAGCCATGCAACTATTTGACCCCCACCCCCCAATTTGATTCGAGAATACATTTGTAATGACTCATTTTATTTTCTGCTTCATGTTGTTCTGTCTGTGAACTGTCTTATTGTTTTACTAGCCTCAATGTAATGTTTGAACATCATTTGCATGAAAATGTTTTTCTAAGATGCAATGAATTGATGAATCGTAATATGACTTGTACATTCAATTATAGAAATATTAAAGCACCTCCTGTTAGTCTGACTAGAATGTTGGGCAAGTACTCTTAGTAAGACATGCACTGACCCTTGAACGCAACAATAAGTATGTACTCTTTGGTTCTTTCGGTAAAGTCACGTAGATATAAAAATAACTATTAAATTTCGACGTTTCGATAGCAACACAAGCCATCATCTTCAGGTGAAACAACACAGCAGGCGGACTGCTGAGGCAGGAGGAAATGTAGCGAGAGCCACCACAACCAGAGGCCACATACGCCTGTGGTGGGCACAACACAAGGGCAAGTGAGCGGGGCTAGGGATGGAATTTGCAAGTAAATGCAAGATCCTGATTTATTAGTTATTTTTTATATCTACGTGACTTTACCGAAAGAACCAAAGAGTGAATTCCTGCAGTTACGAAAGCTTCAAATCAAGAATAAGTATGTAATTATTCACTTTTATATGCCCCAAACAACTGTGCACCAATTGGTTGAGAGGTGGAGTGTGTGTGGAGTCACGAGTTGTATCTTAATATTTTCATGGCACTTAATGTAATATTACACCTCGAAGTGATTGCAAAATGGTTTAACATATTAACCAAATAGCTGCAAAATCTATAACCCTGACAAAAACACATTACAATGAAGTAAACATTCAGTGTATTTTCTCATACAATACACACATCTGTTGTCTGTGGGGCCGTGACTGTAGGCCAAACAGATTGTGCAGGACATCGAGCAGCGCTTGCACGGCGTGATCAAGAACCCCAACAACAAAGTGCGTGGCTTGCCGCTATCCATCGAGGGCCACGTGCATTACCTCATCCAGGAGGCCACCAATGAGAAGCTGCTCTGTCAAATGTACCTCGGTTGGACTCCTTTCCATTAGGACGGTGATCCTCCAACCAACATGGACCATCTACCATCCATCATGACTTGCCTACCGTCCAAAATGAGCCGACTTAAACAACTTGTCCTTGAACTTTTAAAATGGCCGTTTTGTCATGGACCACCTGCTTTCTGGTATGAACCACATTATGCTCATTTTTGAGCTCCTCAACAATGTCACTCAAACATTTTATATGTCCAATCTGTCCCACTCATCACCAAATCTGTAATATGAAGTACCTTTCTCCAACACAGGCTGACTACTGAATAAAATAACCTCGCAACTGGAAATTCAAGCAATTGTCTCAATTTGAGGTCACATTTAAATACATTTCAAATACATGAGTAAGAATTATGTTGTCATTACAACTATACAGGCAGACTTTGCTTGGCGTGATCCCGTAGAATGCTGATTTGGTATATCCCTGTTTGTCTTGAAGACATTTTTTTTTACTAAAAAGAGTGTAAGAATTGTTTTTGTAAAAATCATCTACAGGACAAAGTGTTTACGAGTGAGAACATGCACCAGCGCTGGCTGAGAAAATGTACCCGCCCCCATGAATCGCTCAGCCAATGAGTTAATAGCTTATGATGGTGGTGAGGAAGGGAAGGAGGAGGAGATGATATTTTTTGGAAGGAGAGTCCCCTCCCATTTAAACTTCAGGAAGCTGAAATTCTGGGGGTTTTTTCTTTCTCTTTTCTGTCTTTTTTTTTTACTTGGACCTGATTGAGGCGCACCAGGTTTGAGTTTTACTAAAAAAGCCTGTTTGTTTTTGCCTTCTAAGAATGTTCCTGAAGTGTGACATTGTCTGGTCATTCCACACACTACTGTTACGGCGGTGACTCATCCCGACCCATACAAGTTCTAGCAAGCGCGTCGTATCCCAAGACATTTTTTCTCTCGTCAAAACACGACGTATACCAAATTCGACATACTGTATTCCAAAGCGGTTGTATACCGAGGTACGACTGTATAGCCTGTGGTATAATGACCCCTTTTCGCGCTGATTCGATTGGCACTCACTTCTCCAGGAAAGCACCTTCAGTGTGCTCGGCGAGGTCTGCCTGCAACATGTTACGTATCTTTTGATTTAAAGCTTTCATGACTGCAGGGATTCATCTTCTTGGTTCTTTCGGTAAAGTCACGTAAAAGGGAAGTAATAAAATAATAAAAATAAATTTAGCTGTGACGGTTTCACCTGAAGACGGAAGCTTGTGTTGCCTCCGAAACGTCGTGAGAATTATTTTATTATGTTTTATTTTTATTATTTTATTACTTCCCTTCTACGTGACTTTACCGAAAGAACCAAGAAGATGTTACGTATCATTTCATGTTTGAGGTTGCCACTGCATTTGACCCATTCCAAAGTTGGTATTTAAATAGAGAAATACATTGGAGAATGTTTCATTAATGTATTTTTAATTCACTTGAATATGCTTATTATTTGGAAAGAATACATTTTGTATATATGCTTTCATCACTACAACTGTACATCTGATGAAAATAAACATTTGACAACCTTTTGTTTGCCCCTCATAACAAAGGTTATAATCATAACTTTTTGCATACTTTTTGCCAAGAATGTGTGAAGTGAGAAATGCATTAAAAGGCATTACGGTCATTAAGTGTTTTGAAATGCCTGCACCATAGCTACGTCGTCCTCCAGCCCCCACACTCCTTCAAATGGGATCAGGGTGAAGCTGGAGAGTTGTAGGGAAAATCCAGGCACCATCATCTTCTCGTGAGTACGAGTGGCAGCCCACGAACAAAATGATGGCTGCCCGAGTTGAAGTTCATGCACCTTGACGCAAAACAGATGCCTGACTGTGAGGGCGGGCACAAGCCGGCGTGAGTAGGTTAAACGTTGAGTTGTATAAGGGCACCATGGGGTGACCAGCCCCTCCCCTCCCAGCCCAACCCTCCCCACCCAGCCCCTCAGCACCCTCCCCTCTACCCAGCCCCTCCCCACCCAGCCCGACCCCTCCCACCCCCCACCCAGCCCCTCCCTGCCCCTCCTTGTACGACGGACACAATAATCCCCTGTGGGCTGGTGTAACCAGGGAGGTTCCACCAGTATGATCCACTGCTCAGGTTCATCTTACCTGGGTTGTGTGCATGCAACCTATGATCGCGTATCGATCACTGACCAAATTGGGATAGATCGTGGGAGTCGAAGTGCCAGATGATGCCCACACAAAACAGTGGGACTGCTTCTGGGCATAGGTGTACACAAAATAGTTGTTTCCAAGGAAGAGATGCAGGATTTGGGATCTCAGGACAACCGGTAAGCTCACAGCAAACTGCAGCTGCACAGATCCTTCCATTTTTTTAATACACGTGTGTTGGCAGCATCAATTGTTCGAACCAGATGCCACATGAGGGTGTGTTCAATGGAACTGTGGTAATTGCAATACCAGGAATACCATAACCAGGATCGTTTATTGGGAACCATAGTTCAACGGATATTAGTAAATAAATGCCAACAGGTGGAGCTGGGTAATTCCTAATGGATGGGGATGTAGTTGAATGGGCACCATCTTTTGTTAAGCAGGAGGGACAATTATTTGGGTCCAGTGTGCCCCCCTGCATGTTAAATGTGTAGTGACTGTGCTTGTCACTATGGTGCCGGGGCTTGCGCAGCCACGGCCGGTAATGTGTTGTCATTACGGGCAGCCCGAGTTACGGGGTGTAGTACCACCAGCCCCAGTGGGGCTTGGGTGCGTGCTGGTTAGCGTAGAGGCACCGCGAGCAGTGTGCGGTGCGGGCTCCCGGTGAGGGAGCGAGAGGAAGCGTCAGCCAGCCAGGGTTACCTTGGGGCATGATACGCTGGTTGACCTGCTGTCACGTGACCGGACGATATTGGAGAGGGGGGGGCACCGGTGGACGGGGGCCGTGGGGCGGTCACGTGGTCCAAAGCTCTCGGGAACCTTTGAGGAGGAGCTCGAGAGGCCTGGAATGTGGGCGGGGTGAAGGGTGGAGCTAGCCCTGGGGGCATATAAGGAGGGCTCCGTGAGGAGCACGGGGTTCTTCCTGTGCTGGTGTTATGAAGATCCACGTCGGTGAGAAGAAGCCTCTCGCCACGCGCTCTGGGAACCAGCTTGGTGGTCCGGACTGGGATAGCGAACCGTGCTTCTCGGGTGTAGATCGTGTTGTGTTACGTGTCAATGCGGAATAAATAGTGTTGCTCCCAAGATAACGTCTGCGACTCCGTTGGACTCACTACAAATGCAAACATTTCTAAATATCCTGAGTTCATTATCCAAACATGCCTTTGTCCTGGGAGGTACAGAATTTAATAGAATATTCAGAACCAATGGAAATAACCCCACCGATCTTAGCTGTGGTCAGGTATTTAACCCTTGGTCACTTGTATTTGTAGCAGTGCACAAACCATTATACCACCAATACACTGCCCTATCATGGGGTGAAGTATGGTCAAATAACCCCACAACCAACATGGGACAGCATAGGGATGCTTTCAACGGTATATTAACAAAGGGCTGTGTTATTATAACGTTATCTTCTGAGTCGCAAAACGAGATGTCGCCCTAACAGGCATGCAGATGGACACTACGAACACGTTCAACCAAATTTGGAAACATTCAACCTTTGTTGCAAGGTGTTAAATCAGGACTGAAAACAAAATGAACACTGCCCACATTAGAATGACATCCTTTATTCTAGCGTGATCTTATTTTTAATAAGGCCTTGGTGTGTGAGAGCATCAGTTTCCAACCAATCAAATGCCTTTTCGTATAGTCTACAAAAGTTAATCTACTTTGCAGCCTTCGTCGTGAATGTTTTCACTTGTAGGTATTTCATAGCAAATGACGTGTGGTAGGTTTCGTGGAAATGTAGGTTTTTGTCGCTCTGGTGGAAACAAAACGAGGTGATTATGGACAGATGTAGAGGCTTTCCTGGTGGTTGTGGTCAAATGGATGTCTTAAAAATATTTGACAAGTTGGCAAAAAAAAAGCAGAAAAACATGATAATTATACCTCATTATTTATTACTCAAAAGATACCAATCCTTTAAATGTATAAATGTGCAATAAATTATTATGGAATGTTGTATTTACAATCTGATATTACTTTTAGCTCTTTGGCATTAAAACATGCTTGTTTGCCTTCAGTATGTACTGTGCTTCCATTTGCTGCACCAGGAGCAAACGGTCAACAGTAATCATTACAATGTATAAACAGCAAAGGCAGGTGACAGCTTAACTGAAAGCAACAGTCCCAGTTGCTACATTGACATTTCGTAACAAATGACAAAAACAAACTCAAAGTAAAAACATGTTAAGGAGGAACGAATCAGTGTTTTGGTCAATAGAAGTTACTTGCCTGAACTCGTTACCAATTCTGAAGGGTATACTTGGCCCATTATATACTATTCTGCATTGTTTTATTTTCAGAAAAATGATAGTCGTTGCCAAAAAGAAAAACAATGCACAACTAGGGTCTATAAAATCCACACCTTCATATTTAAACTTTAATAAACAGAATGTGGTATAAAAATAAACAGCTTTAAACACCCTTGCTCAAATCTGAAGCACTGCAGTTTTGAAATATGAAACAAACATTTGGGTTTTATTAATATAGTTATTTTGCTAAATTTTTTATGTTTTTTTTACAAAAGAAATGTACATTTGTAACATGTAATTAACTTTGCAAACAATTTTAACTAAAACCGTAATGTACACCGTCAGCTACAGAAATATGCTACAAAGGCAACTGACGTTCTGGTGTTCAAGGTACACTTTTTTACAAATGCACGTACATGTGTTTAGAAAATACACACAGCTAACACCGCACTTCCACTACAAAATGCTTTCCCCAACAGAAGCATCTCCATGTAGTTGTAAAAATGAACAAAAAGGCACAACATTGAATAGACGGCTCATGTCGGTGAGAAATAAAGTCTACAAATACGTCTTTCTGCAGTGTTTAAAGCTGGTCGGCAGATGTTTTCGTATACACCAATCGGAGTAAAACTACCTTACCATTAATTTTCAACTAATGCCAATATGTAAAAATGTGAACTAGAAGCTCTGCATTGTGGAAACTTTAAACCAAATGTAAGAAGGCAATATGAGAAATTCTGAACTGGTAGCAGACAGTGCAAAATAAGTGTCCCAGTCATCTGCAATAATTTGGGAATCAACGGGTGCCCCCTCATTCCCCTGTTCCTGCTGAACTCGTTGCTTTGCCTCGCCAGCAGAAAACTGCGGCCTGGCAGGGATTTGCTGAATGGTGCTTCACTTCACCCATTTGCGTGAGCACAAGTGTGTCACAACGGTTCTCACAGTGTGCAAAAGGCCTCGTTCAGTCATTGTGTTGTTGAAAGAAATCACTGGATCTCGGTGTCGTTGAAAGTGGCAGTTCTTTCTGGTGTCGATGCCAGCTCTGTTGTTGATGCCAGCTCCTCCAGTGTTACCGCCAACTCCGGCGTCGACCCCGGCTCCGGTGTCGACACCGGCTCCGGCGTCGACCCCGGCTCCGGTGTCGACACAAGCTCCGGTGATGCGCATAACAGTAATGAAGCTTCCACCGCTGGTACAGCTGCCTCTTCTCCCAGCTCCTGCTCGATATCCTGTTCTTCTTGCTGCTCGCTGGCAGCGTTGGCTGGTGTCGTATCGCCACCCACCTTGGGCTGCTGTGAGGTCGGGTCGCCTGCTCGTCGCTTGCCCAGCGACTCGAACCAGCTCGCGCTGCCGTGTGCGGCCCGTGTGAGCAGCGCCGTAGCAGAATGGAAGCCGCGCATGTTTTTGCCGGACGTGATGAGCTCGCCGAAGCCCTCCTGGTGCGCAAATGCATAGCCCGAGCGGCGCGAGCCTGTGCGGTGCACGCGGTGCAGCCTCAGCGTCTGCGGCTTCTGCTTGCGTCGCTGTCGCTGCATGTAGCGCTCCTGTGTCGGTAAGAGAATGGAATTGCAGGTGCATTCGTTAAAGAAAATAATCCTTTTGTCATTTTATTTATTGAGCACTTATTGACATGTCTTGTTTTTAGTAGTGCCTTCAGATACAATTGCAAATACATTTTGATTTTTTTATGGTTAATTAGGGAACACATTTTCTTATAAGTTTAATGTTTCGCAAATGCGTTATTAAAAACAAAATGCTCAATAAATGTTGGCACAATTTTTTAACTAGGAATGCACGTGGTGAAAATGTACATCTGTGATGTTAAAAAGTACATTAAGTTTACAAAAATACATATATGTTAATGACATTTAGTCACATTTCTTTTCTATAAATATAAGCTAAAACATTTTAGCATTATGTTTATGGGTAATTAGAGTTTGCTTGAAGTAGAATTTCCCAGGAATGCATCCCTTCTGTATAGCAAGGTTCCAGTATCCCAAACCAATCCCAACTTAGAGCTCTGCGTCCCGTGTGTGCGCGTGAGATGGACTCGTCACCTTGTCGCTGAGCGTGGGCCGCAAGTCGGTCTTCAAGAAGCGGAATGCGGCGATAGGCATGATGCATACAATGGTGGTCAGCGCAATCACCAGCCACACAGATGGCTGGTTTAGCGTGTTCCGTGCTGTGCCTGCAGTGACAATGCATATTCAACACATCAGTCATTGTTTCTAGCTTTCTTGGGTACGGGACGCCTACCAGAACATGCATTGGCAAGAAAATATTACAATAATTACATCCTGGAGTTTGCTGGTACAGCCCCTAAGTGACATTTTAGTGCTGGTGCAATGGAGGTTAATGCAAGTTAATTTGTATGAATGTACCACACTTTGAATTTCAGGTCATGTAGATGCTTGTGTCTTTGGGACCCCAAGTTAACTACTTGGCTGCTCCTTATCTCAGAGCCACTAAACGGCACTTAACACTTGTTAAAACTAAACATGGGAAATGCAGCTACCTCCTCCATTAGTGGCGATTTACAGAGTCGTCCAATTGTAATGGCGGTGATGTGCAATCCATCGATGACTTCGTCGATCATCGCATACCCTTTTGCAGGAGTTACAAATTAAATCTATCTGATAACCCTAGATGCCATTGAATGTCTTCTCCAAATCCAACATAGTTTTAAAAAATGTCCGTTGTCTTTTAAATGCCATGTGAAAGAATTACCCCAACTTTAAACTGCCAATTATTTTATCTGTGCTGGCAAAAGTGTTAAGTTTAAACAGAAATGTTTGCACTGCTTGATCTATACATTGACAAATACTTGTTTTCAAAGATCAGACGCTTGAACTAGATTTCCTCAGCCTGCAATAGGTCACTTACGCACCCTTCCTCGTGCCACCCCACTGTAAAGTGAATATCAAGTTAAGGGTCAAAACTCACCCACCTTAGTAAAAAGATAAAGACAATATACTCAATCTTGATGCACCGCAAAGAACAAATATTCCCAATAAATAATGGTCCTCAGTGTCCCTGATGCCGCCGCCACCACCACCATTATAATTAGGATGGCGTCTGCATCATCACCGCACCTATGAAGCGAAACTGGGACGGGAAGATGCTGTAGAGGCCGGCGCTGTACATGGCGAACATGATCGCAAAGTAGACAGCCACGCTGCCCCAGATGAAAAAGTGGTTGATGGCCGTCCAGTAGGCTGTGTCCAGACCCATCTGGAATGAAAATGCATACACAGTGCATGGCTAAGAGTCAAACCCTTTCCCCAGGATGGATAATCACTTTCCAGTTAATATAAAGGGGTGTCCTGGAATAACTTGCTAATTCATATTTAGTTAAGATAACCCTTGGCAGCTTACTTGTAACTTTTACAATCCACTTTGGACCATTTTTATTGTATCTCTCAACAGATGCTTGTGCAATTACTATTTTAATTTATCAAGTCTTTTACCAGGACACCCCTCGTTTATTATTATTTTTTCTGGACAATAAAACGCACTTTTCCCACCCGCAAAGTTCAGAATCCATTATATAATCTGACAGGCATGTGATGAGATTTAAATACCTTTATTGATGCTTGGCACACGTTTGTGGCACCAAAGCAAATGTCAACAAGATGCCAAAAAAATTGTTCAAACCAGACAGTGGACTTGCAAACACTCTCCAGATGCCCCGTGTTCCCCAGGCCCTCGCAGTTACCCACAAAGGAAGGGGGCAGGGGGAAAAGAAGAGCAGCTGTGGAGTCGGTCACCTGCAGGCTGACGACGATGATGAGCGACGTGGAGACGGCCACAGCCAGGGACTGGTGGTCGGACAGTCCGGTTCCGTCATCGCGCACCGCCTCCACAAAGGCAGCGTACGGCACAAAGAAGAGCACGACTGACGTGTAGATGCCCTGCCCGATGCAGATGAAGAATTCGCGCTTGTTGAACAGCAGGTTAAGCTGCCCCGGCTCGTAGAGCTTTGGGCAGTCGATGCTCCATTGGTCGTTGATGTCCTGCGAGCGAAAGAATGGGATTTCATCGTAGGAGCTTTGTTCTGGGTCGCAACCGTTACGTCCTAGGTTCAAATCCATGGTAGGCTCTCGTATATGGCCAGTTGGTAATCTCAAATCTCGTGATGAGTGGATTCTTAATAAAAAAAATAGCTCCTACTGTACAAACTTGGTTTTGAATTAATAGCCCAGCGTAGCTACATAGACAGGTTCAGAATTTAGGTAAAGAGACAACCAATCACCAGTGCAACGAATATAAATAGAGTCTACAGTTTTGTGTAGGATAGAACCATGAATGCATTGAGGAGATCATTTCAACGTGCTCTTTTATAACAAGCAGACTCTAACATGAATTACTCATTGCGTTGCGCTAAAATGTCTAAAGCACATTTGGGATACAACGGCGGCGTGGAGGAAGAAAAAAAAACACTGACGCAAACTCAACATAATAGTGGCCTGCAGTGCTGTTGAAGCTGTTCCTAATTCCGTGCTGGTTTGATTAAGTGTTACAGTTCCTCCAGCATGTTGGCCTCTTTCATTATCCCTACGGCAATACTACTGCTTACATTTTTTTCTGTCTTGACTACAGCACCTCTGTTGATGCAAGAATAAAGTATTGGTATTCAATTTTATTTTCACTCTCCATATTTTTTCACATTAAACAGCTTTTAAAAAAATTCAATAGAGTTAAAGACTTGATTTGTCAAACCTTCCTTGAATTATGTGCATGGAATAATATTGCACTCAAACAGTCAGTGCTGGCAAGAGCAGGTTCAGTGTGAACCAAGAAGGGTCTCTCCTCTCTGGTGGAGACCAATCAGTTTCAATTACAATGCATATATTACCAGAGCATGTTTTTGTTTGTTTATTCACTACAAGTATGTGTGGTTAATGCAGACATGATTCCTTGCAAAAGTTATTTTGGTGTTTTAACATCTTAACACCTGTTTTATTGCCACAAAGGGTAAAACCTATTCCTACACTTTGATACTGCAAAATAAGTTCTACATACACACAACTTGATGAGAGGGAGTACAGCTCGCCTCACTGTGGCTACGGTGCATCTGACACGTGCTTACCTGATCGAACACCCCCATCGCCAATACCGGCAAGGATGTGTAAACAATGTTGAAAAGCGTAATGAACCACTGGTCATACACCGTCTGAAAAGATAGAACGGCATAAGATGGGGGGGGACGTTGAGCATTATTGGACAAAATAAAATGGAGGTAGGGCAGGAAAATAAAAAAAACATTGTTTGGGATGCGAGATTGTAAATTGGAAAGTAAATAGTAGAAGCACCATGAAAGGAAGGCGAGAGGACGTGGTAAGACGCATCAACATTAAAAGGGGAAGAGTTTTCCTGAAATGAGGGATTATAATAACGATTGTAAAATAGTAAAGTATTAAGGTAGTGTTAGGGCAAGATGAGAAAGCAGATGGAAGGGATTGAAAGTGTAAACCAGCTGTGTTCACTTCTTGCAAATGTGTTTATTTGCCAGTTCTTATGGCGCTTAAAGCACACCCTTGTGGAAATTCCAAAACAGTCTCAAGGCCAACACATACTTAAAAACACAGCATTCCACTCACATGCAATAATATGCATGTTTCTCTACAAGCAATGGAATAACGGCTTACCTGAGAATGCTTTATGTAGCTCAAGAATGCAGGTTTCAATCATGTGTTCATGGTTGGTTTTAAATAGGTTTTTAAATACATTGGTCCAAAACGGTTTGAATTTTTATGATAAGAATCAATCTTATGTTTATAATTTAATCAATTCTTGTTATGTGCATTCATTGCGTGAAGAAACATGGATGAAGGCTTTAAACCTCACCACTTATATTATAATGCGCGAGGTCAACCGTAGGCAGGACAAATCATTCGAGTTTAACAGGCGATTTAATTACTTCATTCAATCGCGTCTTCTGACTTTCGTGTTTCCTTTTGGGTGGAAAGTGTTTTGGTGAGAGTGAAATTTCTTCCTGACAACCTAACACTACTTTGGGTATGCAAATAAAATAATGTCAGTGCAACGCAGCACACTTTGGCTATTAATGAGTACCAATTTAGTTTCGATTTAAAGCTTTCGTGACTGCAGGGATTCATCTTCTTGGTTCTTTCGCTAAAGTCACGTAGAAGGGAAATAATAAAATAATAAAAATAAAACATTATAAAATAATTCTCACGACGTTTCGGCCACAACGCAAGCAGCCGTCCTCAGGTGAAGAGCAGGTCTGTCGGAAAGACAGTGTTGCTAGTTGGCCTGCGGGGTTTATTCTGCCTGGTGCACTTGTTTGATTCGCTTTCCCATTTCCTTGAAGCTATGGATGGTCACAGTTGAAGCACTAAGCTATATGCCTAATTGGGATGGAGGAAAATGCATTCCTAATGCAGGACCCTCCTGAAATAATGAGTTTCGATTCTACGTGGCTTTCCTGGATCAATAAGTTATTATTAAATGCACCTGTGTAGGCAAGCCAGCGACCCGTGATGCTTTCTCACCTGGGCGGAGAAGCCGCAGAAGAATCCGAACCAGAAGTGAACGAGCGTGAAGGCAAAGTTCTTGTAGAAGAAGTAGCACAGGAACTTGCACATGCGCAGGTAGGACCAGCGGCCGTGCACGAGTAGCAGACGCTGCAAGAAGCGGAACTGAGCGAAGGAGTAGTCGCTGGACAGGACGGCCTGCATGCCCTCCTGCCCGCTGATGCCCACGCCGATGTGAGCCGCTGCAATGACAACGCGGGGGGGGGGGGGGGGGGGTCACAGCACGGTGAGTTATCGCCGGCGGCTGGTTCGCTCCACGGGACCTTGCTGCATGGTCAGCGAGGGTCACTAACCAGGGCAACCAGCCGAGTGCTGTGGGACACGGATAATACCCACCGCTCCGGCAATTGTAATCCGAGCTTATTTTCAATCACGATACAATTATGACTCAGTCTCCCATCATTCAAACCAATCCACTGTTTGGCCAAAAATCTGGTATTTTCAGATTCTGAACTAAAGTTACATTATGCCCCTACTCACAAGCATGCATTGTAACACAGGATAATATCACATATGGGCATGTCAGCATGTGGCCTTCGGCAAATAACTCTTGACTTGTTGCACAACATATTTTGCCATTAAGCGCACAGAGCTACCCGGCCCTCTCATACATTCTCCTCTGCCAGCCCACGAGCTCGCCTACCTACCCGCTTGCTCACCCGCCCACCCGCTCGCCCGCGCACACTCGGTCGCTGGCTCGCCGGCGGCACACTCACTCTTGATCATGCTGACATCGTTGGCTCCGTCCCCGATGGCGAGCGTCACGGCCTTGCGGTACGTCTTCACCAACTCCACCACCTGCGCCTTTTGAAGCGGCGTCACACGGCAGCAGATCACCGCCTTGCACATGCAGGCCACCTCCAGGAACTCCATCTCCATGTCGGCCTCCAGGGCGTGCGCCTGCGGTGGAAGCCACGCACACCCGCCCACGTGTCACGGGCAAATCGGAACGCGGGAGAGGTCTGGGGTGCGCCTACCTCTCCACCAACCATCGATGTTTTTCACCAATGCGTGGTGTCCACAGAGCACATGGGACACACGTTTGTGACAGGAAAATTAAGAATAGCCCACAGTGCGGACTGCTAGCACCATTCTCAATACCGTGGACCACATGGTAACACCACTGCCTTCTTATATCATTCACCGGCAGCGTTTCAGATATTCAACAGGCTAATCCTGAAGCTGCCCAATGGCTCGGCATGGACATAAAAACGTTTCTGCTATACGAACACCACCCAGCGGCATGCTGCACCCATCCGTACCAGGCTGTGCCCATTGATGATGATGGCGTACTCCCCCTCCACAGTCGTCTCGATGGATGGGCAGGCCTTGGAAGGATCCTTCACCGACGAATAGAGGAAGCCATTTGCAGCCGAGCCCTTGCTCAGTCCAAGCATCTTGGACTTTGCGCGTCTGTCGCAGACAACGCAGGAAGACGCGGGCAATGCACGCGACTCATCCTCAACAACAACCTTCAATAGCTCGGCCACCTGCATGTTGTCCAATTGGGCTGTGGGGACATTCGAATGCATCCACTTTACAATTATTGAACGGATTTATCAAAAACGACGTTTTATCTCAAGATGTTGGACAACAGTGGGCAGATGTATGGAAGCTAACGAGGAAAACCGAGGAGGTCATTTCAAGTATTACACACGTCGCAAAAACATGGGAAGCCTGTGAATGGTGATTATGCATACGTAGCTGTAGTAAAATGTCAAAAATAGACGATATTAAGAGTACCATTAGCAATGGCATTTCACAAAATTGCAGGTCGGGGTCGGCATTTAAAATGATGGTCCTAAATTAAATGCAGCACTCTGATTCGAGCGTCCGCCTTGATTGAACGATGCCCCTCATCCTCCCCTCCAGGATCAATACAATGAGTCCCCTTTTATGGAAGGCCAATGCTAGTTTTATAATGGATGAGACTAGCCATCCTCGTCAAGGGAATGAGGAATTTCCACCAATGGATCATGGCCACCAAAGGCTATAAATTCCCCATTGCTTGCTAGAGTTGGGATAATGCAGTGTTTTATTAAATAAAGCATGTGCACTATAATTAGGATGACTATATTCCCATAAAATGTAGTCTTATGTAATGTAGTGTCAAAATTCAAATGTAGCACTCGAAGCTGATGTTTTAATGAACTTTCCATCTGAATTAAATTAAATTACGACAGCAAAGGAACACTTTTGGCAGCCATAGAAAAAGATATCTGTTAACACTGGCAGCAGAAAATTATTAAGTTACATAGGGCATCATTCATGTTGGTAGAGATGCAGCTTCCATCAATACTCAGGGTTAAAACAACCAAACCACCGCAAATTGTTCCACTGAGAGGAAAATTTTCCAAAAAACACGACAAGAAAAATATCTTATTAAAATAATCAAAAGCTAAAGAGCAACTCTCTTCTGCTGCTATGCGCTTGGTACAAAGAAGTATGGCTTTCGGATAAACTACATCTCTCTTATGCAAGAGCAGCGCAAACATCAAGATGTGTCGTCACTGCGAATGCCATTTCCACGTGATCATGGCACAGCATCCGGCTGCATGCCTTGTATACCTCACGAAATGCTCTCGTGGAAAATAAAATAAAAATACTCAACCAGCTGCAAATGCTTTACTCACTGCCAAACCTAACACATGGATTGAAATCAATAGATGAGACGAAACAAAGCTGGGGCGTTATTTAATAAGAAGCGGCAAAGTTCTCCCGATGGTTTGAATTTCAACAAGATGTTAAAAGTGCTCCACAGCCCGGGATGATCTGGGACTTCATTCCTCGTTGTACCGCGCGTGGCAATGCAGACTCGTCGTTAGAATGAAGGGCAAGTGAAAAAGTGAGCCTCTCAAAACGAAGTGGATTGCCACGTGCCAGTTGATGGTCGATTCAGCATTTCGTCCCTCCAGAGGTTGGTATTGGATGAGTGGACCTCACCAAAGGAATGTGAAATTTCGACCACTAGTTTAGGCCCTTCAGTAGTAGATTAACCACCAGCTCATTCTTCATCATGAAGATCACCAGCCCTGACTATTCCACCGCATGATGGTCTCCTCAAAGCCATCGCTTTTGCTCGCGATCCTGCGACCTAATGATCCACCGAGCACCTGCATACGAGCGGATTCCATCGCTCCATCTCCACAGTGGCCGTTAGCTGATGTCCACAGACAAGACAAGAAAAACCCGAGTTGCTTTATATTTGCAGGGAAGCAATACCTAATGCCAGTAGCTGTCTTTTCGTAATACAGGGACTCCTCTACTTACAAACGAGTTAGGTTCCAGAGGTTCGTAACTCAATTTGTTCTTAATTTCAACTACTCCTGTCGATTCCAAACATGTTGTACAGCATGTACACTAAACACGGGGAATGACTTTAAACGTTGTATCATCTCCTATAGATGTAGATGCCACTGGTTCTTCACGTTCTGCAGATGGAGATGCCACCACCGCCATCTATTGCGCGGCGGTCGAACTTACGACTCTCGGTCCGAACAGGCAACTGGACATAGGGACAGGTTGGTTCGTATCTCTGAAAGATTCGCACGTAGAGGAGTCCCTGTACAGTGGAAGTGGATGAGCATTGCAGGGTGAATGAAGCCCATTATGATAGAGGCAGACGACGCGTGCTCACCCCAGCTCCTCGCGAACCTCCTGGACCGTGTGCCCCGACACCACAAACACCTCGTTCATGTCGTCTGTTAGCATGTTGCACGAGTAGCCGATATTCACCGCCGTTTCTGCAGCAACACAAATGCAAACAGCTCACACGGTTATTTCCAAATACTTTCCTACCTCCAGGAGACAAAAATAAATGGCTGTAGTCGTCACTGTGAATGTGGTACATGTATGTGCAATAACGTATCAACTGCAGATGAACCGTGTGTTGCATGCATGAGCGAATATTTTCCATGCATATTTGGGTACGATCTGCAGGTCACATTTGGTGCGGAAAAGTGTAGGTACTTCCACCTCTTCCATGAAGTCTGCCCAGAGTGGAAGAGATAAATACTCCGTGGAAGGGATCTACAGATGTCTCTCCACCGGAAGCTTTCCGCCGTCAGTGGCGTAAGCAAGGCATTGCAGGATGCACCTTTTTCTTTGTGTATGTACAACTGCATATATACAAGCAATTTGCTGTTAGTGGAAGAGTCCAACGACACTGCACCAAGGCACCGCAATTTACGAAATAGTTTTGTCAGACACGGCAGTCTACGCGTGTGCATCAAGACAAATGAGGGCCTGATTGGGCAGCCCCTGGCTGCCGTCCGCAAGAGTGATTAAAAGCCCTTCCCATATTCCCTGATGGAAATGAACAATGATTGCCTAATAAATTGAGCAGAATGTGTCTCGTGGAAATAAATTTGCTTCAAACCTTTGCAACTTAGTCAATTCCATTCGGATTGTGAATTTGGCCATGGGTATGTTTAGCACGCATTTATTGGATTAAATAAAGCAAAGCACTGTAAGCAAACTCTACATCAGAATTAATTGAACATTTTTGCGCACAATGCTTATAAGAGTTAAATGGTAGAAAGCCGCACGTGTGGCTGCTGTTAACAATTATGCGTGCACAGCGTGCGCAACGTACACGCGCCGCACCTTTCAAAATGTGTGCATAAATTTTTATTTAAAGCTTTCGTGACTGCAGGGATTCATATTCTTGGTTCTTTCGGTTTAGTCACGTAGAAGGGAAATAATAAAATAATATAAATATAAAACAATAAAAATACTCACGACGTTTCGACTGCAACACAAGAAATCATCATCAGGTGTGAAATCCACAGCAAGAAAGGTTTAAAAAATATAAATAATATATATCTATATTATTTTATTATTTCCCTTCTACGTGACTTTACCAAAAGAACCGAGAATATGTGTGTATAAGTTCCGTCATGTGCCTGCCATGTATGTGTCCGGCTGACACTGTGGACACCCTTGCGAATGAGACGCTCCACCTCGGGCGGAATTTCCAGGTGAAGTAGTTTAAAATGTTAAATGAAAACCTTGTTTGTCGCCCGTGAGAACCCAGATCTTGATGTTAGCCAGGGCCAGCTTCGCAATGGTCTCCGGCACACCCTCCTGCAGCTTGTCCTCGATCGCGGTGGCTCCCAGCAACTGTCCGCATTCAGAACACCGACACGCACCCACGGGCACCCAGACGCACGGCCAGGTTAAACACGAAAGCGGGCGTCATTCGCCGCGAGGCCACGGCGATGTTGTCACCGCGGCGCTTAGTACCAGGCGAGGTGAACTTTGAGGTCAAGTAAAGTGTTGGAAGGCTCGCTGGCGGGGAGGTTGCAGGACAGACCCAGATCTTATGGGTTAACCGAGATGATTGGCTGAAACCAAAACAATCCAACCACCTCGCGGTAACATTGCGGAGCGTGGCGATGTTAAATCAATTTCAATCAACCCATGCAGGTGAAAATGCGGGATTAAAATGTGCGTTCTTGCCAGTGAGCACAGAACAGCTGATTCAAACTCATCTGAGACGCATTTTTTTTAAGTTGAACACGCTCGGTGTCACACAACTCATGCGGTCAATGTCAGAAACTCCTGCCAAGTTAGAATGCATTAAAACACCAGAGCCGTGAGACAATACTGCGGCAAGAAAATAGGAACAGGCCCTTGGAGAAATCTGGGGAATTGCCACTGCAGTTATAAATTCTGCAGTGTCACTATACTTACGTTTCTGATTCGATCAATTCACTCTAGGAATACATACAAAAACAGCTAATGTATCATATCTGCTTTACTCTAAAAAAAAGATAAATGAGAAGTCCAAAAAATATTTTTTTCTACTTATTATTGTCCTTGTTGAATGGGTAAAACACACGATAATAAAGCAACAGTGACCACAAGAAAATAAACATAAACTCTACAGATTCTCCCGTCAGACATATCTGGCTTCCCTGAAAGAGACACTGTACTATCCAACATTGGCTCTGGCAGGATACCTAATGATAATGGATAATGGTCGGCAATAGCCAATGTGATATCAGTGGCTATCTCATACCAGTTTGGTTGATCAGTGCAATATAATCCCACTGGTCTATCAACCCCATAACACATTTCTGGAAACTCTTAATTACTTAAGCTGTATGACGAATGGGTACGGCTTGTACATGGCCGTGGACACAATGGGGAGGCATTATTCAGAATTTTTGGCTTATGTGTATAATTTCAGATAAAGCCACAATGACCGGGTACCAAGAATATGAATGCCAGAAAAGAGCTCTGGGTCGCACCAATCTCTGTTGTTGATTATGAACCAGAGGTGTCAACTGAATGTTGCTGTGAAAGAGATGTTCTATTCTAAACATAACTACCATTGACTGTTCACTACAAATTACTGTAATGTTCATTTTACTGATGTTGAATTAACGAAATATAGGCTAAATGGACTCAAACCAGGGCTTTCATGCAAAACCCCGAAAACCGTGAGATCAATGGTCTACCCAACATGGTCCTCTTACATCACAAAACGCAAGATAAGGAGGGCGTTAGATCAAGTGACACCGACGCCACTGGCCAGCGGTGGACCGGCAAAGGGCTGCAAAATGACACGCTTTGTATACGAATGTAACCGGTGGCATTGTAATTTCCCCTTAGTTTAAAACTTAAAAGGTCTTTGCACAGAGGTGAGAATCTCACCCATCGATGTCCCCTCCCCAACCCCCCCCCCCCCCCCAGTGTAAAGGGCACGGTGCGAGGAAGCGGCCTGTGCCAGGCGCTGCGCACCATCATGTTTTGCTCGATCTCGTCGTAGACGGCGGCGAGCAGCTCCTCGCGGCCCTGCAAGGACGTGTTTGCCTCGTGGTGCCGCTCCTGCCACTCCTCGAAGGAGGCCTCGTCCAGGTCGCGGTACGCCAGGCACAGCGTGCGCAGGCCCTCGCCCGCAAACGCCTGCGGGAAGCGCGGCACGGGGAAACGGGACGTTAAACGCAGATAGCGGAACGGGTAAACGGTTCGGTCCTCCTCTGTCTATAGTGCGCTCTGGCCTCTCGCGCGCCCCGAGTGCACGAGGGGAAAGGCCGTGACGATTTTTTTCATTTTGTATATTAAAAAGGGACCCTGCGAATAACATTTTTAAAATAATATAATGATACCGCAGCAGATCGGTCAATGTGTGTGTGTGGCAGCAGTCGTTACCACATTACGTAGGGGAGCTCAGCCCCCACTACATCGTCAACCCCGCCCCAAGCGTAACTCTGGGACTGCCAAATAGAGGGCGGCATTTGGTTGCACAGGAAGGTCTTTAGGCCGCATGTTTAGCAACTAGAACAGATATGAAGCCAAATTAATGTACACTGGTGATCACGGAGGCTATGTGCGGCGACACTGGGGCATTGTCGAGGGGGGATCCTAAGCCACGCAGAGGAGGCTTTAAGGTTTCGTAACGATTGCTCAACTCAATGTGTAAGGCTCGTTCCATCCGAGCTCGGTGCACGAGTGAAGAGTTAATGAGACGCAAAAATCTCTTGGCGAGACATCCCTGAAGAACGGAGATGGAAATGACGGCGGTGGGGACGAGCGGCAGCAAGGCGTTGCGCTGCGGGGGAATATCACTAAAAATAAAACGTGCGTTGTTGAGTGTCGCACACGTACAACGCTCAACGCACAAGCAGGCCGCCTGGCTCAAAGCGAAGATGAAATTCAGTTGTTTGATAAACATAAGAACCAAAGAGTATGGATCACTGTATAATTAAGGTCGCTGCACTCTCTGCCACGTTAATTCAGCCACAGTGACATCGAGATGTATCCGCACACAGACTGGTACACCGTTGTAATGATGCACATCGCCGTCCTAATTTGTCTGCTTGCCAATGCGTTCCATTACATGTTCCTACATATTAAAGGTGTAAGAAGCTTGTAATTCAAGTGCATGCCCATGTTATAGCAAAAATGTAATTAACTTTTACGTTCTACTTTCTGACTGTATTCTCTGGATCTTATAATCAGGAGAATATGCTAAGTACCATCCTATAGGAGTTGGGGCGACGGCAAGGATTGGCCAAGTGCAAACATTACACGAGAGGAAGGCATCAAACGTAACACAGAGAGAGGTGAGCAAGGGTAACGGGTCCTCCCGGAAAATAACATGGGCACACAAATTCCCTGAATGCATACTCATAAGATGTGAAGGAGTCCCTGAAATTCAACTGCTTTAAGTTGACAGCAATACATGACTGGATGATGATGATGAGCAAAGAAGTGGGGGGGGAGGCGTGGGTTACGCCACAGGGGGCAGCCTGGGACGGAGGGAAAGAGAAGCCCCCTCAACGTGGCCGCCTCACGCTGCAGAGACGTCACCCCACGTCAAAGCAGGCGACGTAGGGGGCGCGATTTGGTCGTGTAACTGATGGCTCGGGTGTGGAGGACCTGCCGCCTTCAGGGCAGGGGGCGGCGGCGGGGGGGCAACGGAAGGGAAGATATAACCCGGCTCCGTAGCGTCGGAAAGAGGGGAGTAACAGACGGAATCCAAACACGGGCACACGCTTTTGTGCCGTAAATAACACGAGTGGCCAGTAGGGGGGGGTAAGACCCCTTAGCAGTGGTGTGAGACCTGTGGGAGAGTGGGGGGAGGGTGACGGGAGAGGAAAGGATGATAGGAGGCATGTTTGGAGGAGGAGTAGGAGATTCGTGTTTTAGGCTTAAATGTAATACAACCGGCTGTGAAGTGTAGATAGTGCACGTGTGTGTATTTTTGTTTTTATTAGAAATGGATACGCTTAGGTTATACAGACTACCAATACCATATAAATTGCCTACAATTCTGTATACTTTGGGTTTTGACTCCCTCCAGTGCATATATTTTTGTTTGATGCACTTATTTGAGTAACATATAATTGTAGATAACACGACTGCATAGGTTTTCGCAACTTAAAGATCTATATCCGAGTTTGACAGCAACGTGTAATGGCTCGAGGTGAGGCCGAATGAGCTGCTGCTACTGCTGCACTCCATTGAAATTCCGAAGTTGGTCGTGATTCACAATGTGCCCTACGGTTTGGTCAAATGCATTGACGGTTGGGAGAAAGTATTTTGTTAGGATTGAATTATGCTGATGGAATTCAAGGCGAGACAAATAAACTTGTTGACAGTTTTAAGACGACAAATCCACTGGTGACATGTCCCTGAAAAATGATAACAGTTTAGCTAGTGGCAGTGCATCTTGTGGAACCTCCATTAAAATAACACGTTGGCATAGGTAACGTGCTGCATGTAACATGCCAAGCGGAAGTCAGCAACAAAAACCCTGGATCCACTTAAACGGCATTTTATTTGCAAGGTCTCATAGTAATTGGTTGCCATTTATTTTAATTCGCATTTTGAGAAAATATTAAACAAACCGTGGCATGTATTTAAGCGGTAAGGGTCGCCCACATTGCGAAATTGCCAAAAAGCCCTCTGTGACAGACTCACTACGGAGTTAGTGACCGCACCCAAAGCACAACGCGTTATTACAGGATGGCCTAGAAAACAACGGGGAAACTACCGACAAAATCAAATGATGCAGAGCAACAATTCCTAACATGTGGGCATGTGTACCCCTGTGGGGGACCTCGTGACATCTATGAGGAAGGGCGGGCACACATAATGGTAGTGGTCACATGGCAGTATGGTCATGTGGTGGTCACTAAACAGTGCTGCATTCATGTGTGCACTAGCAATTATGATTTTATATATATTTATAATAAAATAACACATTCAAATAAAGGCCCTGTTAACAGTTTTTTTTCTGGACTGGTTTGAACTTTTGAGTTGTACTCATGAGACCCAGAAGGTCGAATCTGGTGCAGAGTTTTATTTGCAAAGGCAAATGTTGCTCGATAAAATATTGGACCGGAGAGCCAATAGGGACTGACTAATAACGCGTCCGTATTTCTAGATGTTTCGAGACACAGCCCCGGTGTCCTTGCTTGACTACGCAATGGCCATCTGGGTGCAGACGTGGTGGGAAACTCACACTCAGGTGGTCTGCGGTGATGTTCACGAGCTGCTGGTTGCAGGGGTGAAGCCTCTCAAATATCACCGAGTCGGCGCCTTTGCAGTACAGCTTCAGCCGACCTTCAGCATTCCGCACTACCAACAAAAACACGCACACACACACACGCGCGTTCGGTCCGGTTATAAAACGTCCGCTAAAAATAATGTGATACTGCGTTCGCGCTGGCGCACAAGTAACAAAAACTCACATTCGTCAATGTCGCTGTCCTCAGACAGCACACAATGGCCCGTCTTCATATGAGATCATTTTTATACATTTTTCTTCCAATTTAGGGCACTTGTTTTTTTTTTGCAGCATTTCAGCAAAGCGATATCATGAGACCTTTTTGCCAGTATCAAAGTATGAAAAATAAGAATAGGCTTTACCCTTTCTGGCAATAAAACTGGTGTTAAGATGTTCAAACACCAAATATAAACCTTTTGCAAGAAATCAAGTCTGCATTAACCACCCGTACTTGTGGTGAACATGCAAAGAAACTCTGAGAGGATATGCATTGTCTTTGAAACTGATTGGCCTACACCAGAGGAATCAAGTCTGCAGCAGAATCAAGATAATGCATATATTATCAGAGAATGTTTGTTTGCATGTTCACCGCAAGTACGTGTGGTTAATGCAGACTTGATTCCTTGCAAAAGGTTTCTATTTGATGTTTGAACATCTTAACACCGGTTTTATTGCCAGAAAGGGGAAAACCTATTTTTTTTAATACTTTGATATGAAAAGAGAACTGTTTTTTCCCCGTCACCATAACACGGCATTATTTAGAACAATAACAACAAACGTCTCCGCAAAAGTGGGGAAGCGAGCACTCGCTGAAAAACCCAAACGTTTAGCAAGAACCAAAGCGGAATTGTACCACCTCCCAGAATTCACTGCGCTCACAGCGACGGCCAACAGACGTGGGGGCAGGGGGGGACAAGCGACTGACCGATGACGGACATGCGCTTGCGGAAGTTGTTGAAGTCAAGGATAGCGAGCAGCTGGTAGGTGCGTGGTTCTCCCAGCTCGTGCAGCGTGATGGTCTCGGGCGTGCGCGAGCGGAAAACAAAGCCAAAGTTGCGTGCGGCCGTCACCAAGGCACCCTCGTCGGGGGACTGGGCCTGGTAAGCCAGCTCCCCTGGGGGGCCGCGAGGGGTGGTGGAAGCAGGGGGGGGCGGAGGGGGGAGACAAGAAATTACGTGAAAACACACGGAGCAATTATGATGAGTCATGCGTGCCCCTGATGACCTTCACAGGTAAGATAATGACAGTGAACAAAGCCAAGATGTCGCCAAGAACAAATAAATGTCGGGCAAGGTCAAGTCTACTGAATGCCCTCAGCCAGCAGTGGAAATTCCACATTCCAATTAAAGCCAGTCTGTTATATGAGTTCAGCAGAGGGCAGTGCAACTTAATATTCTGTTGTATTGTACTTCTACGGTCCCATACCTATGCTCCTCACCTTCACAAACCCTCTCTGTGACTGGTGCGGTCAAAAAACCATTGTGGCCTGCAGGCTGTGGGAAGGCCCTCACCCAGCAGTGTATTGACAAAATGGGTTGCAAAAGTGCCATGTGGTGAGGGCGAGGGATGCAGGGGATCGGCGGGGGACGCAAGGATCTCCATGTACCCTCAGTCTTCTCCTCGGGCATCACGGTGTGGCAGAGTGCGAGCAAACGGAAGAACTCGTGCACTCCCCACTCGCCCAGCCGTATGGCCTCCAGCATGGTCTGATCGTAGAAGAGGAACCGCCGGTCGGCCAGCAGGTTCCGTGAGAAATCCACTGGCACCGACCTCTGCGATGGGAACGTACGGGAGAGCGAGAAAAGAATGACAGCATGAGCTTAGTAAACTTTTTTATTTTACCTGGTAAGCCCACCGAGCTATAGAGCTCTTTTTTCAGAAGAGACCTGGCCACAAATGATAGCCCAACGAAGTGGCTGATTGTGTGGAAATGTATCGCAGCCAATTATTCTAAACGCACGTTTCTAAATGTAGTGGGGAAAAAACGCAGGACCTGGAGAAAAATCCACACGATCAAGGGGAGAGAGAACATGCGAACTCCAAATATACAGCAGGCGTCAGGGTCGTAATCTAACCCATGGCCTCCTGTATACCAGGCGAGGTAGTAGTTAACGTCTCACCACCGTTGGCGCAGAAGACTTCTCCTGCCGGAGCAAGGCAGCACAGGCAATCATGCCTCAATTCCAGCACCACATGTGAGCAGAGCCAGCGCAACACACTCTGCCAAATAACCACTTTAAATGCCATGTACCAAGCTCCAAACACGAATAAATAAAACTGCTTCGATTTATTTCTTTAAAACGTAGCACCTAACCGGAAGCGTTATGAATCTCATTCTGTTGTGAAGTTAAACACAGGCAAGCCAAAGTGGTGAACAAAGTCTATTTTATACCACGAAAAGATATGACGTAATATTCAACATGGTACAACACAGCCGTTTAATGCAGACTGTCTACTCATTACGTACAATTATTGTGCCGTACTTTGTTATAAATTTTCCAAAATGCACATTCGCTAAAATGAGAGGATAGCGCAGCTCTTGCTTCAGTACAAAATGTCAGTGGAGCGTCATTGGTTATAAAGTAAAGTCGACTTTCTGTACCTTTACAATGATCATAAGAAATGTCTTCATCTATCGGCCTATTGGTATTTTAGATGTACCCAGCAACAACTGTTTGGCAAAAAAATTTGCATCATATTTCAGCTCATGGTTCTCATCAGCAGTCTAGTTTGGGAAACAAACACCGCTCGTTTACCAAATGTTATTGGTAAGAGGACTCCCTCCAAATGACGGAGGGCCTTGGTACCAACAAAAAAGATTGCACAAAAGCGCGTTATTTGCCATAGTGGAGAATGGCCCAATGATGCAGAAAGAGGCGATTTAAGATCACTGGTTAAGCAGCTACAGCAGTATACAGTGGCGTGTATTCAAACATCAGCAACAGGTTTAAGTTACCTCATTGATTTCCACTTTGTGACCCGAAACATCATATGCTCCTCCTGCAAAGCAAGGGAATGCAATTAGTCTTGGCAATGACATTTTAACACGATTTAAAACTTATCTTAAGTATAGTGCCCAGGACATGGTAAAGCAACTAATGAGCACACATCCACACTAAAATCAACAAACGTGGACACAATGCAACTGGCTGTAATAATTTAAGAAATCCAATCAAGTTATAAGTGTATAGCATCTTTAACAATATAACATAAACATGTTTATTTTAACACCATAACATGAGCATAAAGCATACATCAGTGAACACTCTTCCACAAAAAAACTGATACAAGATAGCACCCAAAGTTTGTTCTTATATTTAGAAATCGTAGGCGATTTAGACCCAAACGAATGCTGTCAACAACAACAACCACAGCAACAATAATCAACAACAACTACGGTGCATATAGTAATAGCAAATTAGATTTCATGCAATTCAGTCATGGGTAATAATTTCAGTGCAAAACATTAAGACATTGGTAGTTTTTGCCTCCGGGTAGTATTACCATATGACACATTACAAGAGCAAGTGTGCATTGATAAAAGGTCAGAGTTCATTTTGGTCTAATTTAAATATCCACGAAAGGCAATCTATTCATGAGTGCTTCATTAACGGCACAGTGGCTCCGTGATGTCTTCAGTCAACTCGCCCCAAAGCGAGCACTGTGCTCTGCAATCTGCCCGACCATCACAATTTGCAAAGACGTTCACATTTTCCCCTTTCGAGTAGCACAAGGGACATCACACAATGTCCATGTATATAACCTACATGTCACGATGCACACGCACATATGCACCTCCGCTTAGCACGGTTGGCTACGTACAGCGCAAAAGAAGTTCAACATACATACAATACATTTCTGTTGTGTTTTAATAATTTTTACGCGCATTTACTCGCCTATCAAGAAAAGTGGACAAACTATATCTGTCTGAATTACAGTTCTAATAGGTTGACATGCGATGCCCAACTGTAAAGCCAATTCGTGATACCACGAATGATTATCCACCACCTTTAAATGGTGAAGTATGGTCAAATACCCCCCACAACGCACAAGCTGCGGGTGGGGAAGGACTTCATCCAGCAGTGGATTGACAAAACGCCTGGACATGCACCGTCAGCAAGCCATCGCGTGACAAATCCGACGAGAGTCAAGGTTGTCCGATTAATGATTTTTGCGGTTGTAATTTTTCCCACTCGCGTCAAAAAGTCAACCAAAAGCTCAATGCCACGTTACGCTCGACCCTAACAGGATATGCTTCACGAGTAACGCATGCAATGCGTGCACACGTAGGGGCCGGGGAGGCAGCAATACAATGCTACATTTTCCATCTGATGAGATGAATTGAAAACAGCACGATAAATAATGAAATGAATGCACTCTGCTCATCCGGTGAAGCGCATCGCGTTGAAAACATCCACGATTAATAATGAATCTCTACTGTCCCGCCGAGTCCGTGCGCGGCGACAGAAAGTTTCGCCTCAACAAGGGGAGGGACGAGGAAGGCCGTGAACGACTGCAGCAGCAACGCCACGAAAACTCGCGTAAACGATACAACCGTTGGCGTGAGACATTACCCATCTTCGTGTTACACTCGTAAAGCGGTGCATCTTTGTTTGCTTGTAATACTGTTGAAAGTCTTAGACTGGCAACAGAGGCAAGGTGAAGCAGTGGAAATGTCTTGCCGTTGTTTTCGAATTACAATTGCGCATTACGGAGCCTTTTCCGGCAGACGTCATCACGTCTTGTGAATCATTGATAGGGCACGTGACAGGATAAGCGTGTGTGTTTGTGTGACCCTCCACCTGGCTTGCAAGACACTTAACCACATCGGGGAGGGTATCGGTCACTGGGAATGAAATATGGAGGTGATCTCCTCCTTGGCGAGTGCAGAAAAGCTGCGTGCGAGGGCACACGTGTCTGTGTGCACTTTTGCACTTGTGTGTTCGGGTGTGCTCATTGACAGCCCTTGCCCCAACAGTCAGTTCAGGTCTACATGAGGGGACATTTGCCTTTGTGGAAAAGTACATATATATATGATTCATATTTAATATTGTTTGGTAAGGCCAACAGGAAAGTTTCGCGACTAACCCACAGCGCACAGCAATAACGCAAGGCGGTGCTGCCTCCATGCGTACCGTAAACGCGGCCGTTGATGGAGCACTTGTTGAAGGTCATGATGTTCTGCGTGAGCGTGCCCGTCTTGTCGGAGAAGATGTACTCGATTTGCCCGAGCTCCTCGTTGAGCGTGGTGGTGCGCACCTCAGCCGGCGTGTCCCGCTTGCCGTAGTACATCTTGCGGTCCCAGTTGATGAAGTAGCTGTGGCCTAACCGTATAACCTCCACACTGCGCAGCGAGGGGGGGGGGGGGGGAGGCACAGACGTCATGCGGGCGGCGAGACCTCAACGGTGCTCGTTATTGCGACGACCGGCCGAGGCCATCGCAGGTTATACCCACGGCTGTAGGTACTGTACTCAATACCTATGGCGCCGAGACTATCGATATCTCCTGTGTGTCGTGATCCCGCGGGTGCTACTGAAACACAGTAGAGATGGAACGATTGCTTGATTGATCGACTGAAAATAACGCAGTTATACTTTGGTGTGGTCGATCACTTGGAACAATTAAAAAAATGGCGGCCGCCCCCACATCCTGCCTCCATACTTTGTCAACCCCTTATCAGCGCCTACCTTATCACAGACCAATTCAGGCCGTATTGGTCACCCTGTGCCCCTTATAAATCTCAACGTTCAACCTACAAAGTCCCACCACAAGGAAGAAACACAAATAAATAGACCAAAAAATAAATATATTTTTTGCTCGTATTGAAACGGCTGTACGCTGTATGGACGTAAAAACTAAATTTCCCTGTACAAGAATACGGCTAAACCACATGGGATGACAGGGTATGTGCCTCCCCGAAGACGGGAAACCCCCGTCAAGCAATGCCCCAGTGTGATGCGGCCGACGATGCCAATGACATCAACGAGCCCAGCCCATCACCTCCTGTCCAGCGGCACACATGGGAATAGAAGTGAGACTTTCTGTTTTCGTTTTGTCCGATTATGTTGAGTGATCGTACCGATAATCGGCAGAGTAATCGATTACTTATATTAACCAGATAGTACAGGTCTGCAGTAAAGTATTTTCGTGGTAACTTCAGAGTACACACATGATACCGTACGACAACATATGGTATTGCTATTCTTAGGTTTTTTCAGGTAAAGTCAAGTGACTTTACCGAAAAAAAAACAAAAAAAAAACCTAAGAATATGAATCCTTGCAGTCACGAAATCTAGAAATATGGTATTGCTTAATATAGACAGCAACCTGGAATTGTTTTTACCAAATTTCGGTTCCAGGCAATGCCTGGGTACTAATTATATGGGAAATGATTTGGTCCGGTGCTAAGCCAACTCGTCTATTTAGAGAAAACGAAGTATAACTTAAGGATCGTGGCAATACCGTGGAGTGTATATTGACCTGATTTCGGGATTTCCAGTAACTCAACATGAAAAATTAGCTAGCGTTACTACCACATCATAATAATACCAAGATTAAAATGCTCACTGGGACTCACTACGGGTGGAGTCTCAGGATATATTTAGTCGTGTTTAAAGTTTAGCGGATGTGTTAAGCATATCCTGTACACACACACACACACCTATAGCCCTATCATCGAGGCATCATAGTGCACAGAATCATGGCCTGTGTTTTCATAAAACTGCTGAAACTATCGTTACGTACGATGCGAATGTATACAGAGTTAGACGCAAGCGCTTGACCACATTCCTTGGTCTTGTCAGATCTCGGGAAGCTAAGCAGGATTGATGACCCGCTGTGAACAAGTGCCAGTCGCCTGAACAACACAGACGAAAGCGTCTTGCATTTATAAAGGAAATATGGCAAATGATTTTATAATAATCTAAGACACGGGTCACCTATAATAGTGGTCGCCACGGGTGCTAGACTCATCCCGTTGTCCGCAGGTGGTGAAATCTTATTCCCAATATCTGGGCTTTTCCACAAAGGACGAGTCATCTGGAAATGGTCTCCCGCAAGTGCCAAGTTTACCCTATTATCTGCAGCTTTCCCCCCGGATAATAGTAACGTGGACAAAAGGAGCAAATCGTCCTGAAGATGAGTGTGGATAAGATAATCCACGTGATAGGGAAAGTGCCTCTTAAACCAGAGAACACAAGAGATGAGACGTTTAAACAACTATGTTTCCAAAGACAATACGGAAATTAAGCTATTGCTTTTATGGATCTCTCATGCCCCGACTTTGCATAACTCGCTGGTCTGTGCCAACATTTTCGCAGCTGTTGTCGTTTGTCTCCTTGTATCTTGAATGTACCCACGGAGTCTCTTGATTAGGAATCTCACTGTCTCAGCAGGGTCCTCATTGGGTGTTTGGTTACACGATTTAGCGCCTGCTGGTGTTGTTGAAACAAAGTTAACTGCCAAACAGTTGAGCAATAGCAAAAGCTAGTAAAATGTAAAAGGGACATCCAACAATGCATTGCAATTATTCTTTGGTTCTTTTGGTTAAGTCACGTCTAAAGATAAAACAATACGTAATCAACCGGGCTATGCGTTAATTGTATGTTGACCGACTCTCTGTGTTGCATTACATTACATTTCGATATTTTACTAGGTTATTTAATTTTAGTGTGCCTTTCTCCTAATTTTCAAGCTTGCGTACCGTACCACGTCGTCATCTTACTTGCAGCATCACGTTGTCGTCAACTCATTGATATGCTAATTTTTTCTCTGCCCCCTCCCTCTCTCCGCCGCCGCCCCCCTCTCTATATTTAAGGCCCCTTCACAGAAACGACCTCTCTCTTTGTGCCGATATGTGTTCTCTCTCTGTGTGTCCTTGTGATGTCTGTCTGCTTGTATGTCTGTCTATAGTTTTCTAGTTAGATTTTTGTTGCTATTTCTTTTATGCCTGATGATGATTGCTTGTGTTGCAATCGAAACGTCGTAATATGCTATTATTTAATTTATTATTTTATCTTTAGACGTGACTTAACCGAAAGAACCAAAGAATAATTCCTGCAGTCACGAAAGCTCCAAAATTAAGAATGCATTGCAACTTTACATTAAAGGCCCCCTAATGGTCTAGAAGTGGGAGGAACAGTGGTTAGCGCATTGCACTATAAACCCAGCAGCCTGAGTTTGATTCTAAGCCACAGCCGCCATCTGTGGCGAATTACATCTAAACTGATGCTGGGCAACCCCCCTTCACCAACCTGCGCTTCCCAGCATGGTGAAGTATGGTCACATCACCCCAATGAGCAACAAGGCATAGGGAGAGCCCTTTGTCTATCAGCCGATTGACTAAGGATTGTAATTAAATACACGTGTATACGTGCAGTCAACAGTGTTCACGAAGCCAATCAGCACATGGCCATGTAACACAACGAGTGGTTTCATTACAAATGCAAACACCTTTAATCACATGGCTGTTTATTTAGCTTAAATAGCATGAATCCACTTTAAGACCCTGTAAAGTTTACCGGAGGAATGTTCCGTCTCTGAGTCATGCTCACCAAGCTGATGCAAACACCACAGCCACTGGCGAACGCAAATATTCCACTTGGCTGAAACAAATGTGTACATGGCAAGCGAAGCGAAGATCCCCCGCGTAGCCTATAGCAGCGGACTGTTGGAGCAAGTGCTGTCAGCGAGCACCTATGGAAGCCGTCACGGCACACGACGGGGAGGGTGGCCAGCACCACGCCCGGTCGACTTTGTCTCCCCAGTGGCAATGTTTACACATCGCACCAGGTACTCATTTGAGGCTGAGTCGACCTAGGGGGCTGCCCAGGACTGGTTCAGATAATCGTCACCGGTAACCGGCCGTGGGCGGGAATTGAACTCGTGCCGCCGGGTTTGTAGCGCTGGGTGCTAACCGCAACACCTTCGCTCACCGTACACCTAATGAGACAAACACAAGTAAGCAGGGTAATGGCAGGGGTTTTGTTGGCCAAAAGGGAGCGGAGGAATTACAATAATATCTCGCACCTCCGATTATAATCGGAGGTGTGAGATATTATTAGCACAGTTGGCTACGAACGGCACGAAAGAAATTCAACATACAAAGATTCATGGTGCAGCATTTGTAATACGGACCAACACAGTGGCGGCCTACTGTTCCAAGTGGTGTCAGGATCATTAAAATCCAGATTTGCCATGAGTTGGTTTTATGTTTTGCAGCATTATAAAATAAGGGCCTATCGCTATCTAAAGATATTGTGTGCCAGTGGGGGTACACGCACACACACTCATTATGAGGCCTTGATGATGTTCTGCATCATTTCTGGGCACGGGCGATATTACAACGGCCAATCGGCTGCAATGTCTTGTGTGGCAATGTACTAGCAGAGCCAATTTCAACGCATGCCAATTGGCATTTCCTTCAGCCACCATACAATAACACGACGCATTTGGCTAAACCAATCTACATTCCCAACGGTAAAATAAATAATCGAATCTCGACCCTGACTCACGACCGTGTATGGCATTTACAATATGCTGAATCGGCAAACCCTCACGATACGCGATACGCGATACGTCTAGAGCAGTGGTTCTCAACGGGGGGTATGCGGACCCCTGGGGGTGTGTGGCGATGTCCCAGGGGGTACGCGACGTGATTTATAAAGGTGCGAGAAATTATGTCATACATGAGAGTCATGGGTGAATAATCACGTATGAATCTGCCAATAGAAAATAAGTATGATAGAATGTAAATCCATACGGTAATCTAGAACCATGTTGGGTCAGGCAAGGGGCTACTCGGTTGAAACAAAACTCAACAAGGGTTACAAGCATCCAAAAAAAGTTGAAGAACCACTGATCTCGACCGTAATTCTGCTTCACCCATCACAACCAGATACGTTACAAAGTGACGGCAGTTCCAAGCAATGGAAACAACTCCAGGAAAACGAGCTACGCGACGGACTGACGGTACCTGCTATTTAGTTTTCCTCGGCACCACAAACAACACCATGGGAATATCTGCTTAAAGGACGCGGCGTTCTCAAGCGCTCGACCGTCAGCGGGTAAAAGTTGCCCAAGCTGAGACACAATCGCCGTGAAACACCTCGGCTTTTGTCAGCGCTCGCTCGCAGCGCTGACAAAAGGGGGCGCAAACTCCTTCGGCGGCGTGGCTCTTTGCAGCTCGCGTGCGAGTGGGCGGGCGGGCGGGCGAGCGAGCGGCAACGGGTTCCACGCGGCACAGGATACCAACCGCAAACCTTCAACTTAACCGTCTTCATCACAACAATACTCAAATAACATTTGCGAACGTAAATAAGCAGTCTAGGATGGGATTTTTTTCAATGATGGCTTGTGTTTTTTTGCTTTGCGCAAACGTCTGTTCTACGTAATACGTCATTATCCGTGCTCTGCGCGTACACTCAAATGCATTCAGTCCCTTCCTTTGTAAAAGTAAACGTGTCATCTCCATTGGCATTCACTGCAATGTGTTTTCAGGTGTGGGCATGTTAAGAGTGGAGCTTCTCAGTGCGGGGTTTCTACTTGCTGGATGACCAAAATCAAGGCTGCAAATGCGAATTCATTGCGTGCGCATATCATGTTTCAAACATTGCATATCCCCCACATTGCAAGTACATGCTGACAGTATCCAAGCATATGCTGACACGACACTGACATATTAGACTATATTTATTTATTTTTAAACACATCAGACATAAATGCGTTCCGGAGAGGAACTTGAAACCAAAGTAAAACTACACAAAAGGTGACACATTCTCAGGGATCCTAAGGGCAGAGGGGAGGAGGAGAGGTAATCTAAAGCCATCAAAACAAGCACGCACTCACACTCATCTCCCCTTAGCCGAGATGCACCAGTGCTGAAGTGCTGTTGGTTGGCATCAGAATGACACACAAGGCGATTGCGCAGGTCTGCACCATGCCCAGCCACCTTTGTCTCTCCAAATACCAAATGTCAATCATGGCTGTTATCCAGGTAGCAGGGATCACAACATAGTATGCTCACCACTACAGCCACATCTCACAAAAGCTCTCACACACACACAGGCACAGAAGCAGAGTTGCCAATGCACGCAAATGTGTGCATGCACAGACAGCTGCGTGCGTGTGCGCGTGCCTTGAAGTGCGCATGAGGACATGCGCGCGCGCGGGACGGCATCGCGATAGCGCCGTGCCTTGGGGACGGCAACCGGCGCCACCGCCGCTGCCGCTCTACTACTTGGGAGCGCGCCGACTCGGGGTGCTACGCTAAACCCGGTGGCGGGTGCACAAACACAGCTGCTCTTACCTCGCTGCAACAGAGTGAAGGACGAGAGAGAAAGAAAGAAAAGAGAAAAAGGTCTGGGCGGAATTAAACACACGGCCAGGCTCGCTGTACGCAGAGAAACCACTGACAAAAAAAATTGAAGAGATCAACAACACAAATTTTGCGAATGGAAGATAATAAGCCACGTTCTTTTAAACGTACGGGTACTTGATTGAGGGTATACGTCGGGGAGGGAACACAGAACTGCTCACGACAAACGATTTTAAGTGGAAAGTTGAGTTGTTGGAAATGTGAAAATAATTGTAACAAACACATGTTCCAAGCTTTTATGTTTAACATTAACTTATATTTGCCAATTAATGTTATAGGAATTATTTTAAAATTTACGAGCTTGTATATTACAGACACATTCACTTTAGTTCTGCATCACAAATTAGCAAGTTGGTCGGTGTTTTGTAGCAATGTCAATAATCCAAATAGCTTTGTCGAATCATATGCCATACCCTCATATCACCTCCCGTCCAGCGGCACATGTGGGCACAGAGGCGAGACACTTTTGTTCCAACTATTATCGTATTATCTGATTAGTCGAGCAACATGAACCAAATCAGCTAGCCCGGTTCTAAATGTAATTATTAAAATTATAATTGCATTTGTAACACGTCATGTGGTGTCCTGGCCATGGCACCTGAGTCAGTCAGAATTTTCTGACTTCATATCACACTCCGGACACGGACTCAGGTCTTCAACCCCTCCACGGGTCTATAATTTAACTACACCTTTGTGGGCGGTTAACAGTGATTGTCTTATGGCACGACTGCGGAGAATTTACACGCGGAAAGAGAGCACGGTTTTTTTTGTAAGGCGTGCCCTTAAGCAACACATAAACAATGTGATGGCTTCAAGACAAGAAAGATTAGGAGGGGGCCAATGATATAATGGTGAGAAAGAGGAACAGCTTGCAAAGATACCGGCGACGGTTTTTGTGCCGGCTTGGCAGAGACGAATTAAAGTTTGGGTCACAGAATGAGCGAGAGGTGAGAAGGGAGCGAGTCACTCGAACCCATTCCGGTCTGCTGCAGCTTTTTTTGTGCGACCGGCCTGCATATTAAATGTGGAACTCTAATGATGCGTATTATCATCATCGTCGACATACGAGTTGGATTGGGTTGCTTGCTCGTGAAATAAGATCATTAATAAATTAGAGAAAAAGGGCGAGGGGGGGCAAAAATGAGCCCAGTCGTGTGGCATTGTTAATAGGAAACAGGTAGGCGCCCGCACTGCGCCAACAACGGCAGGGATGAAACAACCGCATTAAAAGTTGGCGATTCATGCGGTATCGCAGATAAGCAATCTCGGGTTTCTGGCGTAAGACGACACCGGGCAGGCGCGGGTTTCTATCGCTGGCCAGAGATTCCATGGATCGGCTGCGAGATATGTTGATATATAGATATCCATTACGCATCATCTCTCTCGTCGACACACCCACACGAGAGGCGCAAGTGCCCGTGGCTTGGGCATGATGGGGGCCCTCGCCTGAGGATTTAGTTACAGTTATCGTGGCAGGTGGGCATATGGTAGACACAACACTCCGTGCCATCGCAGGACCGCAGCCTTTACTGCGTAATAATAACAACAATAATAGTTAACACCGACCTTTGTGAATCCACTGTGTCGACAATAGAGGGATGTTTGACCATACTTCGCCACCATAGTCGGTGTGGGCTGGTGAAAGGGTGGAGATCCAAGATATGTCAAGATGTCAGGACATTTCTAGTTGATGGACGAAATCCGAATCAAACACAAGGCAGCCAAACAAACGTGTCTCCTGCCATGTTTACCTTACTTTGCCTCCTCATTTTGTAAAATGCGAGTGAACCACGGGAAGCTTCGGTGAAGAAGAAAGCAGCGTGCTATATGCGACAATCCCATTGACATTCACGAGCGAGCGTGTGGTGACTTGAGGCACATGTGGCCGGTGCTTTGTGTGTGATGTCACCAGTGGCGGATCCAAATGGGGAGGGGGTATGAGGCCACCGCACGGAGGTTCATATTTAGGAGAGAAAATACATTGACATCCCTGGCCTACAAGGCCAATATAGAATGACACAAAAAAACAAAGATCCCTCATATGGCCTCAACAGACTGCTGGGGCAAGTGCTGTTAGCCGGCACCTACGATGCCAGCACGGCACACGGGATTGTGGGGGTGGCCAGCACCACACCCGGTTTCCTTCGTCTCCCTTGGTGGCGATGTGTACGCACCGCACCAGGTACTCATTAAAGGTCGAGTCGACCCAGCGGACCGGTCCCAGGACCGGTTCAGATAATCGTCACCGGTGTTGGTGGCCGTGAGCGTGAATCGGGGTCGCAGGGTTCAGTGAGCTGCGCCACCGCCGCGAACCGCTGCGCCACCGCTCGCCACGATAGAATGGCAGACACGCACACTCATGCATATTGATGAGCTCATGGGTGGAGTCCAAATGCTGAAGCCTGGGACTCAACCGCCGTCTCGTGCCGCTCCAACCTCTTCCCACCTCCCACCACCCTCCCAACAAATGAACGACAGCGCAAACTCATCCAGCGCGCCACATTCATTATTTATTTTCCTCGCACGCACTGCGGACATGATCCCTGCAGCCATGGCACGTGGTTAATGTGGTTATTCGGTGTGGTGTGTCAAGCCGGTTAATGTGGTTAAGATGGCATTTTGGTGAATAAATGTTTTCAAATTCTTAAGCAATTATTCCCCCACCCCAACTGCTGTCACCCCCCCCACCCCCGATTATTATTTCTGTGTGGTCTGAAGTCAAGAATGGAGGTTTCTACGCAGCGAGCGGCCAAGAATCGCCTCGCACGAGAGAAGCGCTTCGGGTATTCACGTGATGCAAATACTTCTGCAGTCGCTTCTAGAGGCCACACCAGGCAGTGCGCACACCAGAGCATAATGCTCTGCAAGGAGTTGCTAGTTGCATGTTAAACAGACGTTAACTTTCGAAGCTGGAATAGGAAAGTTAGGATCCCGAATAAAATAGGTGTGGCGCTTTCCCCTGAGCACACGAAAGCAGCGTCATCTCATTAACAGAGACGGGGCATTGCTATATGTCCTGCACTCACTGAGACAGAGTAAGCTGTAATTATATTCGAGAGAAATTTCTCCACAGACGTGGACTCGACAAGGATTTTACATTCATAGGCCGCCTGCTTAAATGCCACGACAACTCAAAACCAGCGGTGGAATTTGGCAACCGGCTCACCGAGTGGATGCCCGCTCCGCCCGTCTGCGGTTTAACGGTCTCCCTCTTCCAGAGCGCGCGAATACCGTGCGCGGCGCGCGTTGCAAGGTTAAATTATTAATATTACTCCTGTAACAAGGCGGCTTACAGCTCATCTCAGTCATCTCAAAGCCCTGCAGGCGGTCGAGCCGAGGGGGGTCTCTTGGCGGCAGCTGCCCCCATGCGGCACTGCGCGCGTGTACGCGCAATGCGTGTATACGCAGAGTGTGTGTGTGTGTGTACGCGCAGTGTGCGGTATGCATATGCGCAGCGCGTGTAAACGCGGCGCCGGCCTGCAAACGGCCCTCGGAGCCTGCGAGCAGAGGGCGAGCGTGGACGGGCGTACCTGACGTAGAGCGAGATGGGCACGACGGTGTTGAGGATGATGATGTACGACCAGAAGGTGAGGAACCCTGAAAAGATTGCGCTGTCCACCGCGCTCTCCCACGGCAGGTACGGCTGGAAGTAGTAGCCGATGGCGCTCTCCCAGATGGTGTTTCCGAGCCCCAGGATGGACCCCATGCACACGAGGAAGCCAAAAATCTGCGCACGGTCAAAGACACACGTCGTCGTCGTCATCATCATCACGATCTATGGGCTGATGGCTCGCAGGTGTGCACATTTCCTCATTTGCTTCCATTTTCCTCTCTGCCTTGTAGTGCCAATATGCTCAAGTAGTGGCCACATCTCGCTAGCATCAATCTCTCACGTCGTCGACAAGCCATTCTCTTTCTGGCTCCTTACATTTTCTGAGTGATATACGAACCCCGACCCGCTGCTTCACCAACTAACCTGCGCTGACAGGCGAGGTCAAGTTATGGTCAAATAACTTATATGATCAACACAGTGTGGGGGAGGCCTTCAACCAGCAGTGGATAAACAAAGAGCTGTACATCGATCAATAAAATCAGTGCTGGGCGAGGACCCAATAACAACATCACCCACTCCCTAGTTTCATCCTTGCTTGCTTATCTGCTGTACTCAGCCATGGCTCTCTCGGCCCATGTGTCACGCTGACCGCAGCAGGGTCGTCGTCCCCACGTACGTGGCTTACACTCTGCCGTCTATTGCTTCAGCTTGTGAACCTGTGGTGCTACTTATTTGTATTTCATCGTCATTCCGTGCACCGCCTAAAACAGCACCGCAAGCTGCAGCTCCACGTGGTTCTTTCTTTTTTATGTTATCAGGTAAGGGTCCACCGAGCTATGTAGCTCTTTGTCAGACAAGCGACCTGGCTATTACCAATGATAGCTCAACGAAGTGGCTTATCGCGAGGAAATTTATAGAGAGAAACACAAACTCCAAATATACAGGAGCCGTCAAGATCGGGATCGAACCCACGACCCTCCGCATACCAGGCGAGGTAGTCAATATCTCCTCGCCACCGTGGCGCCCTGTTGCTCAAGAGGGAGCAGAGTGTGTGGCGGTGGCGGGTCACCGCAATAAGGAGAGGTAATTAACAGGGATGGGGGGGGGGGGGCGAAGGGGCCGGGGCATGGGAGTGAGAATTGCACGGCTACATTGCAGCAATTCTCCAGCAGAGTGCCCCCCCTTTGAATGAGACACTCCCAATAAAACGGCATTTAACCACATTGAGCCGTAAAAACGAGCTTCACAATTGAAAAGGAAACATTGAAAGGCACGCAGCCTTTTACAATGTGACGCGCACACGTGTAATGGTATTGAAACGGAATGGTGAAGAGGTTCAGGTTCCCAGCTTCGACTCGACGCAGAAGAATTGAGAGTGCTACGCCGCGGGCGCTACGACGAAAATAAAAAAACACCGAAAAACGATAACCAATCGCCGTCGTATTTGGGGCGATGGCGAATTGATGAAAAGACATCGCCGCTCGTTTCAGAAATACAAATGATCACTTGATTACCCGAGACTGGAAATCGGTTACATTATGCATGACCATCTGCCCGATGCACGCGGCACACACACACGGACAATCTGCACGTGCATTCACCACGCAGCAACGCTGGCCTTTGCGAGAGCAGTACATGGGTTAAGGACATCTTTTCATTGACGTTTGTGGAAAACGCAAAGAAATAAACAAAGGGAAGTGTGATTTCACAACACTGGCAAACGCATCTCTTGTACGTATGTACGTTGAACTTCTTTCGCAGCGTACGTAGCCAACCGTGCTAATCGTAGGTGCCCCGTCATGGACTATTTTACTAAGAAACTGCATGCAGGGAAACACTACGCACGATTAATATGCATTACATTTTGGTTTTACTCGGTTTCCGCCGCAATATTAAATAAAGATTTTTCGTCCCGTGTCAATCCACTGCGGGATGAAGGTCTCTCTATGCGGTGTCACTCATGGGGACGGTTTGACCATACTTCACTGCGCTGGCCGGTGGTAGGTTAGCTATGAGGGTTACCCCGTGCCGGTTCAGATATCGCTCGCCGCTCGCGTTAGCCACGGCTGGGAATCGAACACAAGTCGCTCGGGTTTACAGTGCACTTCGCTAAGCACTGTGCCACCGCTCCACCCATAGGCACTGCAGAACAATGTAAAAGACTATTACCAAAGATGTGCAGACATAAGGGACGGAGGGGGGGAGGAGTTGCCTCTCAAAACCTTGGGAAATCGAGGGAGGAAGCAATATGCTCTTCCTCCTCAATGAACTGCCCTCAACAACCCCCTTGGGTACCCGCGCCCTCGGCCCAATCTCAAGACCACCCCATTACCCTGCAATATGGACAGCAAAGTTAAGACGTTGCAGCCCATGTTGCACCTCAAGGTGGACTACGTAATCCTCAAACTGTCGATTGCAAGGCAGCGTCTTCGGTGGAGCATTTAGCATTTAGGGGTAACATGCTCTCAACCAGGTTTGTCAATTTCCCCTCTGTCAATAACTCTCCTTTGCCGGCCATCCGGGATCAATTCCTTCCGCTTTCTCTGCGTGTTTGGGCCCATCGCTGCCGGGATCTTGGTCTGCCACCTCCAGTGTTGTCAGCAGTGTTTGTTTTGCCACCCTCGAATGACTCGACCCACTGCCTGACATTGCTTTTTACACATGCAGGCATCTTCACACGCAGCATCCTCTCTGCCGTCAATTTCAGCAGCCTTAACACCTCTCACTGGAAATTCGATCGCCGCTTTCTGCTCAAATGATGCGTCCGCTTTGGCCAAGTTGTTTACGACTACTCTAGAGTGCCTTGTGCAAGTACAACCCTCTTGGCAATCTACTGCTGGATGAAGACCTTCGAAAAAATGGCAGCGATGAAGATGGGGACGACAGCTGATGGGCCGCTATTAACAGCGCGGGAGGATGGAGTAGCATCCCGCAGGCGTTACACCGCAAGAGCGGCGGGTGATGGCACCAGACCGTGAGAAGTGGGGGCGCTGGGTTTACGGGTTTATTATTGACACAGAACGTAAAAATGCCAAGTTAGCCAACAAGCTGTATTTGATTAGCACACTCGACTGCTAATGAGCCGCAGAAGGGTGAAACCAGTCCAGTGGTTTACCACTTTAACAAATGCTGTTGGTCTGGAAGACCAATAGACTAAAAAAAATTAATGTTTTACGGGGAGATACAGAGCAAGTAATTTATTAACTAAATTATGCAGCGCAATGTGAAATTAATGCTGCAAACAAGTAAAAGTGTATTGACATTGGAGAAAAAATATAATAATGACGAAATATCTACCCAAGCGATTACAAATAACATCTGAACGTTAGCAGAGAAGCTGCGTGGCAAAATCTTTTCAGCTCACACACACAACCGCACGAAAGGCTGCAAGGACACGATAGCCGCCGCCCCCCACACACACAAGACACTGACGCAACAGGACACGGTAACTTCAGCAACATTTCGCCCGATGCCAGTGACACGCGTTCAACGATTAACACACAAGCGACGGCAGTGACAAGGTAGAGGCCGTGTCATCATGGTGCACTTTGACCAAGGAAGAGGCTTAGAACGTCGTGTGGCTACTTCCGTCGGCTGGACGCGCGAGAAGGTGACAACCGCCGCTGCAACGAGATTCTCCGCAGGAAAAGCAAAGCGCAGAAACGTGCGTGTCATCACCCGGCAAAAGCAATTAAACTCACGCTCAATTAAGCAAGCCGCCTCGCGTGAACCGGGGACCACTTAAGCCGCGATCCCTCCTCGCAAGCACACGTGTGGTGACGTTACCAAAGTGAGAGGTCCGCCGGGGATGAATGCGTCTCTTGTGCCGTGAACTTTCTCCTGCCCCGTGGCAGTTCCCGCGATGTGAACATTTTTTTAATATTTATATAGAATAAAAATGTGTTTGCGAGCTCCCCGGCTAAAACAAATTATAAAATGTTACATGCAAATGTGAAATGTGTTCCCATCATGCGGCGGCACGGGAAAAACTGCAATGTCAGGGTGTCACAAATGAAGCCCCACTTAAGCGCTATACACTGTGGGTGTTCGTACAGTATATGTGCATGCGCGTTCCTTTCCTCAATCGACTGCTGGATGAAGACCCCTACGTGCACTCCACGTCATGGGGGTTTATTTTATCATATTTCATCATGCCGGTCAGTGAACGCAGGGAATAGAAACGTATGAATGTTGGATTTCTTTCGTGCCGTACATAGCCAACCGTGCGAATCGGAGAGACACGGAAGCATGAAAGTACAGCGCTACTCTGAATGGTGCCGCACTACCCCTCTCTACTGACCAACACGTATTTCCTGTGGCCCTAAGACAGCCTGTTTGTTATGCGTGGTGGTCACCCCCCACCCCCCTCCAAAACCACTGTCCTGGCTCCACCCTCCAGAGCGTCCCATGAGTTGTCGTCGGCTTGAAGAAGCTCCCTGCACGTGCAGAGACACTGCTAGCATCCCACCGATCCACCATGCGCGCGGCACAACCCAAAAACGCATCGGCGAGCTACGCAGCACGACCGCAATCACCCACGTGGGTACTGAAATGATGCGCTCCCAGAAGGCTATGTGACTTGGGGGTGCACCCACACCACTCAGTGTCAGTAGATCTCGTGGATCTAGTGGACTGTGGGAGCCATGGATTCGAATCGAATCTGGATTCAGATAACTGTCCTTCGTATCCCGTTTAAATACACAGAGTACTGAACGCTCTGCTGTCTCTGCCGATGAGACACTGCATGTCAAAAAACCGGTGCAGAGGTTTGCCTGTGTTGCTCGTGTGGCCGAAGGGACGTGTAGCGAAAAAACGACTCATGTCACATGGAGGGACAGATTGGTGAAGGAGGCGAATTGTCTTGCTTATTTATTTTGTTAGGCAACAGTGAGACCGCTATAATGGTTTAAGCTGATTTTCATCAGACATGTGTGACAGCAGACCTGGAATGGATATCACGATGGGTGTGAGAACACAGAGGGAACTGTCTTTCTAATGTTTGGATCGCGGCTCAAGCCAAACATGTCTTTCATCAGCTAATAGCTTTCATTGGCCCTCAATACGAGCACCCGTGGCTCCCCATATTCATAACCATTCCCACACGCACGGATATCAAGTGGCCAAGTGCCGTCCGCTGGTGACCCGTTACGCCGCACGTCCACGGAAATGCATCCTTCGGAGCTGCTACGACCAAAGCCACCAGACGTGCGCAGAAGCGCAAACATCTTTCAATCGATATTTTCGTGTAACGTGCGGAAAAAAAAGATATCCCCACCGGTTAATCAGCTGTGCGTTACACCGATTGACTTGAGTAAATTTGGTAGGCAAAGTACTCATAAAATCACCACAGCGTGCTGCCGACGTATCAATGTTCGCGAGGGTTTAGACTATCCGGTAGCACGTGACCGAGAGAGATCCCTGTATCTGCGGCCTCTCATGAAGATTTAACCGGGACGGAGACCAGCGATGGAAATCCACACCTCGTGAGAAACAGCAACACTCATTCATAATGTACGCGCTGCCATTGCGGAACTTGTTAACAGACGGTCCAAAAATAGTGGCGCATTATTGTAAAAGGCAGAAAACTTGGTACTCGTGAACTACCGACTGCCTTGTTGTTCTGTTATTATCAACGGTGGGCGAATGAGCAAATCGCTTGGAAGCTAAGCAGTGTTGAGCCTAGATAGTGCTTGGATGGGTGACCACCATGCACTAAACAGGTTGGGAGAGGCTGCTGCGGGGCTGCGTGGTGGTGGGCGGCAGTGGAAAGTGCAGCAAAATGCATCGTTCTACCGTACTTCTATACTCCCGCTTCTGTGCTTCGAAGCTGCAAGCCAGCACGGTCACCCTGCTAAGGGAACGAGCCAAACGAGCAGTGGTGAGTCCGTCTCACGCACGAACAAACACACAGTGTGGAAACACTGGGGAACTTTATACAACTTGACATATTAATTATTTTGTATTCAGATATGATAATTTTGTCCGTTACATGATACGCCAGCGTAAACTGTAATTTTGAACCAATTTCTGTAAAAAAAATTTACAAAACCGAAATACTTTCATTTAATTTCCAGCAGCAATTGTGTCACCATCTAGGAAGGGTGAACATCGCTCCCTCTCGTAACCTCTGCTTTGTTCACCACCCACGCGACGGGCTTGGGTACGAGAGCCTAAAATCCTAAAATCCTCGAGATACTCCAGCTGCTAACGCAGAGGCCGCGACCAACGCCGGGGCCGTGGAGATTCGACAAACGCTGTTGCCATGGCGACGCCTCGACGCGTCCGGGCCACTCACCCACAGCACGAGGGTGTTCATGAGGCGGTCGATGCTGGTTCTTTTTAACTTCGTCCGTCCGCTGTTCTGCATCAGCTTGGTGTCGGGGCCTGCGGGAGAGGCAACGCTGGTGAGCGTGCGATCCGTCCTCCGACGACGACAACAACAACAACAGGCAACTGGGGCGCATCCGGGTTATGTCACCGCACAGATGGAAATGTGTTTTTAACCCTTTCCCATTTCGAAATGTCTGCAAGTTGCAGGATGTGGTGGTCCCGGTCACCGCTGAATTTCGGAACGCGCGAGCAGTTCGGCATTCATTTTATTGTGAGAGACGTAGCGCCGTTGTTTTTATAACGTTGTACTCACCGCAGAGAACCATAGCGACATGGCCGCCGCACTCTAGGATAGCTGGCGCCAAACTCTGGCACACGTCCTCCCGCATGGCCTTTTACTTTCGGGAACAGGTTAAGCTGGCAGAGCCATGAGCGAGGACCTCTCGGGCCGCAGGTCTAGTGGACGTTGGCGCGCCTCTGGGGCGGCCCGTTAGGAGTGGCGGCTCTCACCTGCGAAGACCACGAGGCCGTAGCACCACTCAGTGTTGCGCAAAACGCAGCCGCGCAGCAACATTTTGTCGTTGTCCAGCGCGTACGTGTTGCCCCGCCAGTACAGCGTGCCGGTGAACCTGTCCAGCTTGTTGTTGGGCGGTTCGCAAATCACCTCGCCTGTGCGCGTGCCACACACGAGAGACAACGGTCGCGGCTCAGCGAGTCCAGCGACAACGCCGGACGAATTGTGTTCAGCTGCCTTGCTTTAGACCACGCACTCGATAACATGCACAACTGCCGTCAGCCCCAGGACGATGTTACAACCCTATCCCGGCCTCATCCTTGTTCGGTAATCATCAGTACAGCCAGTATGCGGTGTACTTTTCAGTGTGATGAATCTCACCGTTTTTTTGCAGAAAGCGATAGGATAAGAATGTCTTGCAGATGTCGTGAGGAATAAGAGGTTGCAATGGGAGAGGTGTGTCCAAGACGGAGGGGGGCAGATCACCGAGTTGGGCACTGGAGATGGCACTCGGGGTTCCGTGACCAAGGGAATGCGTAAATCCACACGGCGGCGGTGGGGAGTAAATTATTGATGGACTATAACCCACCCCAGTGCCAGAAAGGGAGAAAACAATGGCCAAGTATGGGTGGCATTAGCAGCACTGCTCATGGTGATGACCTCTTTTGATGCTGATCATGTAAATAATGTCAATACGTTTATAGCGGGACGTCTTCTGACAATAAATGCCAGAGCAATTTCCGAGAGAAGCTTTCCAACTACGAATACCAAAAGGCAACATTTATAAACAGCCAACAAGTAACAGAATAATATCGACCCAACATGGCATAGGTCACCCATAGACAGGCAGCAGTGACACAAGAGGAGGACGGATATCCACATGGTTTGGATATATATATTTTTTTAAACAGAGTTGATGACAATAGGCCCAAATGCCTAAAACGCCAAGCGGCCATTAATAGAGAGCGCTATACAAATTAAATTGGTTTCTTGAACTGAGAAACGCCATAAGAGACCTGGCGAGAGAGACGATGGGAGGGAATTTCAGAGTGCAGCTGTGCGAGGGAAGAAGCGGAAAGCGAAGCGCCGCGTGACCTGCCGCGTGGTGGCCAAACGCCCAGCGTGGAGACGAGGCGACGCTGTCCGGTCGGGGCAGGAGGTGACCGGGAAAGCGGGAGAAAACTTACCGTCAAAGTGCGCCAGCTTGTCAATGTCGTCGGCAATCTGGGAGGTCACGGGAAGAGCCTGCCGCACCTTTAAGTTCGTCTCGCTGCAAGGCGCCGATAAAACAAAGACAAACATCCCCCCTATAGCTTGTAATAGACTGTTGGGGCAAGTGCTGTTAGCGAGCAGCACCAAGGAAGGCCGGCACAGCATACAAGGGGTTGGGGAGTAGTCAACACCATGCCCGGCCGCCTTTGTCTCCCTCGTGGCGATGTTTACACATCGCACCAGGTACTCGAGGTCGAGTCGACACACACAGAGCTCGTCGTCGTCACTGTTGTCATTGTTACGCTGCTGCCTTCACTTCCCCCAACGAAAACGTGAATGCTGCTACAGCTTTGCACCTCCGATTAGCACGGTTGACTACGTAGAGCGCGAAAGAAGCTTTAAACCCTTTAATTTTCAAACAAAGACTTCTCGGCACACATCGACATTCATTGTGAACGCAGAGAGATTATTTGAGAACAGTGCACACTGCAGGCGTTTCAAAACATCAAAACTGTTCGCAACTTAATAAAAGTTCAATGTGGGCATCTTTAAAATTGCTCGTACAATGTATAACCTACGTTATTTTGTATATACTTTCTATGCGCCGAATGATAGGCCATGTTTTTATAGGTATGTGAGCATCTTTCCTCCTGAACTGACGGAGTTCGATGTTGAACAGTCGATTCAAAATAACTATACATCTTAACACCTATATACTTTTTGGTTTTTTCGGTAAAGTCAAGTAGGTAAAAAATTAAATTAAATAAAAACAACTAAATTAAATCACGACGTTTCGGGACACTTGTGTTGCGCCCGAAACGTCGTGATTTAATTTAGTTGTTTTAATTTATTTTATTTTTTACCTGCGTGACTTTACCGAAAAAACCAAAGAGTATAAATCCTTGCAGTCACGAAAGCTGAATCAGAATCTTAACACCTCCGACTTACTCTTGGGCAATAAACCAAAACATTTTTACGCAGCAAATTAACAAGACACTCGGGATTTTTACCCGCATTCAGCTGCTTTTGCCAGTTTATAACCCTCGATAAAGATGATCTACGACTGCGCATTTCTATAAAGTATGTATGCAAAGCGGCTTTTACCAGCTCGCGTTTCTGAAGGCGGTGCGTGCGTGCGTGGTCTGCTTCGACAGTGTCGAGCATCGCGTGGCAGAGGACGTGCTTGAGAAGCAGGAGGGCCCCGTTACTGGAGCCCTCAAGGGCAACTTACCCATCAAGCTCCGCCGTCTCGATGTAGCACAGGCTGTGGGGTTCGCTGCTGGACAGCAGCATGAGGTCGGCCTGCGAGACACGTCACGCACTCCGGTAAAGCCACGGAGAGAAAATGCCGAATTTGAGACGGGCGCTTTTTGCACGAGCGGCAAAAGCTGCTTGGGAGAAACGTCGTCAGCGCGGCGGTCCACTCTACTCGCTCGCGGCCACGAGCATTGCAACGGCGTCAACGTGGCTGACTGTCCATGGGAAGGAATTCCACCTCGAGGATCTACTAAGTTAAACAACCGTTCATTTGTTTACTGAAGAGACAAATACCAAAGTGCCCCAATGCTTTTTTTCGTTTTGCTCTGTCAAGCGATGGGTCCCTGTATCTCCATTTTGGGTTCTGACCCGGTGGTGTATAATCAATGTTTCTGTCTCTCACACAGCACAACCAATGTCCACCTTCAACATCTAGTGCTGATCAGCTGCTACTGATCTTAATCGGATGACAGTGATGCGCTGGGTCAGCGCGGAACTGAATTTGAACTCATGACCAGGGCTATCAGGTCCTAATATGGACATGATTTTTTACCTTTTTTTAAATGTATTAATTACAAATTAAATGTATGGGCCACAAGACAAGTCCCGTTAGTCCAAAGCCTGAAAAGTGATTTTTTTTTTTAATCCGACAATACACCTTCACAAATCTGTCCCACATTAATAGAATTTTTTTTTTTACACATCCCTCAGCCACCACAGCCTTCTGGGAGTTCACAATTTTTGCAGCATTGGATCAACACAAGCAAACTCTGGACCGGGTTTTGACATTCAGTGTCTCATTGAATGTCAGCAGAGCATTCAGTACTCTGTGTATTTAAACGGGTATATGAAGGACGGTTATCTGAATCCAGATTTGATCAAAATCCATGGCTCAAAGTCCACCGGCTCTACCAACACGGTGCGTGTGCAGCCCCATTCACACTGTAAATGGAGGAAGAGGAGGGGGGTGGAGGGGTAGTGACAAGGTGGGAGCCACAGGGAATAGCAAGAGAGAGCGCGAGAGATGCCATGGGAGAAGTGAAAGGGAGAGTGGCGATGGCAACAGCTGCCTGTGCTGTTATGGTGGGATCTACATGCGTAGGGGTGTATGTACGTGTGTATGTATGTATGTGTGTACGTCCCACGCTGTGATGCTGTGAATCGCGCTTCGCACCTCCTTGGCACGGCACGTTGTCAGTCAGCCGCTCAGTGTGGTGTCTTCTCCCTAACACTTAAGGCTCTGAAGCCCCCCCATAGTACATTTTTGGGTCTGGAGAATCCCCATCACACCGTAGCAAAACATAACAAATCTGTGACCTGACCGTGGGGATCAGGGATTCGACCCACTTTCTTCCATTTTGTTAAGATAACAGGAGCGGTGCTGTGAGTGACCTTTTTTGATGGCGTTAAATATTATTTTGTGATCGCGAGCAGCCGGCCGAGGAACTTTCCAGGTCCTCACTAACCCGTAAACGCCACTAGGCCTTACAATGCCAAACAGTTCTCCTGACCTTCGAGTGAAGGTTGGGGTGGGGGGTAAGCCTTCTCCTTGGGGGTGATTATTTGCAGCTGATGTGAACAGACTTTGCCTCCTCTCCCCTCAGATAGATGACACGCACGCACACCTCTGTGAGCCAGCGTTTCTGGGAGGGTTCTGCATCTGTGGCCCGTTGCAGCTGCTTTGGCCACCGTTTCAGGCCATAGCCCTGAACCAATCTCCCCACCCACCCACCCACCCCCCAAGCGAGAGGCGTAAGAAACAATCTGGTGGGAAGCAGAGCGGGCGAGTTTGCGAGCGAACATCTACGCGCAGTGCAAGGCTGCCAATGTGCCGGTGAGCAGGTGCATGCGCGTGTGTGCGCGTGTGTGCGCGTGTGTGTGCGTGTGGGCGTCTGTGAATGTGTGTGGGGAGCATTAGTATAGCGGTTAGCGTGCTACTCTACGAACCCAGTGACCCGAGTTCGATTCCCGCTCACGGCCAACACCAGCCGACTCGGCGTCAAAATGAGTACCTGGTGCGGTATGTAAATATTGCCGCTGGGGAGACAAAGGTGGCCGGGCGTGGTGCTGGCCACCCAACCCCTCGTGTGCTGTGCCGGCGTTCATAGGTGCTCATCGCTAACAGCACTTGCCCCAACAGTCCGGGGATCTTTGTGTGCGTGTGTGCGCGCGTGTTCATCAAGCGCTGTGCCAAGAACACATGCGCCGGGGCGAGGTGAACAGGGGGATGCCCGGTTGGGCGAGTGACGCATTTCTCACGGCAACAAATTGGTTGTTCTCCATTTTGATGATGTCCCCAACGCGCACGTTCATCCATTTTTCATTCTGCAGTCTTCCGGACCAAAAACGGAAAATGATCAAATACACAAAAAAAAAAACCCTTGGGGTAAATGGAACACATAAAGAAAATAACACTTGGTGAAGATTTACTTTTTTTTCCCTTTTCCACCAACCGCACATGTGTTACGACCCCGTTTACATTTCATAGCCTCGAGAGAAATAAACACGGCACCTGATTTGTTTGTTTGCGGAAGTCTCATTTTGTACCGGGATGTTGGGTGAAAATCAGCGAAATTGATGGAAAGTGCATTCCAGGAAACATAGCAGCCTCGACACTGCGGATGTTTTCCAATCTGTAGCAACCTACCGTGAAGCTACACCTGCTGCTACCGGCTACCCAGAACGGAAAATCGTCGTCCATGTGCTGCATAAATCTATTATGCGCATATACACTGTGTGTTTCGTATATATTGGATTTATTACAGGGCGGATAGAAATAAACTATTTCCATTTCCCTTCACGAGCATTGTTATCACAACTTGTAAAATAGAGGGGCTACAGCAGACTTCCCTCCTACACACTGCAATGATAACCAACGTCAACAATGAAGGTGCGCTATGATTATCACACCAAGATAATTCCCATATCCTTACACTCCTCGTGACCAAGTGCTCCCACAAAGCAGGTGTGTGCGTGTGTATACACTTCACGTGGCCTCAACGTGCACATAGCCTGGCACAAGCGCCGTGGCGACGTCACCGCCACTTAGTGGCAAATGGCGGTTGTTATTATACATACAGGGCTGCCCAAACGTTAGTAGTAGTAACGACACATTTATATATTTTTATGGCTTAATGACACATTTATTTATTAACGCGATCTAACCCAAAAAAAACTATTGTGGAGTAGTAGTTTATTTTGAATTGTCCTGTGAGCTAAGAGGCTCTTCAATTGTGTTTCATCAACAAACGACAACAACAACGCCACCGCCGCTTCTCCGACACTCGGGACAAGTCACAGTGAAATCAATTAATGATGAACTGTAACAGATAAGCGAAATAAAAAAAATTGATCGCAAATCATTATCGCAATATAAAAATGTAACTTTTTAAAGCAATAACAAGTTAAATATAGCTTATTATCAAATAGCGCGCTGTACAACATAGGGTTATTTAATTTATTTTAACAAACGTTCAAACTGACTTTCATTAACATTAATGAAATGCATGAATTCTCCTTTGAATTGAAATGAGGACTTTTTTTTAAGATTACAGCTCTGTGCGTGATCTTTGAACACTCATCAAATGGTGTTTCATCTCAAGCCATGCATGGTTGGTTCTTGGTCGAGTTTTGCCAACAATTGATTGTAGGCGACTTCACAGGAAGAAGATGAAGAAAATTTGAAAATAATAGATACAATAATCAAATAAAGAATTAACAATTAAAATGTTTTAATGCCAGTGTTTAAATAAATTAAATAACCCTGTGTGTCCTGACTTTTGGGCCATATATATGTACGTATGTTGAGCTGCTTTCGCACTGTACGTAGCCAACCGTGATAATCGGAGGTGCGGGGGAAGAACAACAAACTAAACCCTGTATATGTATATATATATAAAATGTAGAGGGAAATAGCATTTGCCTCCACCCTCACACCTCCCAAACGGCCACGGCAACGCTCGACCACCCTGCAGGTTCGACAAAAAGGCCACACACGCACATCAGCAACATTCACAAAGGCCAAAAAAGTGACCGAAGCAAAGGGCAGAGAGTGGTGGTGGTGGTGGTGGACTTACTTTCCGTTGATGTGAACCTGAGACTGTCTGTTGTTGACCTGGTTGTCACTCCTGTGACGGAACTGAAAGCAAAAACGAGGAACACAACATCAACGGATCAAGAGAAGCGTAACAACCGCAGCATTTCCGAGTGGATGGAGACCGCTGAAAACGAAGCGTTAAATGTCCCTCGTGGTACGAACATGGCAATACAACACCTCTCACTTGTGGCCCTCTTATCTGCAAACTCCCATTATCCGGATTGGCCTTTAGTATTGTTCGCAATTTGTCGGGTTACACGACACTTACGGAGGGAACTGTGGACCACAAGGTTGCGATTAGCGAGCCTTCTATGAGGAGATAAGAGGAGAAGTCTGCGGCTTTACACGGCAAGCGATGGGCTGGCTTTGATGAAACTGCGTCAACTTCGAATAAAAATTTGCGCCTGTTGAAGCGAAAGTCACTTGGTCGACGAATGTTAAGGGTTTTAACAACAACAACACTTTTTGTCTTGCATCTGAAATCACTCATCCGCAGCACACACCACTTGTCACCACGTCAAATGTTTTTCCCCTCCCAAGGTGAATGTTAACGATGGAACACACGCGGAAGTCGTGGCAAGGCAGGTCTGGTTAATATATGGGGTGTGGGGGTGAGATCCAACTATTTTATTTCATAAGTTGCCCCATCTCCCATGAAGACTGGCAACTTGGATGCAGGAAGGTGTTGGCGCAAAATGTGAAAAAAATGTTGGTAAATAAATGGAACGTTGGTCAAACTACCAGGCTACTCCCTCCTATACTAAAGGCTTCAAACAGTGACTGAAATGCAGATTCTATGAGCCTTGGGTGCAACACGTGATTTGAAATGTTCCACTGCATACCACAGGACAAGGATGGTAACTGGTACAAAAGGGCAAAGGTTACGGAGGTTAACCAAGCTGATCTGTTTAATGTGCCCTCCACAAAGTTCCTTCATGAATATAAAACATCTGCAATTATATGGTAATTGATTTAACTTAATTAGATTGCAAATTACATTTGCAATCTGCGTCATTGCAGCATGGGCTTGTCTTAACGAGATGCATTCCTCGAGCGGTGGCAGTTGAAACTTCTTAACTTCAAATTTGGTCAATAATGCAATAACCTCATCGACTTCATAATCAACATCATTGTTGTTAGCATTAAGCAAAACTATATTTGGTAGTTTATTGACGTTGTAATTGCAAGCGCATCGTTACATAACCTAAATCGTGTTGGACAGGAACGGTTACCGTATTCTCCGTTATACAAGGCGCACTTTTTTTATCCTTTCGTAACTTTAACGGAGCGCCGGGAGCAAGTTTGGGTTGCCTCTTACTTTTCAGAGAGCACCTCATAGTCCAGAGAACACGGTACCTCATGCTGTTAGAGAGGGGTCCCGCCGAGGGAGGGGCACTCGTGCGAGGAGTCCAAACGGTACTCACCAGAATGGGACATTTTTGCCAGTGTCAAAGGATGAAAAAATAAGAATAGGGTTTTACACTTTCTGGCAATAAAAGGGGAGGTGTTAAGATGTTCAAACACCAAATAGAAACCTTTTGCAAGGAATCATGTACTGCATTAACCACAATTCTACTTGTCGTGAACATGCAAACAAGCATGCTCTGATAACATATTTGCAATGTCTTTGAAGCTGAGCGGCCTACACCAGAGATAGCCTTCTTTAGGGCCTAATCTCACCAGTGTCAGACCAGGGTAAAACCGCTTCTCATATTTTTTGTTGGTACTCACCAGGTCGTCGGAGGCATCCTTGACAGCGGTGATGGTCAACACCAACACCAAAGGCACGATGGTGGTAAACCAAGACAGGGATGAAATCTGAGGAATCAGCTATCAGAACAGAAGGGGGGGGGGGGCACAAAAAAACACACACACACACAAGGGGTGGGGGAAAAAAACCCAGAATCACTTCCTGCTCATTTCAACTGAGCCAAAGGCAACGCCGCCCACTGTGGGCTGTGACGGTTCGGGTGATATTGTTACCGTTTGCTTCACTTCACTTTTGAGCACCGTTACATTTTGCTGTGTTCCGGAAAGATTTTTCACGGGCAATTTGTAGATGCCAAATACATTAAGGCAATAAAATCTCAATTAGCCAAACTAACAGCAATTGGCTGTGCAGATTCAAATTAATTGAAAAACCCTAGTGACCAGTTTGGCTGACTGCTTCATTAATAATGCAATGAACAACTTGGCTTGATTGATAATTAAACACGTGTAGGCACAAAGCTCTCGCGGCACCCTGCATGAATGAAGTCCAAAGCTCCATTTACTCTCCGGAGATTACAAGCAATGAATGACACGGACATGGATTTGTAAGTTCTGGGTGAAAATTTGGCCCGAGCTAGCCTAATATTCCTTGCAGCTCCGGCTAAATATCGCTCCGAGAACACGAAAAAGAAAATCTGAGCAATTGTTCAGAAAACGTTTGGCGCGAAGGTGATGTAGGTGGAGGGGTCACGAGGGTGGGATTCCTGCAGCCTGTCTGTAATAATTAAACACTAATTAAGTATCATGAACTTCAGTGGCCACCCTGCACTCAAACCCAAGCTCGCTTTTGTTCTGAGCCCAAACGACCCCATGTTTATCGTGCAAACAATTATTCGTAGGCATAACAAAAATTACGCTATTTTGTCACGGAGAATAACCTGTGGTCAAAATGCAAATGTACAAGTCCTGGCATGAAACCAGTTTCCCCTGCGCGAAAACATCGTGGTACGGGAATAGCAAACCATTGTGACAAGTTCGCGCCCCTCCAATGAGCAGGGTGGACTACGTAGGGCGATAAAGAAGTTCAACGCACGCACGTACACACGCGTGCGTACGTGCGTACACACGCGTGGCGTGCCGAGACGTGCTAACGTGGCGTAACTTCGTACACCGTCACAATTGGGTGTGACAGTTGAATTATACATTATGGTACTTTAAAGTCCATAAAAGGTTTTTTTGGGATAGATCGCATCAATATAAATGTGTCGTTAAACCTGCCACCACCCAACACAGCCAATTAGTAAGGTTTGTCACGTAAACAAAACACGCCAATTCGTTACTTGTACAACACACATTTATATTTACGTGAGCCAACCCAAAAGCCTCTACTATGGATCATATTACTATGTGTGAAACTTAAAGTCGGTTAATAAACTCGTGGAAATTAATCTGACGAGTTCACAATGAATTTTGGCGATCCCAAAAAAAAAAACCCCGCAAGCCAATATGGCTCGAGGTTTACCTCTGTCACTCGTCGTGAAAACACACCGGGCGTAAACACTCCTGCACAAGGCAATGAACATTCCACTGTTTAATGAGCACATGGAAAATGTTTAAAAATTGAGTCTCAACGCACATTGTTCCCTTTGCCCACTAAAGCTCGGCTCGGCAAGCAAATGTAAGTTTCATACATGTATAATTTAGACCGACAAGTCCCGGTGGGTTAAGGAAAATGAGAACACTTTCCTGCGAGCCGTTACAAAGAGATAGTACAAAGAAACCACCGGCAGTTGTCTTGTCACGCAGGAGGCCGGGTTAAAATTGCACTTATCCCGTGACAAGTGTCCACTGTGGTACGCGCCCCCTTCCTCAACAAAGGAGGTGTTGTTGATTCACAAAAGACAAGGATCCGCCATATAGCATTACCAGAGTGCGGGGCAAGTGCTGTTAGCGAGCACTTATGAAGGCCGGAACGGCACACGAGGGGGTGGGTGGCCAACATCACGCCTGACTGCCTGTCTCCCTAGTGGTAATGCTTTTACACATCGCACAAGGTACTAATTTGAGACTGAGTCGACCTAGAGGAGGCCCAGGTACCAATTCAGATAATCGTCACCGGTGTTGGCTGCGAGCGGAAATTGAACCCGGGCCGCCGGGTTCATAGCGCAGCACGCTAACCGCTACACCACCAACTCAAACACACACACACGTGTTATGAGGTGACCTCCTCTCTGCCAAATACGAAACCCCCGTCGACTGCAACCACAGCGAGTGCTGCCTACCGCGAATGATACACGCACGAGTGAAAAATGTTCGTACCAGAAATCCACCAACGGTTTGCAAAACAAATCCACCTGCAGAGTCTGACACATGGATTTGCGTGCCTAAAATCAAAGGTCCATTGCGGCTTCTCAAACTTCATGGCAGTAAAGCAAGCACGCACTGAAGAGCAGCAAGCACGCTTCCACAGCGTTCACAATCCTTTGCTCTGACATCGCTCAAGGGCTCATTCTTGCTACGTACGTAGTTAAAAGGTTTACGCATGTAATCATCGTCAGCCACGCGATATCCACTGCTGGATGAAGGCCTGCACAATTCGTCACCATCCCTCACAATCACGGAGATGGACAAACGACAGCAGCTTGCGTGAAGGTGCTGGATGGATTATTACGTCACGCAACTGTGAGTATTATATGTGTGTATGTTTAACTTATTTCGCACCGTACGTAGCCAACCATGCGAACCGGAGGTGCAGGGGAAGGACAACTAAACACAAAAAGCAGTTCTAGAGAAATGGATTTTCAATCCAGATTTAAAAGTGCATAACTCCAGTGGCTTCCTGTGGTCAAAATGCCTCCACGCCGCCATCATCAGACATGGTGGCGGCTTGGGGAGGCCTTCATCCAGCAGTGGATTAATCACGGCTGATGATGATCATGATGACGATGTAGACGAGGCAGGAGGAGCTATACTATTACTCTTTACTATTTTTATTTCACCAGGTAAGGCCCACTGAGCTATATAGCTCTTTTTCAGAAGTAACCTGGCCACAAATGATAGCTCAATGAAATAGCTTATCATGTGAAAATTTATAGCAGCCAAATACTCTAAACCCATAATTGTAAACGTGGAGTGAAAAAACGGATGACCGAGAGAAAAATCCACGCGACCACGGGGAGAGAGAGAGAGACATGCAAACTCCAAATATGCACAGCAGGCGTCAGGGTCGGGATCGAACCCATGACCTTCCGTATACCAGGCGGATATGGCAGGGTTCAGAGCAGGTGGACAGGGTGTGTTGTACACAGGGCACAGATCAGCGTGACCGAGCTGGGAAAGTGCAGGGGATGTTCCGGACAGCGTCGGGAAAACTCAGCGTGTGTATCCCTCACCCGCCCCCTCCGCTCCCCACTAACACGCAGCAAAAAAAAAACAACTTCACACACGCGTGGTTGATCATTATAGGAGCATCTGCTCAATTCCACTGCTTATCAGCGTGCGTCACCACAGAAGTGATTGAAAAGAACCTCACCTGCAGGATGAGCAAGAACAGGAAGTAGGCATTGGCCACTCTTTGGAACTGCTCAAACAGATTGACGGGCAGGAAGGTCACCACATTGTACTTGGAGGTCTTTATCCGGTTGGTCTGGGAGGTGCAAAAAAGGGCAGAGGGTAGATGTTACAATCATAAAAAGACTCGCACAGCAGGAGCAGCCCACTCGGCGACTTGGCAGCAGAGCACGCAGACGCCCTGTCACAGTGAGGCAGCTGCTTGAGGCGCGCGCCGAACGGGAACGCCGAGGTACTGCAGAGCACTCGATGTTACTTCACGTGAATAGTTGTTCACACTGGATATCGCAACGATAGCAAAACTCCTCTCACCTTCGACCCCATCCACCTCGACTCCTATATTCTTGTGATCCACATTCATCCACTGGAAATTGAATCACAGGGCAACCGATGGCAATTCCCCTACAAAGAGTGGTACGAATTTTATCAACCCCCAAAAGGATGATGGGCCCGAGTCAACCCCCAACTCAGCATATGAACTCCTTCAAACTGCGAGTCGCTAACTCTATCACCCAGCCACCTGGAAATTAAAATAAAATCAGTTCTTGTATCTTCGTCTAGTCGAACGCTGCATTTGCCAGAATCTTCCTTTAACCAACAGATGGCGGCAATCAGCATGGGGAAATGCCACGAGTCATGTTCTAGTGGGGTGCGTCGCCCGTCTTGATGCGCAAACTCCGGCAAACTGCGCTCACTTCAGTTGGCGGTCGACGTTCGAAGTGAGGACTGCGACCCCCCTCAAAAGGAATGACGCCGCCCCTGTGGCCACCCCCCCCCCTCCCGACCCCTGACCCCCCCCGCCCACCATGATCCGTGGATCAAACAAGTCGCTCGAGACACCGGTGTACGGCAGCAAGAGCAGTGTACGCGAACGCTGTCGCAAGAGGTCACACGAGATCACACGACGTTAGGAGCAACGGTCCTTTGCTGACCAGGCTTGACGAATGAATTAAATGATGCTGGCACGTTACTGGGTACGGACTCTGAACATGAACCTCCGGTCTCTCCGCTGCCACTCGGACGGCCTGTCGTCCCTGTGCTGCCGATCGGCATGCGGACCGTCGCAGCGCAGGTTCCGCGCGGTTCACGCTTAGACAGGGGTGCACTCCCACCTGCCCTGCGGATGAAACCTGGGCGGGGGGGGGGGGGGTCTAGGGTGGCTCGACACCGAAGTGTGGGGGCTGCCACCACCACCACTGCCACCACTGCCCGCCATCAAACTCGGCCCTCTATCCTTGCCTGCGTGGTGCGTCAGGGCAGCTCGCAAGCACGGCGGTCAGAAAAATCTTTAGAGACAAAAAAGGTCTTTGTCAGAGGCGTTACGGGCCGCGATTTGTCGTTATCTTACAATTTGGCAGGGATCCAAACAACGTACAACATTACGCTCGCTCTCCCCCTCTGTAGACGGAATGCTAACAGGCACTCTTCTCTAAGCAGATGGCACAGCACTCGATCTTAAATATTGTTCATAACCACAAACTTCAACAGTTCTTTAGTTAACCCTTTGGAAGTTGCATCAAAACGACTGCTAATATAAGACTTTCAATTCGATCAATACTCTCCATTAGCATGCCCATCTACTAGCTGCACGAACGAAATTAAATTAAATGTGTATGGCAATTGTTAATTTACCAATGTAAAAAATGTAACTGTACTCCTACATGTACTCATAATGTTTAGAAGATGTGAAATTCTAAGTTCTATCCATAAAGTGAGTGAAGCGAACTTAATGAGTGCTAAGTAACAAGAAATGCTTCTGTTTAAAAAACGTGATTTAAAGAAAAATATATATGCAGTGAAAAATCCTATCATTCTAATAAACGCTGAACATCCCGGTTATCTACTGACACTTTCACACAACACGTCCTTTCCAACAAGATAAATAGATTTAAATTGTTAAGGTATTAAGCGTAATTTTTATTTGATCGTGGGATCATGAGGTTTAATTTAGGGATTGGGGTAAACTGGAGCCTTCGACCACCCAATGTGAGGGGTTGCATCATTTAGTTAGACAAGGGACACGAGGTAAAGACAGACACAGAAAGAGACAGGGAGAGAGAGAGACACAGACAGAGTGAGAGACACGCAGAAAGACAGACAGAGAGAGAGATGGAGAGACACACAGAAGCACACAAAGCAAGGTACGGGAGGGAAAGCGATGCAGGAAACGTCAGATGTGGATATATAGTGACAGACAGACATATGTACACAGAGAGAGAGATAAATATACGAGAATGGATAGCAGACAGAGTTAGGGCCACAGAGAGATTGATATTCACGGTCACGCACAAAATAATATGGACAGGGCAAAGAGAAATGTAGAGACACACACGAGAACAGAGCACAATGAGGCACACAAACTGGTACCGTATTCCCTCGGTATTCACGGACTGGCTTATTCGCGATTCGCAACTGGAACTTTACACAACACCACTGGGAGAGAGAAAAAGAAAGGGATGAGATGAAGAGATGGAAGAGAATGTGATGCGAGAAAGTGATGAGATAACGTTACGAGAGATAAAGTGATGCGGTAAGGCACGTTAATTTATAAACTATAATTTAATACTTTAATATCTCTTTGTATTGACTTCATGTTTATTATAATACATTTTCATGCATTAAATAGCTTATTTACGTATTTAAGGTAATTAATTACAAAGATAGGATTTTGTAACCCATTATCATTATCCGCGAAATTGGCTCTTCACGAGCGTCTCAGGAACGTGTCCCTCGTCGCGAATAACGAGGGAATGCCGGATACAACGGGAGACACAGATGCCGAGACGGGACACAGCGACCGAGGCCGAGAGAGAGGAACCAAGACGGGGGGAGCGAACCGCAGAGGCCGGACGCGAGAGAAGCGAAAGGGACGATGCAGAAAGACGACGAGGTGTCGTCAGATGCCTCCGAGTGTCGTGCACAATTATATTGCAACAATGTCAACCAGTTTAAACAAAAAAAATCATAAAATCATCGATTCTTAAAATGTATTTATAAAATAATTATGTTTTTGCTGAGTGTCTACTGCTGCTGTTTTCTGTACAGCACTTCGAGATTCTTGATGAAAAGTGATATATACATGGAAATATTATTATTAATATTAATGTTCCATTAGTTTGAAAATGGATAGCAGATAGAGTTAGAGCCACAGAGAGATTGATATTAATAATGTTTCCATTATTATTAATAAGAGGGGTGGGGAAATGTCTTTAAATGTATAACGTCAACGACCTGCCACATTGCTAGACAATTCTACCTTAATAGGTGCTTAATTAATCCCAAGCACACTCGTCTGCACGGAGACCAAGAGATGGCAGTAAAGCAAGTGGGATCATGAACCTGTCTGTGTGGCTTTCCCCAGACACTCGGGTTCCCTCGCACACGCCAGCTCACGTCCACACCGGCTCAATTTTCCCCACAAAAAGTAAATGGCTCCGCAAGCTCTACTTTGTTAATAAGTTATTGTGCATTGGACCCTGATTAAAGCACAGGAAAGGGGCGCCGACTTGCATGCATAGATAAGTAGGAACAATGCCAAACGTTGCGGTCGGAAGTGAGTTTTGTGTGCACGCGTGCGTGAGTTAATTTCAAGGAACTTAATGCTAGAGAGAGAGAGGGAACCGTGTCCCAGCGGAGGGTGCCGGGGTGTGCGTGCGATCGCCGTTATTTCTCAACGGCAAGCGCCGCTGCCGCAGTTGCATATTGTGGAATCATTGGACAAATGTGTGAACAAGGAATTGGTGTATGATAATTCACACATTTTTTTCCATATACTAATAAAATGCGAAACTGTCACCAAAGGTTATATTGCCTTTCATAAGACACTTAAGTAAGATAAATATAAACAAACAGTGCTTGCGATGACTCATTAGGATAACACTCAGCCTTTTTTTTATTCAACTGTTGCTCCAGTTTTAGAATAACTTGTGAAGCGCAATGTTCCATAACGATGTTTGTTTACGCAAACACACTATTTAGCCCCTACAAAAGAACGCCGCTGCCCAGCCCAAAGAATCACAACCCCGAAGCACCTGGGTCACGCAGGCCAGCGGCGGCAGATAAAATACAAACGCGTGCAGTCGATACGTTTCAACCACTCCGAAGCTGTCATTTATGTATTAAACGTGACACTAATCTAGAGCTGCTCTGTTGTCACATTCACTCGACGAATTGAGAACGTGCGACGTGTCGAGTGACTTGGCAGACTTAAGCGCGTAAACATGGGGTGGTGTTTCAAAGGCGTAATATGTAAAACGTTCAGATGTTGCATTCGCCTGCACAAAAAGCAAATAAGCGGGTGGCTGCGTAAATGGGATTGGTTACCGTCAAACTGGCAACAACAACTGGAAAAATGTCAAGGAGCACACTTGTCGGTCACTTGCATTGAACATCGTTCGTTATTCTCCTCCCTCGTATGCAACAGTGGCTTCATGCTGCTGAGGGCCAAACAGCCAGAAAACGTTGAAACCGTCCACCGAATGTCCGTCTTGAGCCAAATTCCCTCCGCACATTCCCATCGCCAGAGCGAGGGAGCGCACACGGGGCGTGCCGCCGCCGCATGTCCGAGCAAGCTCGGCCGCCTCCGCTTAAACAAACGCCGGCCAATATCCTCCTGGCCACGCGCCAACCCGCACGCATCCCGAGCATCTGCGTTATGGCACAGAAAGTAAAACTAAACGGTGACGGTGAGCGAGCGAGCAAGCGAGCGAGCGCGCGTGTGCGTGCAAGCTACGCTTTCAAGGTTTCTCCATCAAAGGCCACAATGCCGAGAAAGAAAACGACCGCCTGTGTGCCGAGAGGAGACGTGCAGTGCCTAGCAGATACGCACAGTGCCTAGCGGATACACACAGTGCCTAGCAGATACGCACAGTGCCTAGCAGATACGCGCAGTGCCTAGCAGATACGTGCAGTGCCTAGCAGATACGCACAGTGCCTAGCAGATACGCGCAGTGCCTAGCGGATACGCACAGTGCCTAGCAAATACGCACAGTGCCTAGCAGATACGCACAGTGCCTAGCAGATACGCACAGTGCCTAGCAGATACGCACAGTGCCTAGCAGATACGCGCAGTGCCTAGCAGATACGCACAGTGCCTAGCAGATACGCGCAGTGCCTAGCGGATACGCACAGTGCCTAGCGGATACGCACAGTGCCTAGCAGATACGCACAGTGCCTAGCAGATACGCGCAGTGCCTAGCGGATACGCACAGTGCCTAGCGGATACGCACAGTGCCTAGCGGATACGCACAGTGCCTAGCGGATACGCACAGTGCCTAGCGGATACGCACAGTGCCTAGCAGATACGCACAGTGCCTAGCGGATACGCACAGTGCCTAGCGGATACGCACAGTGCCTAGCGGATACACACAGTGCCTAGCGGATACGCACAGTGCCTAGCGGATATGCGCAGTGCCTAGCGGATACGCACAGTGCCGAGCGGATACGCAGTGCCGAGCGGATACGCACAGTGCCTAGTGGATACGCACAGTGCCTAGCGGATACGCACAGTGCCTAGCAGATACGCACAGTGCCTAGCAGATACGCACAGTGCCGAGCGGATACGCACAGTGCCGAGCGGATACGCGCAGTGCCTAGCAGATACGCACAGTGCCTAGCAGATACGCGCAGTGCCTAGCAGATACGCGCAGTGCCTAGCAGATACGCACAGTTCCTAGCAGATACGCACAGTTCCTAGCGGATACACACAGTGCCTAGCGGATACGCGCCGACGATGAATGGACATCATAATGGTACGGTATTAAAAAAAGTTTCCTGGAATTTCACAGGGCTTGACCTCTTACACGTGCAGAAAACAGAGATCAACACACCTATTGTGCACACACTGGCGGAGACAGTGTGGGGGGGGGGGGGGTGGCACGTGCCCTCCCCAATGATCCAATCCAAACCCCCAGTGATTCAATCGAAATCCCGAATTTCAACCGGATCATTTGAGTTTATTAGTAATAAATCGTCAATTTGCGACCCCCACTGCCACTGTGTAGCATATTATTACGTGCCAGGAACTCTATGAGATGATAGGACAATAGTCTGAGTCCATAATTGGCAATAAGTAACGGCAAAGCAGTATGAGTGACTCGCAGAATTGTGCGCAGTTGCGTATACAGTCCACGACTTCCCTGAAGGCATTCACCTTCAGCGAGCGCGATGCCGATCACACAACGCAGTTCGAATTCGACCCTCGATCGATGGCTGCGCCATCGCCGCACACGCGTCGAATAAAAAGCAAGGGACAAGTCCTTACTTACTAATAACTCCTCTATCATTTTTCATTGCTGGAGGGGTTGCTCCCTCTACCTGAAAATCCTGGCTCCGCCAGTGTGCACAGCTCATCTGGTTTCTAATATGCGAGTTCACATCCACGGAGCCCTGCTCACTACCACGGGTTTAATTAAACCATCGCATCGAGCCCATTGTCAACCTACAGCGTGCTTAAGCATGCCCCTGAATTCTGAAGAGGTGCAACAATTAAGTGAGACCACCTGCCCCCTTGACAATCTCCGGAAAGACTATACATTTCCTTAAAATAAACTCATCGTATTTCAGCGAGACTGATCTCTCCACCATGCCGAACATCGAACCCACCGCTCTACCGATTGGCGCTCTATGAACACCACGACTCCAACCTCTCTTAACCTACCCTATTTATTTATTTAAGACTCTTCTTTAAATAGAGAAATAATCTACCACACGAACAGAGAAAGCGGCTCGGCAGTGCGAACAGTCAGGAGCAGAGAGCTCCAGACCGCATGGGCAGCAAAGGAGAAGGGGGCGACCTCCTATAGAACAGAGACCTTGGTTGCCAGAGCAGAGGGCAGTGGAGATGAAGGGTGAGAGTCAGGTGCGGGTAAGCCTATTGATCGTGCATTATAATAAATGGAGGGGCCTGAGAATGTTGAATTGTTTGTGGGTGTGGCCAAGGACCCGGGGTGCTGAGGTTGGAGGCGAGCGGGTTAGGGGAGGGCCGCAGATGAGAACGTTACGCAAGTCCACGGGCCACGAGCAAAGGATGTGGCCAACAGCTTTTGGTTAGTCGCCGCATCACACGGTTTCAGATGCGCTTCTAGATGCGCTTCTGCGGCTGTCTGGAACGCTCTTCCTCTCGATATTAGGAAACCATTGGAGCTGTGCACTTTTAAATCTCGACCGAAAATTCATTTCTCTCGAACTGCTTTTTGTGTTCGGTTTGTTGTCCTTCCCACGCACCTCCGGTTAGCATGGCTGGCTATGTACGGTGCGAAAGAAGTTCAACAAAGATACAAGAATTTGCACCCTCGGTAATATTGGCAGCCTTAGTGAACGCCATTGAAAGTGTGCACATTTTTCCAAACATCGTTACGTAAAATGCCATGCTAGAATAGCTCGGGCTCGATTCACTTCCCATGAGGCATGCCTTGGGGGTATAAAATTCTCCTCTTAATAGGCACGTAATAAGATTTGTAAAATTCTGCAAAAGACACAGAGCTTTTGAGTCTCGTGATTAGGGGGGAAATCGAATTATGATTAAAGTTTAATAGACTACATTTCCAGTCTAATTGTTTATTTCAGCAAGACGTGATTAGATTTTCAATAGAGCTATCATCAGCTATTTTTCTATTCAATACCGGAATGAAAGCCTCTCCGTGTCGGAAGGAGTGCTGTGTAGCTGTAATTATTTCGTACATACGCCATCGTTTCATTACGCATTCTCTTCCGAAGCCATCCCTTGCATAACCGTCAAGAGACTAATTTTGCGCAACGCTTTTGCGCGTGCCAAAGGACAACGTTTCAAACGACCAAGCACACACACACACGCGCGCGTTGCCATTATCCCACTATCCCGTTATCGTAAAAAAAAGCCATGCGGACATAATGAGACCGAATGGAAGCATTAGGTCTCGTTAGGGAGGAAGAGAGGCATGGGAGAAGAAACGCGACAAAACGCACCCTGGCCGAGCCACGCCGATGGTCAGGCTCCACCTGCAACTTCCCCCGCGGGGAGGAGACGGAGTGTGTGCGTGTGTGTGGCGGTGAGGAGTCTGTCACATTCCACGGCCATACACGTCACTAACGAATGCCCAACTGTTCAGGCTGCTATCCGCTATTTCTTTTTTTTGCATTCGTTGTGTTTTTGTGCATTCCCACTGATGTAGTGCGATCGGCATCGCGCCGTGAGATAAATGTCCATTTGGCATTCTGGAAAAGCGGTGCATGATCACGAGCTACAGAACAACCCATGGAAGGAGAAAACGCAGTGCCAATGCAATCCTTCAAAGTGACCTCTCGTATCCACACTTGGGGCTCCCTCCATACTTTCCCATGGGCGCTCCCCGACACGGAAATGCCTCGCAAGCAGGTCATGTGACCCGCCGGATGGGATGGTCACAATTTAAACTCTCATCGAGTCGTTGGCCTAAACGATCCTACGGCCACGTGTTCAGCTCTATCGAGCTCGTGATACAAACTAGACTGAGAGCATTGTATGTGCTGTGTACAATGCATGTTCATTGCCCGTGTACAATGCATGTTCAACGCATGGGTACACAGCTGCAAAATACATTTTCTGCTGGAGGATAGACAGTGCGGGTTAGGACGTCAAGGAGGAAATAAGATGAATCCAGAAAATATAGTGACGTCCCATTTACATTGGTAATTGAAAGTATTTTTAGTAGCCGTGTTTCCTTTTGGGAGGGCAAGAATAATCAGTTACAAATTGGCCAATATATATACACACACACACTGAAAACACGCATGAATGCATTTGCTACGATTGTATGTTTGCGAATCGAAACCTGTTTCCGCAAATAAAACACAATTAATTCAAATGCCCATTGGGGTTATCAGTGCAAACAATTTGCTTGCTTTTTTTTATTCATTCCGAATTCCCAAATGTGCAACGAAAGGAAACCGCAAGTCGCCTATATCCTCGGATCAAAACTGGGCCGCAAGGTTACACGCGCACACCAAGAAACTCATCACAATGTGAACAATATTAGGCCTCCTTTAGCCCACTGCAACACGCCACCTGCCAATTTGGCCCACAAAAGCCGGTGGGTAAACAAGATCCTGGATTGTCAAAGGAATGCTCGACGCGTATATTGCTCCCAAACACGCGACCACAAGCAACTGCTTATTTTGGTTCGAGCAGGTCGACACACGCGGAGGAATGCAGGTGGCCGAACGCAGAACCTGTAGGTGTGTGCCTACATACATATATAAAAGACAAAGATTGCCCCGTAGAGCCTTAACAGACTATTGGGGCAAGCGCTGTTAGCGAGTAGCACCTATGTAGACTGGCATGGCACACGAGGGGGTGGGTGGCCAGAGCAAAGCCGGGCCGCCTTTCTCTCCCTCGTGGAGATGTTTTCACACCGCACCAGGTACTCATTTGAGGCTGAGTTGACATAGGGGAGGCCTAGTACTGGTTTCAGATAATCGTTACTGGTGTTGGCCACGAGCGGGAATTGATCTCCGGTCGCCGGGTTCATAGTGCAGTGCGTAACCACTACAAAACTAACACCGTTTTCACACCACCTCCACCATCACCTCCAACAACAACTGCCAATCGCCACTAAGTGGTGGTCACATCACCATGGCGCTTGTGCCAGGCTATGTGCACTTTAAGGCCACGTGAAGTGCTGAGCGATTGCTGGCATGGGACCCAGGTCCCATGTATTGACTAAGATGACCGGCAGTTGCACCACCTGTGCCCCCTACTGTGCCAACTCGATGTGTTTTAGCCGCCCGGAGCTCCGCTGGTTGTTGTGAGCGTCGCTCCTCTGCCCTCCGTTGTTGCTGGAGGGCGACTGCCTGCCATCTGCTCAGTAGCGTCCTTAACGATCTTGACACCACTGGTATTGTCTCCACCTCTACCATAACCGTCCTCACCCCCCCACTCAGCTGGACAGGGTGAAAGCCAACACAGTTGTGAAGAATACATGAAGTCCGCCGATATTCAAACAGAGGAGGAGTTAAGACTCTTACCGCGTACTGGAATTTCTCGTTGAATTCTCTGTCGTTTGCCTTCAAATGTCGCTGTTCCTCTGCAAGGAGACAGATGTAAACAGTACACACAGGTTGTTATTAAGACGGAAAAACAAACATTTTACCTGTCTTGAGGTAAAGAGAAACATTATTTAGTGAGACAAGAACTCCAACGTGCTGGGATAGAATTCTGAACAAAAAAGATAGAATCTTTCATCAGGTGCAGTTTAGCTAGCTCGTTACAAACACATCTCAAAATGTAAATACAGACTCGAGAAGCACGACGCAAATAAAACAACAACAATCATTTCACGTTATCATTCTTCAATACGTAAAACGAACAAGCCTACATTTAACTGCACACTCCCAGGTGCCTTGAAAGGCAACTTTATCTCATCTGCTAGTACAGAAGCAGGGACGCAAAAATGTCAACCACGCGGTGGTCGTAATTAAGTATGCGGAACATGACAATCTTAGCAGCACAACAAATAGCATGATTTATGCCCCGTGGGTTTTACACATCACGCAAGACAAATTCGCGAAAGGCCCTCTCGTCAACACCGTCATTACATTTTCATTTCAAACCATGGATATTTTAAAAAAGACAGTGAAAAATTGTTCCAGCGCACATTAAGCTTCGAACAAAATAGTATCTGGGGCTTTTTTTTGTTACTTACTGCCAAAGATGCATGGGAAAATGTCATATCCCAGAAGAAATGTCAATAATAAACTGGCATTGCTGAACATTCAGCTATGCCAGTTTATTATAGACATTGTTGAATACAGCAATACCCAGCAATGCCATTTCCCTGCGAGCTTTTCCCTAAACACAGTCGCTGAGCACGGGCCTCGAGATCCAAAATGCCCAGCGGCCAGTAACAACAGCACTATTTGAAAGTCTAACAGAGCTCTTGAGTTAATAATGGTTTCTTGAACTGAACACATGGTTACGTGTACTTGGGAAAAGCGCCGATGGCGAAAACGCCAAAGTCAAGCACCGAGAGGGGAGCAGCAGAACGGGAAGTGCTGTGTCCTGCGGTGTGGTGGTGGTTGAACACAGCGTGACGGATGTGACAGAGCAGACTAGGAGACCGAGTCCTCAACACGAGTGGGGGGAATCAACAAGTGGCGGGAACGGTCATCCCATCCACAGGGTACAGATGACATCAGCTTCGTACTTTGCTGTACCGCTCTTCCTAGGAACCGGGTGCTTCCACCCCCAGATACGACGACAGCGATTGTGTGGCAACTCCTTGCCCCGACATCTGCACTCTACACGGCATCAACGCCGATTCGGAAGTTTGACGATGGCCGCCGCAGCCGCGCGAGGCCGACGCGGCGGAGCCTCGGCAACGGAGAGCGCGAGCGCGGCGCCCTCGCTCGCGCCTCGTCTCCACGCACGGCACCCCCGTGGGCAGGCGGGGGGGGGGGGCATCTCCTCGCCCCGCTGCTGCTGCTGCTGCTCGGCGCCCATGGCAACCGCGCCAGCCCCCTTGCGCTGCTTGCCCCACAATTCAACCGAGGGTGCTGCTAAGAAGGGGGTGCCAATAAAAAAACCCGCCCACAAAGGTGCGGAGGGACTTCTTTTCCCTCGGGTATCGGTTCAACAATGTGTTTTACGTTAAATATGCACTGCACACGGTGCCTGATGCCATTATTTTAATACCATCCAAAAGGGGAGGTGGGTAAGAGGATCTCGATATATTTATGATTTATTAAACAAATAGGGCAATACTCTTTGGTTCTTTCGGTAAAGTTACGTTGGTATAAAATAAAATAAATCACGACGTTTGGGGCGCAACACAAGCGTCCACCTGATGATGGACACTTGTGTTGCGCCCGAAACGTAGTGATTTATTATATTTTATACCTCGTGACTTTACCGAAAGAACCAAAGAGTATGGATTGCTGCAGTCACGAAAGCTTCAAATCAAAATATGGCAATATCAAATAAAATTGTGTGCTTTGTGCAAAGGGTCAACTACAGCAGTACGGACAACGACCAGTTCGAGGTCGACAGGACACAGGTATAACTTGGCACCTCAGATTTTGCAGCCAATATCGTGGGTTGGACCAAATTTGTGTCATACGACCATCCATCACCCAATGTAGGCACACAAATTAATTTGTCACGGGGTGTACAAGCATTTAATGGGCCAATTATTGTTTCGGTTTCGCATTCAACTGATTAACAACTGCCACGACCAAACTTAGCAATTGGATACGAGGATTCACTCGAGCCTACGCCAAGCACCATCAGGAGAAAATACAAATCCAGTCTGGCTTTACCGAAACTGCTACATTTTCTCGTGAGAACTTGAAGTCTCCAACTCACCGGTGAGCCGAAACAATAACAACTGGTACGCTAAACGCCTCGACTGGTACGGTATGGTAGGGCCCGATCCTTAGCAAGACAGCAACACTCAAGCCCTCGGGGACTGATGCAGCACCTGCTCTCCTGACACAACAAAAACAAGGCCGGGCTCAAGGCTCCGGATTGAAGAAGTGTACACTTCCCCCCGCCCCGCCCCCCATCCCCACTCCAGCACTCTCACTCAGTGGGGGACACTTGTGGGAGCGAGCGCTCCCATCGTCACTCTAGACTGGGCCGAGATCTCCAAACTTGATGGCGCACGAGAACCTGCTTTTCAAAATCTGGCAGCCGATTGGAAATGTGAAACCGGGAAGCCCCACCGTCACCGCCTTGGTGCGCTCGACGTACGAGAGGAGCCTCTCGTGGTGTTCGTGACGACTCACGACCGTGCCCAAATTTGGCCAGGGCCGCGGGCGGGCGAGCGAGCGGGCGGGCGGCTTCCTGAGACTGACGGCCTCTCTGGCGAGCGGATTTTTGCGACTCGTTCTCTCCCAAGATCTATTGAAAAGGAGCGACGTTCCTTTCGGTCCGGGTCAACCGCGGAACGAGGGGCAACATCGCAGGGTCACAGCGTGCCAGGGGAGGGAGCGTGCTGCGACATTCATCTCCGCTTGGCGCGGCATCACGCTGCGTCCGTTTTAAAACTGCACAGCCAAAAGCTACAACAGATAATGTTTTTAAGTACAATTGCCTGGGGTAACCTGTGGGCATTTCCACAAACGAGGCAACCTCCGAGTGAAAATATATGAATAATTCTCAAACGTTTGGGGTGTAATTTTTAAGGTAATTATCTATGGATTTGGAACACTTGGGTTATTAATGGGATAAATCAATGGCTTGACACGTACAAGGAACTCAACGCACCATCACCATCCCCGCGTGAATGAAAAACCTGACACCGCGGTCTTGCCTTTCATTATTCATTAAAAATTATTTGGCAGGGCTGCATTGCCAGTGCGGCACAAGCGCAAACAACAATAGCAGAAGCATTGCTCAGTAACACTGCCTTAAGTAAAAAAGCCACTTCGTCGTTGTCCCGACGACGCTTGCGTTAATTTTAGGCGAGCGTTATTTGATTAACCATCACGAGCGTTTTCCTCGTGAGCGCCTCCTCACCTTGCCCATTGTACACATCCTGTAAAGACGGGGTGATCCGTGGGCTCACTCACTGGGACGCAGGAGGTACGGGGAGGGACATGAGGCCGTGTGGAGAGAGGGACACCAGGCATGGGGCAGGTTTTCCGTGTCCACTCAAGTCGTTCGTAGAGTCAGCCGTTTTTATTTTCGTCGTAGTCTCAGTGTACGACAAACCTGTGTAAGTTTAGTCAAATCTGAGAGTTGATCGAATTCATCGGATGCTTCTCTTAGTCTCGTCGAATAAAACGGCAGAGGATGTGGTCCACTCTTAAGTCGTTAAATGTTGGTGTGGGGCGAGTGCAAATTCCCCCACCCTTTCTCCCCCAATATCATCAGGTTAGCCAATCGGAGAACTCCGAACATTTGTTAATATACATAAAAACCATAGCCAATCAACATTGTCCGTCTTCCTCAGCGCACCGCAGTCTCTAATCTTAATGCAGATTAGTCGCTTTGATATTCTGTGGGAAGTCAGCCATCGGCGCGCTCAGTCATACTGGCTGAAATAATAAAACCCCTGTTGACAATACCGTCGGCAAAAAATTTACACCGAGCCCACCGAGCTTGATTTGCTTATGGAGCGTGACTGCCGGGGAGGGGCCCTTGGTCACCTGGTTTAATCGTGGGCCATTTCCAGGCCAGCAGAGCCCAGTTCCGAGTGGCCATGTAAACAGCGCCATTAATTGTTCCGCTAAAGGCCACTGACTGCTCGTTAAGCTTATTAAGCCTCAATTTTCACTTTGCTAATCGCGTAACATAACTGTACATAATCGTAGCTTGCGAGTTGCAATACTGTACGCGCAAAAAAAGCGGGGCGAGAATGCACGTTTACCATCTTGCACTCTTACAATACTCTGTCCATCCTTTCAAGATGCGACCTTAAAACTCAACTTTTGATTTCAACTTTAAAAGCGCGCTAACCCAAGCAGCGATGCCATCGGATAAGGAAAAGCGGTTTGTTTATACAGGAAACAGCCTCGTCTGGTTTACAGAACGTGGGAAGGTGAGGCAGGCGACTTTTTCCATGACCGTACGCCTCACTCCCTCATTACTTAGTTATGATCTCGGCATCTCGCGGCCACAATGACAATCACTCACAAAGGACTGTGGCGAACTGCCCCCAACACTGGGAATTGCAGAGCCGAGCTTGTTCCTGCTCTACCTCGTCTACCTTGCAGATGTGCTCGAGGCATGAGCAGAGTGAAGGAGTAAAGAGCTTTATGAAAAATGAAAAGTCAATCTCGACCGCTGCTATTGTCACTTTAACGCAAGCACCTGCCCGTGTTTAAAAGGCTTACAATAGATCCCGCGCCTCCGTTTATCACGGTTGGCTACGCACGGTGCAAAAGAAGGTCAACATACACATGTACAAAACCTACCGTAAAAAAACTAACATTTACAGCCCTTTGTCAATCGACTTCTGGAGGAGAGCCACCTTACGTTGTGTTGGTCGTGGGGGGTATTCTTAACCGTACCTCACCATGCTGGTCAGTGCCGATTGGTAAAACAGCACCCCAGGACCGGTTTAAATATCACTCGCTGCCGCCG